TATTAAGATTATTTTGATGTGAACAAAAGTGAAAATTATTATTTCAAAAAACGTATGACAGAATTAGAAGAATAAAACAAAGCATTATAATAAGAGACACAAAAATTATAAATTGCCTTAGAAACTAGCATGAAAAATACGAATAATTTTAAAGATACTTTATTAGAAACTATTACTTAAAAGTTAGATAATAAATTAATTGAAAAAGATAAAGAAATAGAAAATCTAAGATAAGAACTATAAACTCTAAAAAGTTAAATCTTTTAAAAGGATTAAACTATTATTGAATTAGAAGATAGTATTAGAGATATTAATGATAGAGAAATATTTAATTTAAAATCATAAATTGAAACTTTAAGAAGTTAACTTATTCAAAGAGTTTAAACTGTTTCTGATTTACAATACAGTGAAAGAGATTTTAATGATTAAACCTTAGAATCTATTAATTAAAACACTACTAGTCAATTTCTTCAATAATAAGAATTGGCTAAATCAGAATTCTAATTTTTAAAACCTTAAACTGTAACATAAAGTTAATTATAATTAACTGTTCAATCAACTGAAAGATTTTAATATGATGCTGAACCTGTCACTTTAGACAAAATTACTCAACTTAATTATATGTTTGATCACTTAAAAATCACTATTTTCTCTCAAATCTATTTAAGAAGACTTCAATTAGGATCTCTTACTGGATATGATACAGATTCTTTTAAAAATAATTGTTCTGGTGTTGAAAATTTACTTATTTTGATTAGAGTTTTTGATTATAATAAAATTATTGGAATTCTCATATATGGAAATGAAAAATATTTGCTTAATATATCAAATCGTACAATATAAGAATTAGATGATATCATTTTATTTGAAGATAATATTATAGAGATACCAGGCCAACTCACAATATGTAGTGGATGTGATTCTAATACTTGTTATGGTTAAACCTCTTTGACAGGAAATAAGGAATTTATAGTAGAAGATGTTGAAGCTTATTCAATTGAAATTAGTCATAATTTATGATAAAATTATATTAGATAAAATATTTGTCATTTTTACTTCTTCTCATATTCTATTGGATAATTCTCATCAGAACAAATATACACTTAAATTTCATTATTCTATCCTTATACTTTGGAACTATTCAAATAAACCTAATAAGGATATTCAGGATTATTTTCTTAAGGAGTTTCTACTGAAGTTCCTTTTGGCGCTGTTATTATAAAAAGCGCCTCTCCTTTATGATCAGTCTGTTAACTCTTTGATAATTCTTTAAAGTCATCATGTGTAAGAAAGGTGTACTTAGCCACTTCTGGATCACTCTGGAACTTCTCTTATAAATTCTTTTGTAAGTACTCTATCCAATAATCAATTGTTTTCTCTTCATCTTATAATGCTTCTAATTCTTATTTTATTTAACGAAGCTCATTTTCTAATAAAGGATCATCAGTGGCTCCAACCCATCTGATTTTGTTTTTAGAGATTTTCTCAATATAACCAATTCCCTCTAATACATTTGTAATATCGTAAATTCTTCTTTTTTAAACTCCTAAATCATTGACTGCTACATTCAAATCTATTGTCAACTCTTCAGAATGTTTAATTAATTCAACAAACTTTTTTGTGAGCACAGATAATGAATTGTCATGTCGAGTTTTCTATTTCCCAGTACTCTTAGGTTCTTCATCATTAGACTCATTAAATGAATCTTCATAGTTTGATTCCTCTTGCTTGACCTTTTTCTCTGACTCTAATTTTACTTACTTTCGCTTCGAACTCATGTTAATATTAATTAATTCCCTTATAAATTGAGGTATTAAGGATATAAATACTAATTTTATAATAGAATACATAAGAACTCTATATTCAATCAAACTATTCTAATCTCTTTAGTAAACATCAAAACATATTAAAAAATAATTATGAATTATATGTATTAATCATATATTATAACAAATTAATATTGGATTATTAAAGAATTGATTCTATTTGATGTTCCAAATTTATAATATCTCAATGGATTTGTTTAAAATTTATTTATTATTACAAAATTATCTCCTTAATAAATATATATTCAATATCACTTCAGTCATATTCTTCTCTATAAATTAATTACATAAATATATTAATTTATAATAAATATCAAATTCAAAACCTTCCCATAATTTAAATAGCATTTCAAAATTTAAGAAAGTTATTAAATTTAAGAATTGATTTTTATTATTGACCTATTGTATCGAATGTTTATTTTTATATTTATAGAATACTAGAGAATTTAATATTATTTTGATTATTATGAATAAATTTTCCTTAGTTTTTTAAGATTCCTTATTGGAAGAAAAATATTAAGAAAGTTAAAGACCATAAATATTACATAGCTTTAAGATTAATACAATTATACCAATTATGTCTTAAGCATTTCAAGCTGTGTATTGGATGATAAAAAATTAGATTGTACTATCAATTGTATATATCATTTTGACAATTATATATACTTTTTTTTTTTACAAAGTTGTGATTAGACAATAGTGGTTTAAAATAATTGATACTATAGTATTATCATTTAGTTTATAAGCTTCTATAATGTAATTTATCCCATTATGGATACAGAATTTAACTGATTCTGAAATTATTTGGATAGAAGACATTGCAATTTAAATGGGTTTACATATGAACATAACTCAAAATCTTGTACAGAATGCTATTCTATATGCAATTTTTATAACAGCTCGAATTTATTTCAGATCCATTACGGAATTTAACCCTATGTGTCTTATTTTTTTATTGTTTACAATTCTTACTTGTTATAATGAATATTAGAGAATTAAAGGTCTAAGATACTAATTTCTATGGAAGGAAAAGAATTAAAACTAATATTTCATTTTTGATGATTTGATAAAAGAGAGTTTAGTCATTCTCAATTATAATGACGTATGGGATAAATTTAAGGTTGTTTACGCAAACAAATAATTTTATTCTGAGTATCATCAAAACCCCTTAGATTTCTTTAAGGAGACTCAACTTTCTCAATAGAAAATGTCCACATTGACATTTTTACATTATAAAATTCAAGATCTTAAGAGTTCTTTTTAGATTGAAGCTTTCTGGAAAAATAAGAATCAACACTTATTTATTGAATGTCGAAAGTATTCCATAATGGATACTTAAATTATTTTAAAGATTACGACAAAAAAGGCATATACTGAAAATAATATGTATCCACTTTTGTATAAAGGAATATTGAAGAAATTAAAGAAGATTGATAGATAACATTATCATACAGAATCATTAAAGAATCTTCTTGCTGCATTGTTAGTAAAGCCAAAATCTATTGTTAATTTTAAGATGCAATGCATAAATTATAATAAGTTAAGTGGTCTTCTAATGAATATTTTAAGAGATAATTCAGCATTATTTTCTTTAAGTTTAAAATCAGAAGCCTTTTATACAAATATACCATTACTGTATATTTTAATGATCTCGATTAGTAAGTATTATAAGGTGAGTACATTTTCAGTAAATTAATTGAATGAATCAATTTTAGAGATAATTGTAAAAGGGCCAATAAAAAAAAATACAGAATAGAATTAACAATTATTTAAGAAATTGATGGGTATAATAGTAGATTTTATAGGAATTGAATAAATAAGGATTGAGAACAATTATTTTATGTGTAAAATAATGAATATGGAAAATCCTTTCATTTCAACAATGAATTGATATTTTATGTAGATAATCTTTTATAAATTAAATAATTTTATGATATATTAATTAGATTTATAGAATAAAGAAGTTTCGAAAAAATCTAAATATTTAGAATAAATAATTTTATAATATATTTATATTTGATATTGATATTGAATTAAAAATGGCAACAAATATATAACATGAAGAAATTAATTTAAGTCTTAATAATGATAAGAAAGCATTTGAAGATCTTAGTGGATTTTTTAATTTATTAGCTTTAGCTTTAGAGAAAGTAGATTAAGCTAATAAGGAATTAATAGAATGTTTGAAAAAGATTCAAAAATAATTAAGTTCAGAAATACCAAAATTAGCAGAAGTAGTTTCTTTGGTAGCAGAGTCTATGAGTGTGGCTTAGAAAAAGAATATGGAATATGTAGATTTAATTAAGACTAAAATAATATTGAGTTTGAATGGGTAATTGGAATAAATAAAGACTAAGTAGAAATTGTTGGATGATTATAAAGCTAAGACAGCTATAGAAGCAGATAGAGACTAAAAAAGAAAGAATACTGAACCTGCAAAATAAAAAGAGACTTATTAAGCTTATGAATAAGCAAAGAAAGAGAAAATGTTAGCAGGATAAACACTTAATACATAATATTAAATTTATATTAATGAGAAAAATCAAGAATTTTGTTCAATGTGGAAACATTTTTTGAATATGTAAATGTATTGTTGTGCAGCAGGACTACAAAGTTTTTCAAAAAGTGCTTAAGAAATTCATAATAGAGAATAAGAAGTAAAAAAAGATGCAGAAATTTTCTTAAGTAAATTATTAGGTAATTAAAGAATTAAATGAATATTAATATATATATATATATTTAATGTAACGAGATCAAATTAATTTCTCTTATTTAAAGAGATTGTTTCCAACTCTAGAATAGATATTGTATACTGGCAAATTCACTAGTTTAAATGAATTTGATAAATGCACATAATTATGGCATTAAGCTGGATTTCAAGGACCATTCTTCTTAATAAAATTAAGTGATCAATTTGTTTTCATTATACTTAATTAAAACTCAACTTAAGATTTCATACGAACAATAAAAAAAGGATTAATATTTGAATTGAATAAAGGAACATAATGGTTTTATTTTAATTTTTAAGATGAATAATAAAAGGTGTTTAATATATGGTTCTAAGAGTAGTAAGATTTTGAAAATTTTAAGATATGTATAGATAAGATCATTAAATGAAAATTCATGATTTGTATTTTTATTCTCTTACTAATCTATTTTAAATAATTTATTCATATGCAGATTGAAACATCAGATTAATAATTTGAGGAAATATATTAAAGTTTATGCAAAGATGATAGATTTTGTTTAGATCTTCGAGTTTAATTTGAAAAGATTTTAAAAGTAGAGATGGATAGATGTCAGGCATATCATGAATTTTCTGAATTTTTAAGTGGCATTGCTAAAGAACCATTTAAAGAGACATCAGCAATAATGGATATGCTTGATGAATTAAAAACATCATTATAAGAAGTTAACTCAAAGATTAAAGATAGGATAAATGATGATTAAGACAAAGGTCTTATTAAATTGATAAGGACTAAGATAATTCCAAGTTTAACAGATGGTTAAAGAGCTGTAGAAACTCAAAAGAAAGCATTAGCAGAATATAAAGAAAAGGCAGCCATCTATAAAAAATTAGAATAAAAGAAAAACGACCTGTTGTAAAAAAATGATGAAAAACTATTATAATTAGAAAAATAATTATAAGAAGCAAAGAGAGAGAAATTAGAAAAAGGTTAGACTTTCAATTTTACTTATAAAAATTATGTAGAAGATAAAAATGATGAATTAAAAGGATTATTCAAACATTTCTTTAATAGATTATTATTGATCTCATCTGCTGGTTTACAATATTATTCAATGGCCATTCATAAAATACATACTACTGATGAAAAACATGAAGTTTAAATAAGATTGAGTAAATTAGGTATTATAAAGCTTAAAAAATAATGATTGATTTAATTAATGTTTGTATATCTATTATTTATATTCTCAATTGTATCATCAACTTATATTGATGTAGTAACTAAATGCATTTGTGAAGAATTACTTATAGAAAATGATTGTAATATTGTAAATTATTGTTATTGGGATTAAAACAAATGCATAGATATAGAAGATTGTACAATAGAATCACCTGTTGATTGTCCATATGATATAAAATGTGCCTATGTAGATGGAAAATGTACTAAATTTACTAGTTGTGATAAATATATTGGTGATAAAAGTACATGTGAAGCTATTTCTATATAATGTACATCATTAGATGGAAATAAATGTTAAAATAAGGTTATTCCAAGTTGTTCTGAATTTGATGAAGAAAATTGTAATTATTCAGATGGAAATGAAGGAGAATGTGGATTTATAGATGATAAATGTTAGGTTGTAAAATAATGCAGCGATATTGATTTGATTAAAGGAGAATTTTAAATAATGAAATGTGTTTCTAATATTCATTCATGCAAAGTATCCAACTCTAAATGTGTCTAAAAGAAATGTTCAGATCTCTAAGATTAAAGTAGTTGTTAATATATACATTTATATGATCCATTTGATAAACCTTCATCTATCTAAATATGCAAATGGTAAGATGCTCATTGTGTTGATGCAATGCCAAATGATTTAAATGAATCCAATTGTTTTATTGATACCATATATTCATATCTATGGAATCCTAATTCAAAGACTTGTTAAAAATGTAATGGACCTCCTCCTAATCCAAATCCTCCAGATAATTTTGAACTTATCATGAAGGTTGCCATAATGATATTTGTAATTTCATAATGATATTGATAATTCATAATATTTTACAAATCAAATGACATCAATCTATATGGAAGTTGATTAATATTCTGCAAGAATACCTAATGAAAATTAAGCTATTTTGACAAAGAGAGGAGATTAAGATTTCAAATATATTCAATTCATTAAATAATGCAATAATGATTACAAAGATCCTAATATTCTTAATTAGAATGAACAACTAATTCTTGCTGATAAATCAATCTATACTGGAATCATTAAGTTAGAATCTAGATTATAAGACATTGATTAAAAATATCTACCTTTTGATGATATAAATTTAGATGAAAATGAAAGAAATGAAAAAATTAGACAACTTACCAAATCTTCATAGAGTGAGAATTAAAGACTTGAAATGAAAAGAAAAAACAAATAAGATTAAAATTATTGGTTTACAATTAATCCTGATAGCACAATCAAAATACTTTGGGATTTTTTTTGTATGATTTTAATTCTTTATGAAATTATTACAATTCCAATCAGAATTAGTTTTGATATCGAAGTTAGTAGTAAATTCGGTTATGTTATTACAGCAGCCTTTTTATTTGATATAATACTTACATTTAATACTGCCATCTATAAGAATGGCAATATTAACTATTCTTATAGAATTATAGCAATAGAGTATTTGAAATTATGGTTTTGGATTGATTTAATTGCATCATTTCCTTATGATTTAATATTTTCATTACTATTAACAGGAGATGCAGAAGATGAAATTTCCACATCTCATGCTAATTTATAAAAAAGTGCTTAAATCTTAAGGATTCTAAAATTCTTTAGATTCATAAAAGTTATTAGATTATTAAGGTTGGCAAAATTAAAAGTTATTGTAAATAAAATAGAAGAATATTTTTCTGACAATTCTATTTTATAAACAATAGCAAGTTTTTTGAAATTATGTGCTTTTGTATTATTTTGGTCACATTGGTTAGGTTGTATATTTCATTTTATAGCTCAAAATGAAGAGATTTAATATAATTGGTTAACAATATATGGAATATATGATGAACCTTGGGAAGTTAGATATGTTAATTCAGTATATTGGGCTGTTACTACTATGATTACAGTTGGTTATGGTGATCTTTCACCTTAAACACCTTTAGAAAGATTGTTTGGAGTGTTTTTTCTGTTGATTGCATGTGGAGTATTTTCATTTACTATGAATACAATTGGTAATACTATGTAATAACTCAGTTAAAAATAAGATTAATATTAAAGAAGAATAGCAGAAATAAATAGTTATATGAGAAAAGTTAAAATACCAAAATAATTATAGAATAAAGTAAGAAGATATTTGTAATATCTTTGGGACTCACATAGAAATATAAATTTAGAATCTATTTGTTAAAATCTTTCTACATCTTTAAAATTTGAATTTACTATACAAGTAAATGGAACTATATTAGCTAATTATAAATTAATTTGTTAAACTTTTTCTAGACATTTTTTGATTGAATTGACATAAATTTTAATTGAATAAACAATATAACCTGATGAATATGTTTTTTTAGAAAATGAAATAAAGAATGAATAATCATTATATTTTATTTAAGAAGGATCAATTAATATAATTTTAATTAAAACAAGATAAATAGTAGCAAGATTGGGAAATAAAGAAGTATTTGGAGAAATAAGTTTTTTTGGTAATATTGAAAGAACAGCATCTGCTAAAAGTAATGGATTTACTGATGTATTTGTATTAAAAAGATAGGATTTTATTAATTTATTAAATAAATATCCAGAAGATAGAGAAAAATTCTTCTTTATTAATTCTGAGATTAATAAGAATTAACTTTAAGTATTAAATATTCACTGTTATTCATGTGATTTACCAGGACATGTAATAAAAGATTGTCCATCTTTACATTTTGTAGTTGATTTATATGTTTATTAAAAGACAAAGACAAGATGTATCTAAGCAATTATGAAAGATTTTGTAAGAATAGACAGAATTAATTATAATGCCAGAAAAAATAAATAAGAAATAACATAATAAGTAGAAAATTTACAAATGAAAATTTCAACTCATAAACATTTATAAGAAGAATGTAATATTGATGAATTCATATTATAAGGAGTAGATGATGATTCTATAAAGTAAAGTTTGAAACTTAAGTCAAAATTTTAGGAAGATAGAAAAAGGAGAAAGAATTGGTAATAATCAATTAAAAAATCATAAAAATAGATAAAATAAATATAAATGAAATAATAAGAAATATTTAGTTTAACAAAAAGTCTTTCTTAAGTTTTTATATCTTCTAATAATAGTTAAAATGCAATTATACCTTCTATTAATAAATTTAAGAGTTCATTTGAAAATGATTAAGATAGTGAAAGTGAAACTAAATTCTAATAAAAAATGAATGAGATTATGGCTGATTATTAAATTTTCAAAGAGGAAGTAGAAAAGTATAATGGAAATTAGTAATTAGAATTAAGGAAAAATATGGTTTTACTTAATGATTTTGAGTAAGGATATGATTACAATATATTTTATCCTCATAATAATATTTCAGTAGTTTTAAAAGAGTTTAATAGATTTTAGTAAGGAAATTCAGTTAAACCAAAGATTGATACTGAATATGATTCAAATGTATATTAAGAATATATGAATTATTATGTAATAGATATTGAAGATGTAAGAAGATTTAAATTAGAAGTCAAACCTAATTAAATTAGATAGTATTTACCATTTACACAATAACTATAATAATAATATAGTCGATAAGTAAATTTAATATATAATTATAAAATAGAAAAAGAAGGATTAAGGATTATTGAAAAAGCCAAAAAAGTCATTAAAGGAAATTACAAAGGCAATTATGTTGATAAGAAAATTAAAATGAATTTATGCTACTATTTTATAATTTAATAACAAATTATTAACTGATATGAAACACTATAGAGATTCTGTTAGTCCAGAGGTTAGACAATTCATTAAACAATTTCATAATTATTAGAAAGAGTATAAACAAGATAAATAGACTACTACAGAGGATAGCAACTAATCAATAATTGATGAAAGATAAGATGATATTAATATTAAAGAGATGTTCCTCAAATTACCAAATGAAATAGTATAAGAAAATGGATAACCTTATTTAAAAATATCAAAGACTCCAACTGTCTATTCAAATAATAATTCTATTTCTAGTATTGATTAAGATAGATATATTGACATTATAGTATAAAAAGTTGTAGATGAAATGGAAAAGAGAAATTATAATAAAAGATAACCTATGTTAAGTATTTAATAAAATACAGTTCAAGTCAAAATAGCTCCCAAAAATGAATTAGATTATTTGGATGATGATTCATTCATTCGTCATATGTATTATTATATATATTTATTAGTCAATAAACTCTATTGAATCCTCATCATACTCCAAAAAAAGTTCATAATTTTGAAAGTTTTGATTAGAGATAGAAACAATTCTAAATTTAACGAGAACAAAAATTGTAGAAATAAAGAGAAGCACAATAACTCACTAAATTAGTAGATGAATTTAAGTGTTACTTAATTAGAACAAGAAAGACTGGAGGACTTTGAGATTATGGATATATATAAATTTACTTAGATATTAAATCCTAAATATAATTATTTATTTGATATGTCTCTTTTGCTTCTAAATGCAAGCAATAGAATTGCTTAAGGATTCTTAAAAGTAGCTGCTGAAAGTGGTAAGTATGAGAAGATCATTTGTGCTGATATCTTCCCAACATACTTCACAGTTTAAAGATTACTTAAATTCAAGCAATAATTCTCAACCAATATAGAGTTGTTTAAAGTAGGTGATCGTTAAGATCTACATGATGTAATTAAATAAGCCAATAATCTCCTTTATGTGAGCCATGATTATTACTAAGTTACAGCTTCCAAGAAAAATTTATTGGTTGCCACTCTAGATTTGGTCAAGACTAGAAACTATAAAACTGTGGCTTATGTAGCTCCAGTTGAACATGATCATTAAGAAGAAATTGATGAATGGAAACATTTAGAAGTTGAAGGTCGTCGTTCCATTCCTTAATTAGTTGGAATCAGATCTGATATTACATTTGGACCTTAAAGCACATTTACTAATAAAATTGCTCAAAGAATCTATAATGGATAAAGCATTTATTTCAAAAGTACAGGTCAATCATGTGCTCCAATCTTTACAGGAGATTTAGAAGCAATTGTTGCTAGAGTTCTTGCAGGAGATCATGCTGGTAAATTACTCTTGGCTAAAGGACATAAACATATAGATTTTAAATCTATTATTCATTTAATTGAAGATAGTCTTGGAAATAATTATAAAGCTTAACTTAATAGTTCTTTTATTGAAAAAGTAATATATTTATTTTTAACTCATTTAGATTATTCATCCAACTAATAATTGTATTATTGGATAACAATTATATTGTCCCTCATATATTAATTTAACAAAATTGATTGCCAATTATAAAGCTTTAGAAAACACTGGATATGATTAAGTTGTTGGAGATAAATTAGTTGATATTGAAGATTATCATAAAAATAATAAAACAGTGGTTGATTAATCATTAAAAGCTGACTACGAATTAAGCTATTTAATTGGCTGAAAAAATGAAATATAATCAATAAAAAGTACATAAATATTATTATTCAAATATTTTTAGATTTATTAAAATAATAAATATTATTAGACTTAAAATATATATATTATTAATCATGTTATAATCAATGGATCAAAATTCCTTTTAGATTAAATGTTAACGTAAGCATTTCTTAAAAGACAAACATTATTATCTTTTAATTGATGATGATCGCATATCAATATCACAAGTAAAATAACATTCACACTAAAAGAGTCAGTAAATTTTCAATAATCAAAGTACATCCTTGATTTGATATTCCAAAATTTAGTATTTTGGAAAACAGATGAATATTAACTAATTGCATTTGGTATCAAATTCAATTAAGTTCTTAAATGGTTTCATGCTGAGAAAACTGCTCTAGAAGCACTGTATAGAGAATTACATACTCGTGTATTCTTTGGAAATATATCAGCAATATATGAAAGTAAAGAAATACTTGGTACTGGTGCATCATGTAAAGTTTATAAGGTTGTTAATAAGATAACACATTATGAGTTTGCTTCAAAATGTATTAGAAAAGATTATGTATTTAAGAAAAATGATAAAGAAAGATATGTATATTATTTAAATATATTAGAATCGCTTAATATAAGAAATAGAGTTAATGAGATTAGTAGAACATAATTCAATAGTTAAAATGGTTGATCTTTATGAAGGAGAGAAATCTTACTATATCATTATGGAATTACTCAAAGGTGAAACATTACACACATTCACAAAAAAGACAAAATTGAACATTTATTAAATAAAGACTGTTATGAATGTATAATAATGATATAAATGAATAGAGATGTTTGAAAGCATTATGTTATTTGAATTTACTTAATATTATTCATAGAGATTTAAAATTAGAAAATTTAGTGCTTTTAGAACCAAATAAAGTAGAAACAGTTAAAATTATAGATTTTGGATTTGCAATTCCATTATCAACACCTTAACTTTAAATATGTGGAACTCCTGGTTATATAGCACCAGAGATGTTTATTGATAAATATCCATATACTACAAAAGTTGATATGTTTAGTTTAGGTTCTATATTTTATAAGTTACTAAGTAGAAAATCTTTATTTAGTGGGAATAATAGTGATGAAATACTTGAAAATAATAAAAGATTTAAGTGTAATAATCATCTTAAGAATTGTTCTCATGAGATTATAGATTTGTTAAAATAAATGTTATAAAAGGATCCAAATAAAAGAATATCTCCAGAATAAGCTATATTACATCCTTTTTTTGATGATACAATTTAAGGTAAATTACCATATTATTTACAATTTAGGAGACTTAGGAGTAGCAGAAGAAAGTCCACATGAAATTGTAAAAACATTTCCACATATCAAACCTATGTAGATTAGCAATTCTAATGACAATATTAAGATTTAAGTAATTAGAGGAAGTCAACCTAGTTTTGATTTAAGTTTAGGATCAAATTATTTTCCTTCATTTGATGATATTAATAACAAATCAAGAAATGGTAGTGATCACATTATTGAATGATTAAGTATTCATAATAAAAACTTAGTATTCATTATTTTATTTATTCTTTATTCTTATTTATCATTTAATGTAGATTTATATCTAGGAATTGATGTATTTAACAATTTTGTACAAATTGCCTATGCTCTTTCTTTATTATCATCATTATGTAGAACAAATTAAATTTATTGATGTAATTTTTCAGATTTAAGTTTTTAACGATCAATCAATCTTTATTATGCTTTTTAACTACCTTCTTTACCTTATTCTTCATTTAATTTATTTCTTTCTCCTTAAAATTCAATTATCTTTTCTTATAAAACTTGTGTAAAACTACTATCTAAACATGATTCATTTATAAAATCTTTTAATTTCCTTTCAGCTTCAAATTTCAAAGTATTCAATTATTTATTAATTTCTTTATCATCACCTTCTCTTTTTCTAATATTATCCATTTTATCGAATATTTATACTAAAGGTTGTAATTTAGTTTAAATTTTTTGAGAATTTAATGAAATACTTCTCATTCTTTGTTATTATAAAACATCTATGACTTATTTATATTCTTTAAATTAACAATGTTCCCAAGCTAAATCAATTTATTCATTGTTATATTTAAGAATGTTATGATCTTATAGAATTTTCAAGAATTATTGTTTTTAGGTTGGTTTTACAATTCTTAGAGTAGCAAGTAAATGATGTGTTTACATTTTATATTTTAAAATATGGAAATAGAGAAAATCATATTCAAATGTATATTCATTGTCTTTTCATCTACAATTAGTTTAGATTGATATTAAATGAGAAATTCTTTTAAAAATACTGATCCTACTTCTTTGTTGATTCTGTGCGATATTCTAATCCCAAACCTTAAAGATAAAGTACTATTCTTCTTTCTACTAATCTTTGTTCATTGCTAGCTATTTCATGAATCCAATCAAAAGACTCTACTGAATCAATAGTGTTCATTAAATTTTTTAATTATATAACTAATCAAGAATTCTTAGAAAGTATGAATTTGGCATGCTATTTCAAATCTTCAATATCTTCTTCTGTTTTCATTTCACCCCATTCTCTAAGTCTTTATCTTAAATTTTCTATATGTCTTAAGAAAGACAATTAATATTTGATAATTACTTTTTTTATTGCATCAATTTCTCAGTCAAATCATTTGGGAATTGATAATCTTAATCTACTTTAAAAAAGAGATCTTATTTCATTTATTCCATCTCTTAATTAATATAGGGTTATAGAATCTCTAAAGGAATTTTAATTTATTATTTTTTAGGTTCTTCATTCTACCTTACATTTACATTAGCATTAGTAAATTTATTATTTCTCTTTTTTTTTGTTTCAATAGGAGGGTAAATTAAATTTCTTTCTGTTTTAGACTAAGATATTTCCACATTATCTTATTAAGTAATAAGAGGTTAAAGTATTTACTCTGTTTTATGGTCTATTTTGATTTAATAATTAAATTTGAAGCTCATCTTTTTTCTCCTTTCTGGAATGATGTGATTTTTATTATATTGCCAAAATTGATCAGGAGTATGATTTCTATTAGAAGGGGATCTGGAAGTATTTGTATACAATTTATGTTTCTCTGAATTGATTCGAACTAAACGATTCATTTAATCACGTTCTCTAATAAATGGTATGAATTCATGCATATTTTAACCATCCTTACATAATTCTTTCATTAATTGAAATCTAGGTAATGTATGATTTGATTGACCAGAATAGTATTCATTGAATTCGTTCTTTAAGTTACATTTGTATTAATTGTTAGAGTGCATATTAAATTAAATGAAGAAGAGTTATTAATTTAGAGCTTTATTTTATAAAAATGCTGCTCTATAATCTCGCTAGATTGGTACTAATCTATGTTAGATGTTTACACCACTCTTGTGTTTAGGATTTGTATATCTGATTTAAGAGGTCGCATTTGACTAATTCAAAGGAGCTAATTTTTCATTAGATTTTCCTTATTTGTTTAATGTACCAGTCATATACTCAGGATTACCTGGATTATTGAATTTGACATGTTTATAATGGTATATATAGATAGTATATTGTAGGTATTACTTCAATAGCTCTTAGTTAAGAGAATAGGACAAATAGTTTTTGGGTTATAATGATGGAAATTAGTAAACATTGTACATATTAAAAATTAGATCACTTGGATTATTGAGACACATACTCTAAAGACCTGGGTGCAGTTACGAAACATAAGACCATGAATTAGCATTTAAAAATGTCCCTTTTCTATAGCAGCCCAATAGTACAATTAATTTGGATATTTATCATTAAATAGAATATTTACACACTGTGCCTTTTGTGAGAGGATCTGATCTATAAGGTATAGATATTATTTTTAGTTATTCAAAAGACCTTTATTTAATTCCTGATGGGGCATACACATTCTTTGAAGCTAATGAAAAGAAGATTAATATGAGTATTCAAGTAAATGATATTAGATTACATGAATATCATAGAAGTAATGGTATAACAAAAATAAGGTAATAATCTTTATTCAAATTGACTCTATTTAGATACTAAAATAAAGTATAACCAAATAAAACCAATACCATGATGTTAGTAGCAGAAGGTTAAATAGCCACTATTGATCTTATCTCAAGAGCTTTATTACATTATCATAATCCTAATGTTTGGTTAGTCTCTGGAATTGAATATATGCCATTAAAAGGATAGGATAAAAGTTTTCTATTAAAATTAATTAATGTTATTGGAGCAATGTTATATCCATTATCACTATCCCTTTTATTACCTGTATTTTTATATGCTATAGTATTGGAGAAGGAAGAGAGACTCTTATAAATGATGAAAATGAATGGAATGAAAATGAAAGATTATTGGATATTGTAATATGTATTTTCTGGATTGATGACTTTTTTGACTTTTTCACTCTTTCTTTTTACAGGTATTTACCTTGCAGGATTAGCCTTACTTACAGATACTAATCTTACACTTCTAGTAATCATTTATTATATAATTAGATAATTGTATTAACTGGATGGGGATTGTGTTAAATTTCTTTGTCTTTTTTTTTCTAAGTCTTTGTTAGTAAAGCAAGAACAGCTACTATTATTGGATATTTATTATCAGTTTGGGGATCTATTATTGCACTAACTACCAATTTAGCCATATATCCTGATCCATATGAAATACCAATATATTTATAATTGATACCACAAATAGCTTTTAATAGAATTATTTATATATTCTCTATGGGTAATACTAATTATTAATTATTTCAGCTTGTGCATAAACTGGTTGTATAAGTTAATTTAGTCCTTTGACAAGTGAGATATAAGGATGCATAATTTCATTATATGTAAATTTCATTATTTTTGGTCTTCTGGGTGTTTATTTACATGAAGTTATTCCATAAGAATTTGGAGTTTCAAGTGAACCTTGGATATTTAGGTTATTTAAAAAGAAAAAAATAGAATTTAGAGATGAAGATGAATACAGAATTAATATATAAGATGCATAAGAAGATTAAGATTCTAAAAATGAAAGAGAAAAAGTGTATAAAATTAAAAACTTTGAAGATTATCCACTTATTTGTAAAGACTTAAGAAAAGTATATTAAAATAATGTAGCTGTTAAATGTTTTTGTATTGCAGTTGAATAAGGAGAAATCTTTGGTTTATTAGGTCCAAATGGAGCTGGAAAAACTTCAATTTTATCAGCTATAACTGGGTTGTATGAATGTAATGATGGAGAAGCTTATGTTGGTGGATATAGTATTAAAAATAATATGTAATCTGTTTAAATGAACATTGGAGTTTGTCCATAATTTGATTTATTATGGCCAGAATTAACTGTTGAAGAACACTTATTGTTTTATGCTAGATTAAAAGGAATTAACAAATAGAATGAACGTATTAAAGTGTAATAGAGCATGTCAGAAGTCAAATTAGAACCTTATTTCAATTATTATGCAAATTAACTTTCAGGTGGAATGAAAAGGAGATTATCAATTGCTATTGCACTTGTTGGTGAACCTTTAATAATATTCCTTGATGAACCCTCTACTGGATTAGATCCTGAAAATAGAAGATAACTTTGGGATATTATATCACAATGTAAAGGTAAAAGAGCTATGGTACTTACTACTCATTCAATGGAAGAAGCAGATGTACTTTGTACTAGAGTAATTATATTTAATTTATTATAGATTGGAATAATAAGTTCTGGAGTTCTAAGATGTATTGGTAATTCAACACATTTAAAATCTATCTATGGAGGTGGTTATCATCTCTTTATTAGTTCCCATAAAGAACTTTATCTTTAAAAAAATAATGATACTCATAAGTAATTACACTATTTTAGTTTAGTTAATAATATTATTAAAAAATGATAAAAAGTTTTTTAAAAAGCATTTTACCCTAAGCTATACTTGTATAGGAATTTAATGGCAACTTTATTTATTAAGTGGATAAAAATTAATTAGTTGTTTCTGAAATCTTTTAGTAAATAGAATCAAAGAAAGAAGAACTTAGAATCTAAGATTGGGGAATAAGTTAAGCTACTTTAGAAGATGTATTTATGAGAGTTGTAGAAATGTGATATTTAAATCAATCAATTATTGTGTTTTTATCGTAAATTTATCTTATGTATGTCTAGATTGAATTATGAATACTAGAATTTCTCTATTTTAGTTATCGATATAAATTAAGTTGATTCTATTTCATTTAATAAATACAAGGAAGTGCTTTACTATTTTAAATCAATTCAGTTTTTCTTTAATGATGATTTCTAATTACAGATGTATCTCTACTATAATGTTGAATATCTTCTATTGTTCTTTAAGATTTTGGAATAGACTCATAAATTTATTATGTTTCTAATTTTTATATAGATTTCTTTGATTAATAAACTTTATCTTGATGATTTGACTCGCTTCTTTATACTCTCCTCAATTAAGCTACTTTACTATTATTTGTAATCCCTTTTTCTCCTATTTCTTTTCCCCAACAAAAAAGTTTTAAATTAGTTTAACTCTTAATAGTTAGTTCTAAAGCCATTCTAGTAATATCTATAAGATGTTAAACTAAAATCAAAAAAACTGACTATTTGTTTTAGTTTGTCTTTTCACTCTATAATAATTCTGATTAAGATGATAGTCCAAAATATTGATATAGTTCAAGGATGATCCTAGCTGTTGAACTTAAATTAGGTTCTAGATTATTAATCTATTATATATTTTCAAAAAAAGAACTTCAAAGTTAAGTGCAATGATTCTGATTATGAATTTCATAGTATGTTACAATAGTATAAGATCATTTTTACTAATCTTCTTTATTTGAGATAGTTAATTAAAGAAATCAGTTTCGACTATTTATCTAATCTTCTCCCTATACTCAGTAAATCAAATAATAGGATACTTATTTGTCTAATTGCCATTTAGTTATTTTACAACAGTCTAATATCTTATGCTCTATCTCTCAACAAATCCATTACATTCATTATATTATTTAAAACGAAATAAACATATATATAAATGTAAAATTTATATAATGTATCATCAAAATGAAAAAAACAATACATAAAATATTACTATTCTAAATTTCTAATTTAATTCTTCATTGATAAATATTATTAAGTTATTCTATTATTTTAATGATATCAACATAAATATGAATGATATTAGTTGTGAAAACTATGATTTTATAGAATTAATTCAAATACTATTATAAATATAGTTTAAATCTCATCATTCATAATAAAATAATTGTATTACTCCTTAATTTATAGAAGTTGAATTATCACTAAACTCTTGAGTGAATGAAAGTTATGAAAATTCAAATTCATCAGTTTCAAATTTACTATTAGCACCATAATAACTTAAACAACTTTAATTTGGTTTAAGTGCTTCATATATAATCATTTATACCTATAGTTTAAGTTTTATCAAATTCAATTTTAATAGCCTTATTAAAGTAAAACTTTCTTTGATGATTACAAAAATCCTTATCAAGTTGTATAGTGAATATATCTTTATAAATTACATTTTTGCTAAAAATATAATTAATCCATACTAAACCTATTCACATTGGCACCTTCAAATATTTGGACAGTAAATGATAGAGGTTATTCAGGCCAAGTTGTAAATTCATATAAACCAACTCCTAATAGCCATATGTCATGTTTCTTTTTGGATCTAAAACAAATAGCATCCGTTTCCTTTAATTCAATTATTCATATGTCAACTAATATCTATTTTGACTTGTAAGTATTTTTACTTATTTCCTAATAGGATTTTAACAAGTTTCATATAGCTTATTAAGATCTAAAAAACACTAAATTTTTCTATACATAACATACTTTTTCAAGTCAATACTTACTTTCTCTTCTTTCTATAACTTCAGCTGTTTTATAAGCTTTTAAGCTGACTTATTTATATCTGTATCTCTTAAGATCCATATCTATCCATCACAAATCTTTAACAGAAGTTCAATTTTTTCGATGGCTTATTCAATTTATTCTTTTTTTAATTTTTATATATTTAAAAAAGTAATTTATTTTCAAAAGCATCTTCAATAAATAAATCAGCCTCCAGATCAAGTACTTTAATTTATTTTTCAATATCTATTTCTAATTTATTGAGCATCTCTTTGATTTCAATTAGATTTTATCTAAAGGTTTGTTTAATCTTATGATGATATTCAAATATTTAGTTTCCTTTATTATGTAATTTGTGTAATTCTTATTGATTTTTTGGAGTATTTGCTTAATTAAAATTTGATACAATAGTTTTTAAAGGAAATACGTTTTTTACATGTTATTAATTATAGATTAACATAAAAAATGAACATATTAAACCTTTATTTTAGCATTCTTTGTCTCAAAAAAATAAATTTAATGGATTTCCAGAATTTTCTTAATCTAAACAATAAATGGCATCCATTTAATTAATATCTAAATATATTTCAAGTTGAAAATACTTTAAATATTATTCTAATAGTTAAACAAATAAATATGTAATTAATTTTAGAAACATGATTGAAAAAGTTAATAATCTCATTAGAAATAAGATATAAAAATTATAATTCCAACTACAATCCAAGATTAATATTATTGATTGTCTATTTTATTATTTATAAGAATGACATTTAATTAATAGTGAAATTAATGTATCAATTTTCAACGTAAATACAAATGAGAGAAGCAATTCATATTTATTAAATTATTTATGTATAAAGTATCTAAAGAACAATTAAGAGAAATATTGGCTTCTGGATTAACTTAAAATCCTTAAAATAGCATGAATGAGTTCAATACAACTAAGAGTTTTGAAAATTCTTTAAAATGTAACATAACACAAGGATTGAGTGATAATGAAATTAAATAAAGACAAGAGGTATTTGGTATCAATTAGAAAGAGAATTTAGATTCAATAAGTTTTTTAAAGGCCTTCTGTATTATTTTACTTGTAAAAATTCAATTTTATTAAGCAACTTAAATCGATATTCTTTTTAACTTTGTCATTAATAGCATTTATTCTAAAATATTTATCAACATAAGGAATATACACAAATGAATGGATTGAAAGTTTATTTATATTTGGATTAATTTCTTTGAACCTCATAATATCAGCTATTCATGTATAATTTCAATTTAATAAACAAAGTTGAAAATTGCTGATAATAATAAAAAAAAACTTTTAATTTAAGATGAATAATTAAAGTAAGTTAAAGTCTTGAGAAATGGATAAGAATAGAATATTATTGCAAGGGATCTAGTTGTTGGAGATATAGTAATATTGTAAGAGAAAGATAAAATATATGCAGATGGTTTGATAGTTGAATAAAATAATTTAGAAATTGATGTATTTATTTTGATTAATTTTTTATTTAGGAGTGTTATTTAACAGGAGAATAGGATTTGATTCATAAAATTACATTAGAAGAGGCAACTTAATAAAAATAATCAATTTTACCATAGAAACATTTAATATTTGCAGAAAGTCGAGTAATCAATGGAAATGGAAAATAATTGGTTTTGGGTGTTGGTATAGAAACATAAGCTAGTAGAATATAAATTTGCATTAAATAAGAGAATAATAATACACCTATTTAATCAACAATTGAAAATATTTCATCTAAAATGGAAACTATAGGATTTGTTGGAGCTATAATTGTTATCTTTATGCTTTTGGCTAGATACATGATACAATATAATGATTCAAAGGTTAATGGATATAGTACATTTTCTAATATACTTAATCTAATCATTGTATTAATATCTGGAAATGCTTCTAAGGCATTAATTACTCATTATTAACTTTAATTAGCTTAAACTGTAAAGTTAATGTTATATTCATAAAATTTGGTTAGAAACCTTAATTAATTAGAAAATTTGCCATTTATGGACTAGGTACTTTTAATTATTATTTAGTTACTTATTGATAAAACCGGTACTTTAACTTAAAATAGAATGGCATTAAATTGTTTTATGAATGATAATACAGAAGAGCTTACTAAATCAAGATTTAATCAATTTCCATAAGAATTCTAATAAGTTTTTATTGATACTTGTTTTATTAATAATTAATATAATCCAGAAACTGATCAAGGCAGCTTTACTGATAAAGAATTATATTAAATTTCTTAAGAAATGAGAATTAATTTAGAAGAGAGAAAGAAATAAGTAACTCATATAATCCCTTTTAATAGTGCTAGAAAAAGATTAGTAAGATTATTGATATATAAATTATTAGACAACAATTATTAACAATAATAGAGTTGTTGTAAAGGGAGCAGCTGAAATAATATTTTAATAATCTATTAAATTTTATAGTTTGAAAAATGGTATAGTTCAAATTGATGATTTTTTGAAGGACACTTTGGAATAGAGTTTAATTTAATTGAGTTAAGATGGAAGAACAATAGCTATAGCTTATGCAGATGTTAATTTATAAAATGAAAATGTAGATGAGTTAATTAAGAATAATAAATTTTAATTTGATAAATAAAATTTGACATTATTAGGTTTCTTTTAATTTTCAGATCCATTAAGAATAGAAAGTAAAATGACAGTTGAAGGTTTAAAATAAGCTGGAGTTAAAGTTGTTATGATTACAGGTGATAACTCAGTAACTGCAAAGAGTATTGCTATAAAAGCTGGAATAATGTCATTGGATTCAATAATTACAGAAGGAGCAGAATTTACAGAAAGAATAGAAAAAAAAGCGGAAAATTTTTCAAAATACTTTGAGGATATTTATGTTATGAGTAGAGCCAGGCCAGAAGACAAATATAATTTTGTTAAAGAATTATAATAATTAGGCCATGTTGTAGGAGTATGTGGTGATGGCACTAATGATGGTAAATATAAATATAATATTATATATAAGCTCCTGCAATATCTAAGAGTGATGTAGGTTTTAGTATGGGAATATCAGGAACTGAAGTAGCAAGAGAAACTGCAGGGATTATATTATTGGATGATAACATCCATTCAATTTATAAGGGACTCATTTTGGCTAGAAATCTCTTAGATTCAATAAAAAGATTAGCTTAATATTAAATTACATCACATTTTTCATTGATAATTATTTTAATAGCTTCATCAGCAATTGGAGATGCTGTAATATCACCACTTTAATTTATTTGGATCAATTTAATTACTGATATATTTGCTACATTTGCTTTGTCTTATTGTAGACCAAGTTCTTATTTGTATCATTAAAATCCTCCTAATAAAAATGGATTTTTATTGGATTTCATTGTTTATCTTCATATCATAATACTTGCATTATACATAATAACTGTATGTATAATTTTTATAAATTAAGTAATAATAATAATTTATTTATTTATAGTCTTTAATGGTATTCAATTTATTTGTCATGACTACTTTGTTTAATTTAATTAATTCTCGTATGGTTTATTTAGAATTAAATGTTTTTAGTGGATTCTTTGGATCTTGGATGATTTATACTTCCATTTTGATAATAGGATTATTACAATTTTTAATTGTTGAATATGGAGGTATAATAATGTAAACATTTGATGGTTTAAATTTGAAATAATGGTAAATTTTAATTTAGATATAAGGCTTATTTGTATTGCTGTAGGAATTGGAAGTGTAATTTGGAGAACGATAGCAATACTGATTATTAGACCGATTATTGTAAATAATCAGTTATATATATTAGAAGAGTGAGAAATAAAAATTAAAAGTTAGTTGAGATGAATTATTGAGATAATCATTTTTATTATTAATAAATAAAATATGAAATTAGTCAGATTTCTAATGAAGCTCAAGAATGAGTAAGTCATTGTTGAATTAAAAAATGGGACAGTTGTTTTAGGAACAATTACAGGAGTAGATGTTAGAATGAATACACATTTAAGCAAAGTGAAATTAACATTGAAAGGAAAGAATCCAGTAGGATTAGATTAATTGACAATTAGAGGTTTGCTGACTATCATTACATAGGAAATAATATCAGATACTTCCATTTATCTGAAAATTTATAAATTGACAATCTATTGGTTGATGAATCCATTTCAAAATCAAAGAAAGTGAAAGCAGGAATGGAGAAAAATGATCCAAATTTTAAAAGAAAGAAGAAGAATAAGGTCACTCGTTTACCAAGAAGATGATTTAGCATTCCCAATATTAATTTATCACATATAAAAAACTTCTATTTCTTCATTAAAATTAAATTATTTTTTTTTTTTTATTTGAATTCTTTTTTTTTTATTAAAATAATTATACATAACTATAATTAATAAACTCAATAAATAGTATCATTCAAATACTTAATTAATCAAATGGATTTTAAATAATATAAATAAAAATGGCAGAATAAAAAAAGAGATTGAATTCTTCTATGACGTATGAAGAATATGTGAGTATTTTTGAAAAAGAACCAAAGAAACCTACTCTAAAACCAAAATTAAATCCAGATCTTGTAATGGATGACTTAGATCTTCTTAGTGATGCTACTACTACTGATAATCTAGAGTACTTCTATACAGAAATAAATGATAAATAGGAACTAAAGTAAGTTCTATTCAATGAACAATCTTAAAAAAGATAAAGAACTTATAGTGAAAACATTTCATATACATTCCTTAGTTTTATATAGAAAAAAATTGAAAGAAAGTAATCAGATTGAAATATACTAATTATTATATATCTAATCACTTTGTATATAACTTATTTTCCCTTAGACGATCTTCAAATTGTCTCATTCTTTATTCAAGTTGCTCTTTATTTTTCTACAAATCTGTTAATCTAGATTTAATTGTAGAAAGATTCGTCTTCTCATTATTATTATTATTACTCTTCTCTCTTATTAAACTTTAAGGTCTCTCATTTAATACTTCCTTTTTCTTTTACTTTTCTAAAGATTAATATTTAGCTTCCCTATCATGATCGGTTTTACAGAATTTATTTTTCTACAGACTATCTTCATATTAATTTTCTTAAATTATGCTTTTAACAGGACTCTTCACTTACTATTGATATGAATAGTTTTATAACTAAGAATGAGAAGTATGATGATAAGTTAGAGTTGGTTACTAATAAGGTAATGATGTTTATTTTTTTAAAACTTTGACATCATTTTCATCATCATCACTTATTTCCTCTTATACATGACATTATAATATTTCTGAATCTGAATTCTTATTCTAATTATCTTCTTATAAACGATGTAATTCTATAGTTCTAATATTTTCAAATAATATAATTACAATTTTGCTATTTCTTTATCCTTATTTTACAATTATACCTCCATTTCTTTTTATTTTTATTACATCTATTATATTTTAGATTGGTAATCTACTTTCATTTATTAAATTAATCTATCTTTCTCTTCTAATTATTTTTCTAGTTATTAAATTCTTTAATTCTAATTGCCATCTTATTTTTCAATATAATTGCTTTTACTTCTTTCCTCATGTTTCCCTCTAAGTGTTGTAGTAGAACTACAAATACTCTCAATAAATGAAGATGATCCCTTTTATTCAATACATATCAGATGACTATTACCAGCTGAAAAATGTATTAACTATTTTGAATATAATTGATCAATTGATTTTAATTGAGTAATTCTTTTCTATTCTGGATCAAATTGCCATTAATAAGCTTTATCTCCTATACACATTCCAATTAATTCCCCCATACAAAAATCTTTGATATTCATAAGCTATTCATCTAATTCAAAAAATATTAATTCATTTGTTGAAGTCAAACCTATTGGAGTACTCTTCCCATCTATTTTAATAAATTTTTCTATTTATAAGTAGAACTAACTTAATACATTTATAGTTTAATTTTTATAAATTTCCAAAACCTAATCCACATATATACACAATTCCATCTTGAGTTAAGAACATTGAAAATAAATTACCTGCACATATCTATTATAAGGAAGGCAATTTAATTTTTGTAGGTTCTACAACTGTTTTCAATCTTTAGATTCCTAATTAAGAATTATCATTCAATCCAAATCCAAAACATTCCTAAGCATCTTAAATATTATTTATATATTAAAATACCTGTTAATACTAATGTATGTTTATTGCCACATGAAACTTAAATACAATTTGTAAGAGTATTAACTTTGTTTAAATTACTATTTTATTTGACTCCTAATTAACCACTAGTATTGTCTCCCCAAGTAAATAAAGCTCCATCAGATGTAATACATGCAGTATGAGTATAACCACAAGAAACTTGTATAACTCTCTTTTTAATATTAGAGTTTGTACTTGCTTAATTATTCTATTTTTTAAGGTGCATATAGAGACTATTTTGTTGCATGTCCTAATTTATTATGTTCATTGCAACCCATTGTATAGACATGTCCATTTTAAGTCAATAGAGCTGTGTGATCTTTTCCACAAGAAACTTAGATAAAACCTATTTTGTAATGACAAATCTTTGGTATATGATAGTATTAAGAAGATCCTCTATTCTTGCCCAATCCCAATTATCCTTCATTGTCAGCTAAAATGTTTAATAGAGATTATACCTCCCCAAACATACACTATTGATTCAGAGATCATATGAGAATTCAAATTTAACGATATATTAATTATATTGATGTTGCAAGTAGTACTTTCAGATGAATAAAACTTATCTATATCATAAGAATTATCTCATTAAGGTGGCAATTTTAGGATTTCCAAATAAGCCTTAGTGAAAATAGTTAGTGCTGCTCAAGAACGATTGTTTGCAGAGGAGATTGATGAATTAGAAAATATTGATGGTTTGCAAAATTTAGAAATGAGTTTATGCACTAGTTTCACTAAAGGTTTGAAAGGTGATGATTTTAAAGAAAGAGATATTCTCTTTGGTAACAATAAAAAACCTGTCATTCCACCAAAAACTTATTTAAAATTGCTCTTATAAGCATTAGAGGTTCATATATTAGTATAGAATCATATTAGGATTTCATCATGAGAGTATTATTAGTGGCCTCAATAGTCTCAATAGTAATTGGAGTAGCCACAGCAGATGATGATCATCGTTCTTTAGCTTGGATAGAAGGATTTGCAATTTTCATAGCCGTATTCGTATGCTGCAATGTGACTGCAATAAATGTATAGAATCAGTATTTATATATAGGATTACTAAAAGGAAAGATAATTTCAAAGTTTAAATTCAATGGCAGATAGTAGAAAAACAGTAACAGTATGGAGAGATGGGTGTAAAATAGATTTGCATCAGAGTTTAGTTATGGTGGGAGACATAATTTAAATTTTTGAAGGTATGGAGATACCAGCCGATTGTTTTGTTGTTGAGGCAGCTGAATTAACATGTGACGTAATCAAATAGTAAATTAATTATTAGGAAAGTGCTATGACAGGTGAGACAGATCCTGTTAAAAAGGATACCTATGAAAACTGTAGAAAGTAGAGAGATAAATTAAAAGATTAATAAAATTCATGTGGTAGACATGATGTATCGTCTCCAGTTATGCTGAGTGGTACTAAAGTGTTGTCAGGTGAAGGTAAAATGATTGTAGTAGTTGTTGGAGATTCAAGTTGTGTAGGAAAAATATCTTCATTACTTGCAACTGAAGATATACAAACAACTCCATTATAAGAAAAATTAGAAGCCATTGCATAAGATGTAGGTAAATTTGGTCTTGCAAGTTCTGCTTTGATATTGCTTATTTTACTATTAAGATTTGCAGTAGAAAGAATTAAAGATAATTCATTTGAAAAAGAACATATAAAAGAAATGCTTAATTTCATTATTATTTGTATTACAGTCATTGTAGTTGCTATTCCTGAAGGATTACCACTTGCTGTTACACTCTCATTAGCTTATTCTACAAAAAGAATGTTGAAGGATAATAATTTAGTTAGAAAAATGGCAGCTTGTGAAACCATGGGTGGAGCAGACATGGTATGTTCAGATAAAACAGGTACTTTGACTTAAAATAAAATGTTTATGGTATCTATTTGGAATGATACTCTAATGGATATTGATGTTTATAATGATTAATTGAATTTAAGTACCTATTTTCCTACTTAAATGCATGAATTGTATGTCTAAGCATCAATTGTTAATGGAACAGCTATGATTAGACCAGAAGAAAAAGGTAGTAAAACTGAAGTAGCCATGATTTTATTTGCAGAAAAATGTGGAATTATTTATGAAAAAGAAAGAGAAATACATGTTGCCAATATGAAAATACCTTTTTCAAGCAAAAGAAAAAGAATGGCTATGATAATAGGAAAAAGATTAGTTATAAAAGGTGCTAGTGAAATCATTTTAGAAGGTTGTAATAAGTTACATTCAAAAAGTAGAGGAATCGTCTCAATTGACTCTACCATAAGATAAAGTATTGAAAAAGCTATTGAATCTATGGCAACGTAGTCTCTTAGAACTATTGGATTAGCCTATAGAGATTTAAATGGATCAGAAGATCTGACTAACAAAAATGATAAAGGTGTTTATGATGTTGAAACTGAAAATTTGACTTTAATTGCTATTGTAGGAATCAAAGATATCCTAAGACCTGAAGTCCCAGGAGCTGTTGCTAATTGCAAAACTGCAGGAATTAAAGTAAGAATGGTTACTGGTGATAACAAAATAACTGCAAGAGCTATAGCTAAAGAATGTGGAATTTTAATTGATGAAAATAAATCTTTAGTATTAGAAGGTCCTGATTTTGTTAATAGAATAGGAGGTGTAGTTTGTAAATGGTGTAAAACAGCAATTTGTGATTGTCCAAGAGATTAATCAACTGCTAAATAAATAGGAAAATCAGTAAGAGTGGATACAATTAAAAACGGAGAAGAATTTGACAAAATCTATCCTCTTCTAGATGTCTTAGCTAGGAGTAGACCTGAAGACAAGTATGCTCTTGTCACAGGACTCATTGAAAGAGGACATGTTGTAGCAGTTACTGGAGATGGTACTAATGATGGTAATATTTTTAACTTAATTTTGAATAGCACCTGCTTTAAAGAAGGCTGATGTAGGATTTGCTATGGGTATTGCAGGTACAGAAGTTGCCAGAGAGAGTGCTTCCATTATTTTATTAGATGATAATTTTAGTTCTATAGTCAAGGCAGTAATGTGGGGAAGGAATATTTATGATTCAATAAAGAAATTCCTACAATTCTAATTAACTGTGAATGTTGTAGCTGTCACAATGACTTTAATATCATCAGTGTTACTTAAGTAAGAAGTTTTGGAACCAATCCAAATGTTATGGGTGAATTTAATTATGGATACATTTGCATCTTTGGCTTTGGCTACAGAAACACCAACAGCAGAATTATTGTAGAGAAAACCTCATAACAGAAATGAGTACATGATTTCATAAAAAATGTTCAAACACATAATAGGATAAGCAATTTATTAGATGATTATAATGCTGGTGTTATTATTTAGTGCTTAAGATTTTGTTCCTGAATATAATGGTTCAGAGGATAGGACTTCAGATTTTGAAGGAAGATTATAATACAAATATTCTAATACATATTATGATGAAACATTAAAAATTCATGTATGTCCTAATCATTAAGACTACTGTAATTTGGTTTCCTTTAGCACAGATTATTATGTAGATGGTTCTGAGAACTATGAAACTTTCTACAAGGAAACCTATATACCATCAAGACAATTTACTGTAATATTTAACACATTTGTCATGATGCAATTATTCAACTTTATGAATGCAAGAAGGATAAAGGATGAACCAAATATCTTTCAAGGCATTTTCACAAATATCTTATTCCCAATTATAGTTGTAGGAATTCTGACTTTACAAATAATTTTAGTTACATTTGGAGGTATTGTTTTCCACTGCTATACTTTTTATGGTTTGAGAATTGAATAATGGTAAATTATTTTATTAATTTTTAGGTTAATATGTGTAGCATTTGGTTCTGGAGGTCTTATAGTTAGAATGATTCTTAGAATTATTCCAGATCCAAAATTAGCCTTTTTAACTAAATTAGGTCATCAACATAATGAAGCTCCTAAATTGGCATCCCCAACTGCATAAAACAATGAAAGCTATTAAATTTAAGTTATTCGTTAAGAATCTGAATTGGCAAATCTTAATGATCAAGTATAAGAATCTAGAATGATTTGAATAATAATATATTTATGAATAAATAATTTCTAGTTTTGTGTATTAAAGGAAATTCTAATAAAATTGGTATTGGAGTAATTACAAAAGATGGCAACATCCTCTCTCTAATCCAAGAAGAACATATATAACTTCTCCAGGAAAAGGGTTTAAACCTACATAAACAGCATAACATCATAGTCTTAAATGAAACGCTTAAAATTGCTAATGTGACATTAAATGATATAAATCGATACTAAAGGCCCTTGAATGGCTGGACCACTTTCAATAGGTGCTACTGTTGCAAGAACATTATCATTACTTTATAAAATTCAAATAGTAGTAAACATTAGTAATGATCCTGCTCCAGGATATAATATAGAACAATTAGATAAGAAAGGTAAAAATTATATAATTGATACACCATATGTTGTGAAAGGAATGGATATGAGTTTTAGTGGTTTATTAACATTTGTAGGAGAGGTCTTTAATTCATTTTTATAAGCTCATTTACCTGAAGTAGAAGGGAATGAGAAACCTAAAAGTTAGAATACATAATTAGAAAAAAAAGTTAATCCATTTGTCACTTAAAGATTTAGAACTGATGAAATTATTAAGGATGGAGAAATGATTGATATATATATTTAATAAAAATGAATAAAAATATCATTTGCAAACTTTTTTTTTTATTAAATCACACGATATATTTTGACTTTTCTGTTGTTAATCTGAATCCTTCTTAAGAAGTTGTTGTACATCCTATTGAACTCTGTTTTTCAATTTATTTTGATCTAAAATTGTGTTGTAGCTTCTTTTCAATACAAAATATATATCAGAATTCTCAAGATACTACACCAACTACTCCATAATGAATTCAAATAACAACTTCCAGTCTCCTTAAATTTTATTTCCAAATTTGAAATGTTAGGTGAATAAAGCTAATAATGCTTCTTCATCTAAGTATTCATCTAAATAATCTTTTATTGTATTTAATAATACTCTTTCATTTATCATATTCTTCTAGATTTAATTACAGAGAGGTATCATTAATCTATTTGCTGGATTGAACTAAAATTATGACAACCAAGTAGTACTTTAGAAACATATTTTAAAATGAGTTCTTGATCTACGTATCTATCAAATAGTAATTCTTAAGGAAAATCATCTGAATAGATATTATTATTTAATGCATCTTCTAAGCATAATTCTGCTTATACACATCTAGTAATAAAATATTCAATTTATTCCTTCTTATAGTCTTCACATTCTGTCCTTTAAATTTCTTTAAAATAATCACCCAAAGAGATTAATTTTAAATCTTCTGTTGCTTATTTATTTTTTAATCCTTTATCAACTATTTCATTTAATTTATTATAAAATTCATAGCTTTCATAAAGTTTATCAAATAATGCAATGTACTCATAATCCACTTATATAGTATCTAAATTATCATTTTAGTATTTTTAATCAAAAACAATTTATAAACAGGGTTTGGCTAAATTTACTTTTAGAATGTCTCCAATAACAATAAAAATATCAGCTCCACATATTCGTTCTTTTTCTAAATTTTATAAAATTTAAATGCTCATGTACAATTTATATATATTTTTTTAAGATGTAATATTTGATTCTATAATTATTGAATCATCTTATGATGTATGTTATTAATTGCATAAAGTAAAAATTAACTTAGAAACCAATTATTGATGATTTTCATCATTATTTAAAATGACAATTTTATAATATAGATTTTTTTAATCTGCATTTTTTTTGATTAATTTTCTTGATAAATCGATTCTAAAATTAGATTGTTCTATTATTTTTATTTATTTGTTTATATTTTCTTTATTTTTTTATCTACATAATTCCACAAATTATTTGTATCTCTTTTCAGTTAATGTACTTAATCTCCAATGTTTCAATATTCTTTGCATTTTATAAAAATTTCCTAATTATTAATCAACCTTATCTAAATGAGGAGCTAAAAATTTAGTAAATTTGTTTAAAACCCTCTTTTAACAAAATTAAAGCAAAATTTCTTAAATTGATGATTTCATCTTTTTTGTTTCTTAATCTATTTATTAGGATTTCTATTATAAAATTTCTTATTAAAATTCTTATTGATTAGTTTTTTAATCACGTAAATAAAAATTAATATTTTCAATTGGTCCTTATTCAAAAATAATTTTTGAAAAATTTCCTTTTGAATTAATGAATTATATTTTATCTTCTATTTAAATCCATTTTTGATAGATAGAATTTATATTAATTAAATTTATATTAGGTTTTTCATTCTGAAATATCTTTTATTGTTTAAATTTCTCTAAACATTATTCTATTTGGTCTTAAAATAAATATATAAAAAATTGTTAAAATAAAGTAATGTTACTATTTTATCCAAGATCAAGCAAAGCACTATAATTTTTCTAAATTAAGTATTCCTTCATCAACTAACAAAATTAATATTCAGATGTTTTAATTAATTTTTCAAAATATTTAAATTCTGAAAAAATAATATTATCCAAATTTGCCAACTTTTAAATAGAGTTAGTTGAAAGAATCTTTTAAGATAGCATAATATGGTAATAAGAAATAAACTCTGGTAGATTATCCAATAAGTAAAATCTACTATCATTGCTATAATAATAAATCAACTGATTACATACATTTCATTAAATAGTATTTTATAATCAATTGCTAAATCATCAAGTGCATCAATCAGATACTTATTACAATTAAATTTATTCTGTTATATTAATGGGCAACTTTAATCTGCCTACATCATCTCTAAATATGACAGCAGATAAATTCGGACTATTTAACAACTAAATTATTTTACTTAGCTATTCGAGATACTGGATCCTAAATATATAAATATTACTATTTTCTGATTCTATTTGCTTTAACTCTGTACTTAAAGCCCTAAATCTATCAGAAATGTATTAAAAGATTTCCACAATGTTCACTAGCTCACCATTTTTTTTTCTTTTCTATCTGTCACAAAATATCTAATGTAATCTTTGAATTGATAACATCATTCCTACATCTGATCTAAAAATTGTTTCTTATTTCCCTTAATTCGGTCTTATATATTATTTAACAATTAAAGAAGTATTTAACTAATAATTCTTATCAACTTCAAATGTGCTATCATACATATTTAGATTGATAGCATCTTATATATTTTATTGAGTGCACATTTAATCTATAAATTGAAAATTTTTCCATTTCACTTCACAATTATATTTTATTGTATTTGCTCCTGTATTATGTGATATAGGTTAAAGATTTTAAGAAAATTATGGGATTTTCCAACTATTTGCATCAATTTCATTTTATAGATTTTTATAATATGATTATTATTATTATTATTATTATTATTATTATTATTATTATTATTATTATTATTATTATTATTATTATTATTATTATTATTATTATTATTATTATTATTATTATTATTATTATTATTGTTCAGTATATTTCAATTATAGTTCTTTCCTTTTGGCAATAAGCTTTTCGTTGATCTAATCTTTATTTTATGTTTGCCTTAATTCATTTGTTTAATTTTATGATTCATAATTAAATTAGTTAGGTATTTTTTTAGCTTTTTCATCTTTTTAAAAGTTTTGACCAAATCCTTTCGGTAAAGATGGAATTATTTTTCTTATTTCAAAAGCTAACATCCGTTTTGAGCTTTCAGCCAATCTTGGCTATTATACAGGTGGTTTCACTCTATCTTCAATTTGATCATAATAGTCGTCGTAATCATCAAAATCATTTTAATTATCGTCATCCGTATTATCTCTTCCTCCTTCTGATTGATCATTTTCATCTGTATATTCATCATCCCTTTATTAATCATCTTCTTCATTTTCGTATAAATTATCATCTTATTTTGAATTTTTTTCTATTTCACCATCTTCATCATATTAATCATATTCTTCTTATGAATTATCTTAATCCTATTCATCAGTATAATCATCATAATCTTCATTTTCTTCATCTTTTTCATCTTCAACAGGATTTAATTTTTGTGATACTTTTTCTATATCATTGTTTTTCTCTTTTAGATCACTATCTTTATTATTTTCATTATTGTTGATTTTTTAATTATCCTAATCATCAATAGAATTATTTTCATAAGAATTCTCAGCTTAAAGGCTCTCTTTTTAAGGACTCCTATCATCATAATTTTTTTTAAAGTGATTAAGTTTTAATTGTTTGTTTTTATCATTTATTTAGATTTCTTCATTATTTTTTTTAAAGTCTTCATTCTTATATTAATAATCAGGTTCTTTCTTATTGATAATATTGATTATTTTTTTAGTTGGTGGATTGTCAAATAATATTGGATCATTTAAAATTGATTTATCTTAAATAATAGGAGTGCGTTCTTGCTTTTGATAATAATTTTTTTTTTAATATTATTATTAAGGCTTTCTATAAGGTTTTCCTCTATTAAAATTATTTCTTCTATACATTAAATTAAATATTAATTTTTATTATTGTAATCAATATTATTACTCAAATCAAATTCGAATAACAAATACTTAATAACTTAGTTTCAACAAGAAATCATTAATAATTATGATGAAATTCATTATTTTTAGTTTTATTAGAGTATAAAAACAACTAATTTAATATTGTATCTTAATTTTATAAGAATTTTAACAAAGCTTTTTAAATCAAAAAGTTAGTTGATTATGTAAAAGTAGATCTAATATTTGAATAGTATCACATTTGCAGTAAATTTATTAACTAATTAATAAAAAAGATGTATTTAATTTAAAAGTAATTTTTTTAATTATTTTTATAAAGGTATAAAATCATTATAATTAATGGAAATTATGAGAATGATTAAAAATATATAATAAAATCTAAAAATTACAAAAATTATTCATTCGAATTTTGAAACTGCAAGTTCTTCTTAACTATCTTCTTATTTTATTTACAAACCATTTATAGAATTGAAACTTTCCTCTGTCATTTTACTTTATAATTCTGGAGCCTCTATTTACTCTTCAATTTCATTTGCTGTTTAATTAGCACTTAAATTTTATTCAATTTATTAACTACTTAAATAAAAATACTCATTCGTACTCCCTTAATTCTAATTAGTGGACAATTAAGAAACTAACCTATGATTATATGAAGATAATCCCAAAGGACGAGTAAAAGTATTAGAAAACTTTCCATATTTTGTTTAATATTCCGAATTTTCGCATTCATAATATAAATCCTTAACACCAGAGCTAATGTAAGATTGTTTATGTTTTTAATCATTATCTATTTTTACTTCATCATAAGGATCTTAGATATAATTACTTCCATTTTAAAAATCTTAATTGTGCCTAAGAAAACTTTATACAGCTTTTTTCTATAACTAGATTTATGTATTTTATTTATTCGAATTGGATTTTGAAGGTATAGGAGGTTTAGTGGAATTGACTTCTTCAATTATTTGCAATCCTGTTGCTAATTAAATAGTCTTTTCTAATAAACATTCTTAAGATAATTATTTAATAAGAGTTGGACCTGTTTAGGGTAACTTCTTTGACTTATGAGAATTTGATAGTAATATTTGTTATTATTATTAAATAGTTTATTATGGTTCTTAAATTTGATTGGAAATAAGAGTTTATTATTCTAATGCGATTGGTTTTGCTTAAAATTAAATTTTATTTATTGAAGATGTTTTGGTTTACTATAATTAAATAGTTTTTCTTTAGTTTTAAGCATATGAACTGGACTTGATTTTTAATCCATTTATATTAATGTTTTAAGTTTGCTCTTAGAAATTGATATTAATTTATTTTGGTTAAAAAGATTTTTTATCTGATTAATTTTAAATATTCCTATCTTAAGAATTAGAAATAGTAGATAATCTTCTTTGTTGATTAGTTATTTAATATTTTCTAATTTCTAATTTTTCTGATTATGCTCTAATACTTATTGGTAATAATTCTAAAATTCTTTTTTCACTTAACTTCTATATAAGACATTAACCATCACTTTGTTATACATTATTATTACTTTAATTTGCTAACAATATTAGATTCGTATATTTTTTTTAATCTACCTAAAGATTAAATACTAAGCATCTTAACTTACATCTCTCCAATCTTGAAAAAACTATCAATATCAAATCCTAAACTGATCCATTTTTTTGTTAATATAAATGCACTTGATATTTTCACTTCATTTTTGTTTTTTTAATATGCTTATTGAAAATTTGGACCTACAATTATTTTATAAGACTGTATTAATTATAGATATCTATACTTCATCTTTAGAAATAAGTTCAAGGATAAATTTTAATTTTTCAATCACATATATTTGTATATATAAGTTGGAACCCTTGACATTTAATTCTTAAGGATTTAAATATGTATACGGATTGGTAGGACTGACTTTTAAAACGAAACCTCTAGATGGATGTATTTTTATACTTTTAATTGTTTTATCAAAAATGATGTTATCTGGTTACTCTTTCTTTGACTCTTCATAATTATTTATAGGTTACCTCTGCATTCAAATAATGAATTTTCTTAGATAAGTTTTGGTAACTATATCATGTATACAACTGTAATTATTATATTTAATTATTCATAAAAATATATACATTAAGACAATACTTTATCTAATTTAAATTAACGATACTATTAGATTAAAAAACCATAATTAATATTGAAATATATTTATATATATTTAAGGATAAATATAAAATTCAGAGTTTTGAAAATATGTCTTTAAAAGAATTTATATTCTTAAAGATTACACATTCATATTTTATTTCTTATCCAAACTAATTGGTATCATATTCATTTATTAATTATTCACTAGGACCAATAATTTTGATTACTTTTTTAATCATTTAATTAAAACAATCAATTTCAAATACTCTTTTTGGAGTTCCTTTAAATTAAGCTTTTATTGTAATTATAATTTCATCAACATTTATCACTTAAGTTTTTGATAAATGATTTTAATTTATATATAAGTGAATTTATATTGGAGATTTATGAATTAGAAAACATAATAGACTTAGTATTAAATGTGTTATTAAATAAGCATCATTAATTATAATTAAATTGTCATCTGTTTAATATGTAAATTTGATTTATTTTAAATCTAAATAATCTCTAATAGGATTTTCTATTTATTATAATAGATTTTATATATTTATTGTTGATATTTTCAATTTTGGAAAATCGTTTTTATTTAGACAAATAGAAAAATACTCTGAAATGAATTATATTAAACGAAATGATATTTCTGATTATAATAGTAAATTTGATAAACATTTTTTAGGATTTATAAGTGAGCTTAATTATTTTATTCGAATTTCAAATAATGATTAAAATTATTATATAACCCTTTTTAGATAATCTCTTTATTATTTAACTTTAATTAATTATCTTTTAACTTCATTCTATTAAAGTAATACTATTGCTTTTGCTTCCCCTTTTTCAATTATATATAAAATTTTTATTTTATAATCACATTTTCCTATTGTGTCATAACCTTATATAAAATCAAAATTTTCTGTTTTTTAAGTAGTAAATGATTTAAATAATAATTATTCAAGTGTTTCTGAACTCTCTAAATTTGGTATTGATAATCGAGTATATCTAATTTGAGAATTCTACTACATAAAATCATGTTTTATTCTTGAAGATGAGACTTTTGATTAAATCATACTATGTCTTTATTATTTAAAAATTTGAATTTATCTAATAAATTATCTAAATTCTTCTTAAGTTGAGAAGTAGAATCCAGATGATGGATGATTTTATGTTTCTAATTTTAGAAAATTTGTTCTTCTATCATATTTAACTTTCATTAATTATATACTGAATTGTTCAATTAAGCTACCATATTGTACATCATCTCTTTATTTTAATAAGAAAAATTCTCTTTTCTAATATTCATTAGAATAATATGATAAACAGGACAAAATAAGAGCTTAAATATATCATACTTTATTACCTAATATAAACATCACTTGATTTCCATTAAAAGATTTCTACACTATTGTTTATACCAAAATTAAAGTGGAAAAGTTAAATATTATAATAGTCATATTTAGAACAAAATTCGAACCCAAAAGTAAGCTGAACTAGACTAAAACAATAGTTTATCCTATCATCTAATTTAAGTTAGGAATGAAATTAAATAGAAGGTTGATATTGTAAAGTAAACCAATTAAAAGATTGTTCAAAGGTAACATGTAGTTAAATAATTTAGGGTATTTATTGATTACTTTAAAGGAAATGAAAAAGATTAAAGGCAAACATATAATAAGATATTTACTATTGCCAAATCCTATTGGATATGTGAATTCTAAACAAAATATAATTACTGCACTAATTGATCCAAATATACAGACTCTTTCATAAAAAAAAATTAGCATAGGAAGTTAATCTATAAAAAATTGACTTTGCTTCTATTAGCTTCTAAAGGAGAGTTTAATTTTATTCATATTTGGTTGATTAAGATTGTATATATTCTTAAATAATTTTATAGAAAAATTCTGAATGAAAAAATATTGATCACATCTAATTATATTAAATTTATTCCAGAAAAAACAAAAAAAATTGTAATTATTAATATTTATGATTATAACAAACATAGAAAATTCTTATATTTAATATATGATCATTACATATTAGGTTTTTTGTTGAAATTTCAAACTTCTAATGGAATTTGTTGGCTTTATAAATAATTTAAGAAATAATGAATTAATTTAAAGAGATATAATTAAATAAAAAATAGATAATAATAAATATAAGTACAATCAAGAAAAATAGATTAAGATCAATTAAATAAGTTATTTAAATCTAAAAATGAAAATCACTCTCATTAAATTTATAATCATCACCAATATACTTAATTCTAGAAGTTAATTCATGCTTAATTTCCCTAGTAAATTAAAGAAACTTATTAATTAATATATTAGCAAAATTGAACTTTTAAAAGCAATCTAAAAAATAGACCTGTATATTTGCATAAATCAAATAAAATATTAGAAGAAAACTTTATATAGTAAATGTAACTCTTTTAAAAATTAATTGAAAAAGAAAATCGTATGATGTATAAAGAGTAGATAAAGCATCCATTTCTTAAGCCTTAAATTATTTAAATGAATATAATCCTATTCAATCATTAACTATTCAAGTTGAGATCATAAAAAAAAGAATTAGAAAAATGAAATCTTCTTAAAAGAATTGAGCTATTAAGTTGAATCAGCTAAGCAATTCTACTCTCTAAAGTTACAAACATAAAATATATACAGATTTCTTTAATTTTATAATAGTAATAATAAATCGAGAAAGATCAAATACAAAGTCTTAATTTATTATGGTTTTCCTAATATCTGCAATAGAAGTATGGAAGCTCCAAAAATTCAATTGAGATACAATTTAAAAATATATATATATATAGTTAATAGAAGTTGAAATACTTTTATGATAACTGAAATTATGAACAATATCAAAATTACTAAACCAGCTTACTTTTAGTATAATTTATGTTTTCAACAGGTTTAGGTTTGCTTCTAAGAATATCCTTTTTAATTGTATCAGATTAATTATTGAGATTATCTGAATTATTTATTTATCCTATTTGAACCTATGATAATCTTTATTAGAGAATATTTAATGATGGTCTTGATGTTGGTTATTAATTAAGACTTTGATTAATTGTGTAATCCATTGGTTACATTGTTTTTGTTCTATTATATTTTTTAATAGAATCAGTTTGTTATTCATTAGAAGAGAATTCATATTAAATTTTATTAGGAGATGGTTAGAATGATACTTCTAATTATTACTATTTTAATTTCTATTCCATGATTTTTTAATTTTCTAACAATTCTTCTATTTTTTATTGATAACTTAAATTAATGTTTTTAAGTTCTTTATTTTGACATTATAATTCAATTACATCTTCATGTAATTAATTAAAAATACCACTATCATTCTAATTTTAGTGTTCTTATGTGTTTTTCTATAATTCTTTCTATAAATATTCAACCTCCATTTATTTTTACACATATTTTTAATTCAAGTCCATTCTAATTAATTTTTCTTCTTTATATTACTTATGAATTTATTAAAGTTCATTTTCTAATTCTTCAATTTATTATTCTTTAACTTGTTTATATTGAATAAATTTTTATTGCTAAAGCTTTAATTCTTCAAGTATTTCAGAATCAAAACCATTATTCAAAACCAGAGTTTAATTATTTTATTTTGCTGCTTCTAATTCTTATTTTAGTTATGATATTTCTTAATTGGCCACTTATTAAGCTTCAGTCATTCTATCTAATTCTTATATCAAGATTTTTAAACGTTGTAAACATCCTTAATGTTTCTAATCAGTTTAAAGAGTATCAGTTTTAGTAGAATTAAACATGTTCCCAAAAGATCTTTTATAATCGTTTTCTTATATAGAACCTCTTTACGAATAGTATTAATACATAAATAAATTTATTTTTTTTTAATTAATTAAAATAAACTTCAAAAAAATAATTTATCCCTCATATTTTCATTAACTAACATTTTAATACATAATCTCTCTAATCATCTTCAGTTAAATTTTTATTATTTCCATCTTCTTTTTCAATATATAATTTATAATCTGCTTTAAATAAATAATTATCGCAATCTTCAATCCATTTATAATGTATGATTGGAACATTTTTCTCTTAGGCAATCATGATACTTCTAATCTTTCTTCTTCCAACTGTAATTACAAAACTATTTTCTTGGCCTACAAAATAATCTTCTTTAAATTCTCTATAAACCTTGGCTCCTAACATAACTGCTTTATCTTTTGCTTATTCTAATCCTCTCTTTATAGATTCTTCATGTGCTTCAGAAATTGCAAAAAATAAAGTTAAACCATTCAATACATTTCTTCTCATTTCTTAATAAATTGTAGGAACACTAATTTTTCTATTGATAATCAAATCTAAAGGAGTTCTTTCTTCTAATCGAGTATTGGTTTCCTCTATAATTTCTGTTTTTATTTTTTTAGCTTTACATACTTATTATTCAAATTCTATTATAAAATTTGGATCATCTTAAGCCAATTTAACCTACTTCCAAAATTAATCAGATATTTCTTTCAATTTCTATGTTATTGTATATAACCAAAAATCATTTTTATTATAAATTTATACTTCTTTTTCAATATCAGTTGCAATACCTTAACCATCTTTAGTTGAACCATGTTCATTAAAATATACAAATGGTTTTGTATGTATGAGATTCTCTTTGAATTGATTCCACATTCCAGCATTATCATCAAGAATTACTAATAGATTAGTTGCAATTCCTGGATAAAATAGTCTATTTAATGATTTACTATTTGAACATATAGTATCTTCACGTGATAAGACTCGTTGTGGGGGAAAGAATGGTTTATGTTCAGGAATAACTTCATTTAATCTATTGGAAATAAAGTTTAAAATGAAATCTGCATATGATTTGCTTGCTTTTGTGTAAATGAAAATATCAAAAAGAGGTATTAATGTTAAGAAAAACTGTTCAAAATAGGGTCTTAATTTAATAATAAATTTGCTCTATTAATCACAGGCCATTTCTAAAAAATGTTCCTTAATATTAAACCCCAATTAATGGAATCCATTGAATTATCTATCACTATCAGCCTATATCATTTTATTTTGCTTTTCACAAAAATCATATTTATTAAAACTTGTTGTAATTTTGATGGCATGTAAAATAGTTTAATCTAGATCAAGTACCATAATTAGTTTCCTTTTCTTTAAAATATCAAGTACAATTTCTTTTGAAATCTTCTTAGAAATGTCATCCGAATAATTTAAATCTAATGATTCTTCATTTCTAATGACTTTTTCATTACAAATAAGACAATAATTTTTTTCTATTTTTAAATGATTACAAGTTTGTGTAATATCAACAACTAAAAATACATCATTTCTTGATAATATTGTTTTCGTTTTAGCTAACTCTATAATGCGACCTTTAATCTTTGTTCTTAAATCAATTTCATCTTATTAATTTTCCTCAACACAAATTCCTAAAATCATTGTTGGTGATATATAATCTCCAACATTAACTCTCCATTTTTAGATTTGAATATTTCCTTAACAATTCTTTAAGGAAAGTTAAGAGAAATTCAATTTTGTATAATTTTATTATGCTTAAGAAGAAGTAGAAGCAGTATTTATTTCAAATTCTTCTTGCTTTAAATTAATAATATTTTTACTTGATTAGGCATTTCATTTTTATTTTTATATATTACACCTATTGTAAAATATTGATCAGTGACAGGTATTTCAAAAACCTGTTAATTTTAAGCCCATACAATATATCCTGATGAAGAAGCCATTATAGATTTATTTTAATTTTCAAATATATAAACTCCAATCTTTTCATTTTCTACTACTTTTTCTCCTGATTATTTTAATATTTCTATTTGAATAGGTGAAACATGTTTAATATTAATCCTAACTTGAGTATTATTATCATTTTAAGTTTACTAATATTTTGGTCTCATTTTTATAATAATATTAACAAAATATAATAAATTCTAAATTATTTTTATTTTTGAAATACACATTCTTAATCGAATAAAAAACAATCAAATAAACATAATGTTTAAAATGAATATATAAAACTATTGAAAGTAATAAATGACTTTATTATATATTTAATAAAAAGATATTAATTCTATAAAACATATATAAAGTATATTGATGTAAAAGAATACACATAAAAAAGAATGAATTTATTATAGTGTATTCATTTAGAAATAATATAGAACAATTTATTATATAATATATTAATATAAATAATATTGGCAAATAATGTCTGAGTATTACGATGAGGAATTTGGAGAAGTAAATCATTCTAAATATTGAAGCTTGGATTAGTAATTGGTGATTTTAACATTCCTTAAAGAGCTGCTGATTTACCACCTTAATTTAAAGATCTTCTTGTACCAAATAAAGTCCAATACGTATTTTGTACAGGAAATGTGGGAAACAGAGAAACTCAAGATTGGCTTAAAACATTATCAGGAAATACTCACTTTGTAAAGGGAGATTTCGATGAAGTTAAAGATATACCTGAAACAAAGGTTGTATAAATTGGATCATGGAAGATGGTGATGGTACATGGTCATTAAGTAATAATAATATAAATATATATATTTAGCTTGTACCTCATGGTGATGAAGAATCTTAATATACATTTTTAAAAGAGATGGAAGGTGATGTTCTCATTACAGGACATACAGGTGTTGCTAAAGTAACAGCTGTAGAGAAGAAATATATTATCAATCCAGGATCAGCAACTGGAGGATTTAATGGACAATAAACGTATAAGTTGTATGAATATTATAAAGTTCAATTCCATCATTTTTGATATTAGAATTCAAGAAAGAAAAATTACAAGTGTTCATTTATACATTAGATGGAGAAGTCAAGATAGACAAACAAGAATTGCCATTATAAAAGTGATATATAATCATAATAATAACAACAAATGATATTGTGAGTTGTTAAACTTCATAGATCAGCTCCACAGAACATACTTAAAAGTTAACAATTCTCTCCACCATCCAAAATTGTTTATTTAATCTTTTCTAAAGGTATGTCATCATTTTTATCAACTTATAATGTTTCAAAGATTAATTTTGTAAAATAATCACATAACAAATCTAATAATTAACAATCATCCTATTTTATTCTATAATTTAATAATTACTTTTATATATTTGCTTAAACATATCCTAGTTAAATTATGTACTTCATCATAAGATAATGCTCTATTACCATCTTTATCTGCAATCTTAATAAATAAATTGACTCTATCCATCAATGTCTTAGCTCTAATAGCTACCATTAAATTTAAAAATTCTCTCCAATTCAAATATCCTGAAAAATTATAATCAATCTATTAAAACATTTATTTTGCCAAATCTGTAGGTTACATTGAAACTTAATATATTCCATTTCGAAATGCTTCAAAACTAACTCCTTCTCCAATTACATAAGCATCTTCCATCTAACTTGATACAGCTTCTAAAGCTTAATATAATATAAATGTCTAATATAATTCTTTTCTATTTAATTTAGTTTCTGATATTAATTGAGGTATGTTTTATGTAAATAATAACTTTTGTCTTTTTTATAAAGTTTAAAGTATCTATTTTTTAGTTTTAATATGTTAATATTTATTTCTACTTGTTTATGAACTCATAGCAAATTAAATCTCATAAGTATTTTGATTCTCTTTTTTGTTTCCAATATATTATTGTAATTTATCTAAATGTTATTCATTATATTATGGATCTTCATATTTAACTAATTTTCCACCAAGTAGTACCACTTAAAGTATAAATAAAGATTACTTGGAGCAACAGCATCTGGATCATGATTTTATATGATAGTTTTTTATAAAATTTACAATTCTCTACTATATTACCTTATAATATGTTCATTTTCTAATTATCTTGGTTCTATTGTAATTTATTCATCATCATTTAAATATTCATCTTAATTTTGATATTTCTCAATTAATGGTGTTTGATTTATGTCATTAAATTTTTTTATTAATATTTCATCTAAATTTAATTTTTTTTATGCTTTTAATTTACATCTTTTATATAAACTTTCAGCTTCTTAAGAATTTAATCTAAAATTAGAAACTTTATCATCTTGTTATTATAAATAATCTGCTATATTTTAAATATTCTTATGATATTTTTTGCTTATAAATGTCTCCAAACTTTCTGATTTCTATTCTCCTATTTGTTAATCTTTTAAAACACATTCCAAATGATCTAAATATTCTAATACTTTATTAGTCTCTGCTATTCCATTAAATTATTTTGTTGGAGATACTATTATTGTTTTATGATGTTGACAATCAAATAAAGATGTTAATGGCTCTCCTTTCTAAATCAAATATAAAATATTACTTTAGAATAAAAATACAATTCAATTTATCCCAATTTTAGTTGATCCAATAATTCCTTACCTACTTAATGGAGCAACAATTCAGCTTCTCTTTATGAACTTCTTTGTAATGGTATAGGTATATTAAAGTAACAATATCTTAAATTATCTATTGATTTGCATCAATTTTTATTATAAAATTGTACTTAGTTAAGTTGTGATTTAAAACTATCAATACTAATCTTTCCTTTAATTTTATGTTTTATATGGATCCTGCATTTTTTAGCTTTTATTTTTGTGTAAACTTAAAAATAGGACAAATAATTATACAGTTAGTAATGAGTTCACTTTGCGATGAGACATTTTGTTTGGGTTTATTTTTGCTGGTAATGCTTAATCTAAAAACAATGTTTGACTTGGAGAAACTGGAATTATTCTTGTTACATAATGATCCTAAGTTAGATTTTGTAAACTATGTTATTAAGGTTAAAGATTCAATCTATTAAATTTATTAAACACTTTCGAAATATCTTTATTGTATGATTTATGCTTATCATAAAAGTACTTCATATTAATATGCATTACTTAACCACTATAATATTATCTAATTGACGGCTAAGAATTAACATTTCCTAAACGAATACGAGATGCTGATGTTCTTAGACTTGTACTCCCTGTTTTTTAATCAATTAACCAAACCCTATTTTCAGACCCTGATCGAATATGTCTATTCATAGTTATCTTATATATTATTAAATGAAAATTATTAAAAAAAAAATTTCGTTTAACAAATTCTTCAAAATTTATTGGTTTTTCCTCTATTACTATTAGTCTTAAAGCAAATAGCCCTTTAAAAAATTAACATTCAATTTTACTATCTGTTTTTAATATTTTGAAGAGATAATCTTTCACTAATCTCAAATATTTACTTAAATTTTTTATTTAATTCAAAACATTTATCACTAGAATAAATATATATTATTTTTTCAATACTTTTTGAATTCAAGTTTTTAATCTCATTTATAATAATAATATTAAACAGTGAGTTACTGTTTAATAGTAATTATTATTATTTTTCTATAAAAAAATTATATAAATTTCTTTTGAATGAAAAATACATTATTATTTATTATTAAGTTTTATAATTTATATAGATATTTTCAGATATATGAATATCAATCCTTTATCAATACACACTAAATATATATTTTTTTTTGTTCATTATTTGAGATGAATATAAAAAATGAATGAAATTTATAAGAATCAAATCTGAAATGAATTAAAAACATCAAAATAAGGTTTTTTAATAAAATTAAAGATTATCCAAAAATAAATATATTTTATTTATCAAAAAATATTAAATAATTGATTTTATTTATACTTTGCATTCCTATTGATTTTATAAACATCATTTCTTTATACTTGCTATTCTAAAAGTATATAAAACAATTAGAAAACTAAATTCTATATTTTTTTGGAGAATTTTTTGATTAATTGATTACCCAAAAGGATTACTTACATATTGAATGCATTAAGAAAATTTTATCTGATTAAATAATTTATTTATTCGCAGTTTATCATTCATTTTGAAAGCACCTTAGAATTGTAGGATAATTCAAAAATCAAATGTCACTGGATTTTCATTTAATTAAATTTTTGTTGAAGTATTTTATGAATTTGATCTTTGCTTATTCATTTTCTATGGCTTATAATATTCATAAATAGTATCCTAGTCAGTTTATCAGATGGAATGTTGATTGTAAGTTATTTAGTTTATTAATTTAGTTTAGTTTCTCAATTTTATCAGTGTTACATTAAATTTTTAGTATATTGAAATTTCAAAATAAGAAAGGCAGATTGAGTTTATATAATATTAAGTGTTAATAATAATTAATTTAATAGATTTTATAGACTTAATTGATTAAATAAAATAAAATTATTCTAAAAATATTAGTATTAAATATTATAAAACAAATTTTGTTAATTCAAATGAAAATTAATTTCAACTTTTTAAGCTATAAAAGATTTCAAAGCTTTCACTTGAACTCAATACTTTAACAGTTATTTAATATTAACCTTTTTTAAAATTAATAAAAGCTTTTAATTATTATGCAACATCACCACTTAATATCTATTCACATATTTATAAACAAATTAATTCATCTTGTGGTAATTGTACAGTAATTTCCATAGTATCAATTTTTAATGAGCCATATTAATTTGTTAATCTAAATGGTACTTGTTATTAATGTACTAAAAATGAACCAACATATTAAATGTTAAGGTTTTCTTGAGCTAATTTCATTAAAATTTAGCGAACATTAAATCCATAAGCAAGTTTTATTTCATCATTTGATTCTGCTTCCATGATGAAATTATGAATTTAATTATCTGAATATTCTAATTACATGTAAGACATAGATATAATTGAAGGAATTTAGATGAATTTATTTTAAATTTTAGTCTTAAAAAATAATTCCCTTAAAAAATCATTTAAAATTACAGGTTAGTGCATTTATGATGAAAAACATACTTTATCTTTAGATGCTCCAACAAAAACTAATGGAATAGTTTTTTTTATTTGTTCAAATAATTTTTCATATTATTTATAAAATTAAATTGTACCTGCCAAATACCATGATTCTTCATCTAATAAGAAAATTTTGGATGAACATTAACAAGCAAATTAACGAGCTTCTTTATTTGGACCATAATAACTTGGATCACAATTATATGATTTTAAAGACATATCCTAAACAAAAGCTTCTACAAAATGTTATGTTTTTTGATTATTAATCTTGTTTAAATGTTTTTGTGTAACAGAATTATAAACTTCAATTTTTGCATCATTTTCTTAATTAGATTCTTATAATGATTCTGGTTTTGGTTCTTCATTTAAATTTTTCATTTCAATAACATTATTCTTTTTAGTTGAAGCTAAAGATTGAATAATAAAAATATCATCAATGCTTTTTTCAACGTCTACATGGTGAGTTTCATCTTATTCTTTCTTTTTCTATTCATCATTTTCCACATCCAAAGCCTAATACCTCTTAGCATAACGAGCTCTAGCTTTCATTTCTTTATCTTATGCAATTTCATCATCAGATTTTTATTATTTCTATTGTGATTTCTCAAATTCTAATTCATGTGGTTATGCAGGTTTACTCATAGGAATTTATTGTTTTTAAGTTTATTTATATTCTTATTAAATTTATTCATCTTTTTGTTATTATTCTATTATAGGTTTTTAATCAGATTATTTAGGTTTTTCTACATTACTCTCTTGAATATTATTATCAATTGATTCTACTTTATTTATATTATCATTAATAATTTCTTCTTCATGTTTTGATTCTTCATTTTAATTTGAATTTTCTTAATCATTATTACTATTTGATTATTGCTCTTAACTTTCTTCAGTTTATTATGAAATTTATATAAATTAAGGTTATTATTATTATTATTATTATTATTATTATTATTATTATTATTATTATTATTATTATTCTTTTGAAATTGAATCATTATCATCAATTTAAGTTACTTAATTAAATATTTAATTCATTTATTCATACTTTTGATTAATTAAATCTAAATTTTCATTTGATATATTAAATTAAGCTTATAATGAACTTAAATCTTTATTAATATTATCAAATTTCTTTGGATTAAATTCAAATTCCTTTTGCAATTTTACTTCAGATATATCATCTTCATTTTCTTAAAAGTTTAAAACAGCCATTGGTATATTTTCATCAATATATGTTTAATTTTACTCTTCCTTACTCAAGATTATGTCTTCAACCTTTTATATTAACATTAGATTATCAACTTTTAGTGGTTATTAAATGCTATCATGGTTATCAGATTGTTCTTGCTAGTTCTATATAACATCTTAACTAAGATCAATTTATCAAGATTACATATTTGAATGAAATTCTTCTTCTTCTTCTTCTTCTTCTTCAGAATAGCTTTATTCTATCAATTCTTCAAATTCAGAATATACTAATTCCTCTTCTGTATGCTATTATTATTTTGAAAAATCAAAAAAATGTAGTATATGTTCTTCTTATTCTTCTGTAAATACTTCTTCTACTTCTTGAATAATAGCTTCTTCTTCTGTAATTAATTAATTTACTTAGCTATCAGTAATAAGTGAATTTTGAATTTACAATTAGGAATCATCTAATTCTAATGTGTCAAATTCTTAATTATAGAGATCATCTGGAGTAGAATCAGAATCATAAAAATCAAAATCATCTAATTAATCTTGGCTAGTCTCTTCTTAATCATCAGATTTTTCATTCTATAATTCATCATCATCAAAATCAATTAAATCATCAAATGCAAAATCTGTCTATAAATCATTAAATTAATTTGTATCAATTTCATTATCACTTTATTCATCTATATTATCACTACTATCTAATGATTCATCTTCATTTATATATTCATCCTTTTCTTCATTAAACTATATGTGTAATTCACTTATAATTTATTAAAACACTTATAAAAATGAGTATTTAGAACTTAATTCATAAATTTCATTCATTTTTACATTAATTTCTTATTAATCAATCATTTATATAAGGTTTTTCATTCTTTAATAATCTATCTGCCGTTTTTTAAAAATAAATTCAATTGCATCTAGTTAAGCATCTGCTGATATTTATTAGATTGCTAAAAGAACCTCATCTTCCTGATCATTTTCATCATCATCATAACTCTCAGTTTATTCATCAATCTCAGAATTTTCATCCATTTCTTTTTATAAATTTTATTATGATTATGTGAATACTCTACCTCCTTCAACAGTTATATTTGAAGGTTTATATTTTTCTATTTATTGCAATTATTCCTCTAATAACTCTTTTTATGATTTTCCTGTTTGTTATTATTTAGGAACTTCTTTTACAGATTCTTGAGGTTCTATTTATTTTTTTTATATTTTTTTGAGATTAACTTTGACATTATCAAAAGAAATATCTCCCTTTTGATCAAAAAGTTGAAAACCATTTTCTGCTTGTAATGGTCTAGCTATTAACAACAAAAAAAGGATGATTATTTCGTTTTTCATTTATTTTAATAATCACTCAATAATTAATATGAGTTATTATGATGAAATTTGGATTGAAGATGTAAAAGAAGTTTGTAAAATTGAAAGATTAAAAGAAGATAATTTTGCAAGTAAATTAAGAGTAGATCCTTTAGCAAAAGAAGGAATATAAGATCTTCTAGTATCATTATATATATAAATTAAGAATGTTAGTTATTATCAGATCTAAATGAATTCAATTGTCTTCATAATATACTTATTAGATATTTGAGGAAATAAATTTACACTCAAATTGGATCTCCAATATTAATATCAATAAATCCTTATGTTTTTCTACCAAATATTTATAATTAAGAAACTCTTGCTAATTATAGAGTTAAGTTAGGATAATATTAAAAAACATTAAAAAGAAGTATTAGAGAAAATGAATTTGAACCTCATTTATTTAAAATTGCATAATTATCTTTGGACTAATTATTTGAAACTCCTACAAAAGAATTAAGAATATGTTCTATGATGATATCAGGGGAAAGTGGATCAGGAAAAACAGAATCAACAAAAATACTTTTAAAATATTTGGCAGCAGAATCTAAAAGTGGTTTATTTAATACTATTTAACATGGATAAACTATTTAATAACAAATATTTGCTTCTAATCCTGTTCTTGAAGCATTTGGTAATGCTAAGACTGCAAGAAATGATAATTCTAGTAGATTTGGAAAATTTATGCATTTATATTTTAATCCAGATATTAAAGGTGTAAGTGCAGCTAAAATAGATAATTATTTATTAGAAAAAAGTAGAGTTGTTAAGATAAATAAACAAGAAAGAAATTATCACATTTTTTATTAAATTATAGCATTTTAAATACCAGAATTAAGTATATATAAATATTAATATAGAAGGACTTAAATCTCCTTATTAATATGAATATTTAAATGGAGGATATCTATCTTCTTTAAGAACAGAAAAATCTGAATTTGTAGAAACAGATAAATGTTTAGATAATTTAAATTTTAGTCCTAATCAAAAGAGATAAATTTATCAAACTATAGCTGGATTGTAACATCTAGGAAATGTTAAAGTTGAATATGATTCAAAAAAATCTACATTGAGACTAGATGATTCACTTAGATTTGCATCTTATTTACGAAGAATTCAGATTCAAAAACTAGAAGATCTAATATGTAAAGTGATTACTTCTGATGGAAAAGAGAGAGTGTGACTATAAATAATAATCTTGAAAATGCATAAAGAGCTAGGGATACATTAGCAAAACATGTATATGAAAAATTTTTTAATTGGTTAAAAGATAAATTATTTAGCATTTATTAAATATTAAATCTTTAAGTTTTGAGAATTAATAGTAATCATAATTAACTAAATATATGATAGGCATTTTAGATATATTTGGATTTGAAATATTTACTGATGTAAATGGATTGCACAATAATAGTTTTGAGTTATAAAACATTAATTATACTAATGAAAAATTATAACAGCACTTTAATTAGTAAATGTTTGTAACAGATAAAAAGAATATGACCTAGAATAAATTAAATGGTAATAAATTAAATTCCAGATAATTAAAAAATTATAAATCTAATCGAAATTTCATAGATTTCCATATATTAAATGTTAATTGATTAAACTATTATATAAAATAGAGGAGATAAAGAATTTTTAAATTCTCTAAAATAATTACCTAAAGATTATTTAGTATTAGTAAGTGATTTGTAAAAAGCTGAAATGGAACCTAGATTTGATAAAAAATTACATAGAATTGCTAAGTTTGATTGGTTTTGTTTAAAACATTTTGCTGGTCTTGTTGTTTATAATGTAAGAGGATTTGTTGAAAAAATAGAGATTCAAATAATTCTTAGGTTTTTTAAATATTACCTAATAGTACTAATCCTGTTTTAAAAGAAATTTGGACAAAATTTAATATAATAATCAATAAATGAAATAAAATTATGTTATAAACAAATTTTAGAATTCTTTAAAAGATTAAATTAATTTATTAAATTAGTCAATACCAAAATATATTAGATGCATTAAACCAAACAATTTTAAATAACTTTTAACCTTTGATGCCTAAGATGTCAGGAGATAAATGACGTGTGCAGGATTGATGGAAGCTATTTAAATTAGAAAGGCTGACTATGAAATTAGATAAAAAAATTTTGATTTTATTAGAAAATATTAGCATCTTGTCAACAAAAATCCAAAAAATATAGAAAATATCGAAGAAATTCTTAAACGGAAAAATAAAATAAAAGATCTTAAAGATTTAGAACATGCATAATTGATTGAAGATGTGGAAATTAATGATCATTCTATTCTATTGAGTTTACTTAAATTTTAATAATTTATGCTGATTAGACGTAAGAAAAAGATTTAAAGACAAATAATAATAAAAGTCCAATAGATTGAGATCAAACAATAACAATAACAATAACAATAACAATAACAATAACAATAATAATAATAATAATAATAATAATAATAATAATAATAATAATAATAAATAATTATAATAATAATCATTAGAAACTTAACTTAAGAAGAAAAATGAATTGATTAAACTTTATTAAGATCGAATAAAATCTCTAATTAATGGTTGGAGAATAAAAATTTTGTAAAATGAATGTCTATTCACTCACTTTAACTGAAAAAGTTATCAAGAGAAATTAGTAATATATGAGAAATTTTAAATAACTTAAATTGTTAAAACTGGAGAATTACTTCAAATATAAATTAAAGATCTTTAATAATAGATTTAGTAATTAGAGTAATCGTTATTAAAGTCCTAAATGACTTAATGAAAATTATATAAATTAATTATTTTTAAATATGCTGATATTTTTTTAACTATTTTCCCTTTCAATTGGATACTTTATCTACAAGCCTTTCACAAGCATTTAGGTACTTAATGGGTTTTATTTATTAGTCTGGACCTTGTGATACTTCAAATAATATTTTGTAAATACCAAACAGCCTTTTGGGTCCAGCCTATTCATCGTTTACAGTGGGAGGTTGGTTCAAAAAAGATTCATTATTAAGCACTTCTAAAAACCTCCTTTTCTTATTTGGTCCAGATACGAATAATTATGCGTACATTTATATGATTTATAATTATAGTAATTTTCATTTGGCAGCCACTCTTAATGAATAGTTCAAAGTTCAAAGTTGTTATACAACAAAGGATTGTATGACATCAGAAACTTCAGAATTAATGATATCTGATGTTGATGATAGATGGATTTATGTTTTGGTATCAATTAATTTTGCAAAAAAACTCTTACATTATAAATTAGTAACACACTCAGATACACTGCCAAGAATTTATATTTATTCTTCAACCTTGGAACTTAAAACAATTCCCACTTTTACTGATACAACAGGAATTGTTATAAAAAATAAAGTTGTAAGTCTTTACAATTTTAATGGATTTTGTGGTAAGTTTAAAGAATTTACTTATTATGGTAATCTTTATACAGAAACAAGTAGATAAGCATATAATTTTGATGTAGAATACATAACTTATTGGATGACATTACTTCCATCAACTACTTCTGCATTAAACGCTTTATCATCAACTTAGGATGTTGGAACATTAATAGGGGGTGTTACATTTGATGCTAAATGGGGTTGGCAATTCTAAAAAAACTAATATTCTCAATTTAATAATTTAAGAAGCAGTTTTGGCGATAAATTTATGATATCAGTGAATGTTTTTATTAGTAATCCAAATAGTGAAATGAACTTTTTATACAGAGCTGACTAGAATTTGAACCCATTAGTTTAGATAAGATTTATATCTTCTTCATCAACCTTTAATGTTTAAGTATAGATTGGGGGAGTTGTTGGAGAAGCACATGGATAGATATCTGCTCCTATGAACACATGGATTCCAATGTTATTTTCTGTTTATAATAATTTTAATTTTTATCCAGAAAATGCCAATCCAGGTATGGCATTATTTGACATTATCACACCTTCATTTTAAGAATATGGAAAAAAATCATTTAAAATTTATAGCGATTCTTTATCTGATCAATATTTCATTGGAGATTATCCAACAACTACAGTTTGGTACAATGATGCTTCTAAATATTTTAAATATGCTAATATTAGAATATTCAAAGGATATAACTATCAATTTTACAGTTCTCCAGGCACCAAAAAATGTGTTATTGAAGTTGGAGAGTTATACCCTGTTTGCATAGCTTGCAATGGAAATCCTGATCCTTATGGAATGTGTAATGAAGCAGGAACATAAGAAGTTCCAGCTTCCTTAAGTGCCTCTGACTTGCTTTAATGTCCATAAGGACAATTTTATTCCACATAATGTTAAGTCATCAATATTGAGAATTGTTTAAGAGGAAGCAATGCTAATACTTGTACAAAATGTAATGTTGGATCTACATTAACTAGTAACACATGTCCTGCCCCTACTATGACATCACATTGTATAACAGGGACATATGAATGCATTAAAAAATATAGTGGAGATTATAGCACTGTAAATATTTCTAATTCTATCAGTCTAAAATGTGATAGCAAATATTATTTGGATAATCAGCAATGTTTAGCATGTGAAAGTAGTTGTAATTCTTGTATAAATGGAACCTAATGTGTAGATTGTCCTGCAAATTAATTTTTGCTTAAAGCTACTCAATTATGTAGTTCTACTTGTGACACAGCATATAAAGACTCTGATAAGATGACATGTATTGACAGCTGTGCAGTCTATTAAGTAGTAACTGAAGATCTAAAATATTGCAGTATGAAATGCCCAAATGGATATAAATAATATTTGTAAACATGCTTATTATCATGTCCTTTAAATACATTTAATGAAAATGGTATATGTAAGAGTTGTCATAGTAAATGTTATGAATGTTTTGGAAGTTCAAATAAAGAATGTTCAAAATGTAATTTTGGTTATTATTTATTAACAACTATCTGTGAAGATTTTTGTGCAGATACTTAAAAATTTGCTAATTAATTAGAAAATGAGTGTACAGATACCTGTGTAGCTCCTGGAGTTCAATATGGAATGTAGTGTTTATATACATGTCCAGTAAATTAATATGAGGATTCAACAAAAAAATGTGTTTAATAGTGTCCTGATGGATATGTTGCTGTTGAAAATGTAATTACAGTATCATTAAAATTCACTTTAAATTCTAAATCTTTTAATGGTTTTGTGTGTCAATAATGTGCTGATGGATGTTTCACCTGTGATAATGTTGACTAACCAGGAGTAAGTGAAAATTGCATAAAATGTGTTCCAGATTAATTTTTAGTTGGTCGAAATTGTGATGTTTCATGCCCAACTGACTACCCTTTAGAAGACTCATTAAATTAAAGATGTTTAACTGCATGTCCTCCTTAATTTTATCAGTACAATAGTAAATGTGTTTTGAAATGTCCGAACGGATCTTATGCATATGATTAGAAATGCGAAAATACCTGTCCTGATGGAACATATCCAGAAGTAGCTAATAATAGTTGTTTGTTATGTGCTAATGAATGCAATAAATGTGATGAAGGTGGACCATCAAATTGCATAGATTGTAAAGGTGGTTATTATTTGTATGATACAATCTGTGTTTAAATCTGTCCAACTGATAGAAAATATCATAACACTGTAACATTTATATGTGAATCTACATGTCCAAATTACTATTTAGATGATGGTACTACTTTTGAATGTTATGATTAATGTCCTGCTAATTTTAACGTAGATGGATAAAGATGCACATATTATTGTTCACTAGGAAAATACTTAGATGTGGACGTATGCAAAGTCTGTGACCCTAAATGTGCTAGATGTGATGATGGTACAAATTACAATTGCACAAAATGTTCTGCTAATTACTATTTAGATGGAAGAACTTGCTCATATACTTGCGATGAAAATCCAACCTATTATAGAAGTGATTATGGTTATGTTTGTGTTGAAAAATGTCCTGGCACTCTACTAATGGTTGATTCACTCAAGAAATGTGTAGCTCTTTGTCCAAACACTCATTTAAAATATCTAGATCATTGCTTATTAGAATGTCCTAAAGGATACTACCCTGATATCAACTTAAAATGTTAGGCTTGTCCTTAAGAATGCCTTGAATGTTCTTCAGATACATCTTGTTCATTATGTGCAGCTAAATATTTTTAATAAGGAACAGAATGTCTAAGAACTTGTAAAAATAATTTTTATCAAAATCCTATCAACTATTAGTGTGAAGCAACTTGCAATAAATTAGTGAATAATGATGGTTTAGGCAATTTATAATGTTTAGACGAATGCCCAAATACTAAAGTTAAACATTAAGGTTAATGTACTTATGATTGTCCTGATGGATATTATAAAAATGTTGAAGATAAAATATGTTCTAAGTGCTCATTAGAGTGTAAAACTTGTAATGGAGGAACAAACGAAGATTGTATAGAATGCCAAACAGGTTTTTAAAGAAAGGAAGACTTTTGTATTGGCATTTGTCCAATAGGTACATTCCTAAATTAAGTATCTTGTGATTCTTGTGCTTTCAGATGTGTCTCATGTATAGACTCTAAATATAATTGCATCTAATGTAGAGGAGATCGTCAAAATGCACCACAATGTTATTGCTAATCTGGATACTATGATGATAGAAAGAGTTTGAATTGCTAAAAGTGTTAACCTCCATGTGTGACTTGCTAATCATTATCATATTGTTTAACATGTTCATTCAATCTTGAACCTCCTGATTGCTATTGTAAACGTCCACCACCTATTCCATCTGATTATTGCATTACATGCAAATTGTCCTTTGCTGAGTCAGTTAGATTTAGTAGTGATTTCACCCAAATTATTGTGATATTTACATATTCTATCACAACCAATTCAGAGGATGCTTATTTCTTCAGCAAAGAGAATTGTTAATAATGGTTCAAAAATACAAATTTTGGAGAATCTCCTATTTGCTAATAGAATGGAAACAAATACATTATATAATTAGGTAATAACCCTACAATTATGCCTAATGATATGATTGAATTTAAGGAAAACGTTTTTATCGATAATAGTTTACAACTATGCTAAGATATTTATATTGAACAATTTAATAACACTCAACTAGTTTTGTCTACTGCAATAATTCCTAATGTGATACTCTCATACCCTGAAAATGCAATATCCTATTGTATGGATCTTAATGTTGAAGTTATCAAAGAAATATATAATGGAGGTAGAGCAATGATCTATAATTCATGGACAACTAACAGCACAGAGGAGGCAATCAATTCTGTATTAAGTTAGTATGGTGGATCTTCATATATTAAAATACCAGGAGGAACTATGCTACCAAACTTAGCCTATTATATCACCGTTAATTATTCCAATTTCCTAGGTTATAATAAGACTACAACAATTAAGGTTATGACAAAATCAACCAATCCCTCATTGTTAACTACTTTTGATGAGACTGCTACATATTATTCTAATCTTGAAATAGTAGTGCCATTTACTATTTACTCATATTCATGTTCTGATACCAATGTTTAAGAACTTACAGAAAGCTATCCTGTTACTTTATCAATTAAATCAAGCACCTCAGGTACAAGTCAATTTGAATCTACAATTGCAGCAGACACTGGAGTCGATACTGCCTTTAAAATACCTGAAGGAAAATTAAAAGCCAGTTAAGAATATTTACTAGGAATTTCTGTAGGAGATATAAAATTAAGCAAAAAGTTGAAGATTGGAAACAATTAACTTTTCTCTGAATTCCTAACAACTGATAGAATAGTTGGAAATAAACAATTTAACCTTACTGTTAATGCTTCAGATAATGATGTGCCTAAAAATCTTAGCAAAATTGGTCTTAGCTACACTTGGACTTGCATTAATCTATATTACAATATTCCTTGTAGAACAACTTTGAATAAACCTTTAGTAATGACCAATAATGAATCCTTAAATGTATCTAATTTACCCTCTGGTTTTGTTTATTAATTTTCATGTACTATAAAAAAAGAATCTCGTTCAGTGACTCTAAATTAGCAGATCATTGTAAGTGATCTAAATATGACTGAATAGATTTATAACACTGATTTAGGAAATAAAGATATTTTAGTTGTTACTGATAACTTGCTCTATAATCTAGACGTGAGTTCCTATTACTTAGTTATTATAAGGTATTTCAAAATATTAAAGATTGAATACATTGAAAAATCAGTTCTAAGACTAAACTTGTATCTATATCTAGGAAATCTATAATCATAGTAAGACATTAGTGTTATTGTTGGAGGAACTTTAAACCGATATAATCTGAGAGTTAAACCAGCTCTTTTCTTAAACAATTTAACTGTTACTCCTGCATCTGGATATTCTCTTTAAACAGAATTTTAGTTAATTATTGATGATGGCATAAAAAATGATTCTGATACTACCTAATATCAGGTTTTTGTTTATAGCAATTTTCAAGATTTAGAGTGGGATATTGGCAATTTTTCTAATAATAATGGATATTTATTATTAGATTGGGGAAAAGAGAAAACAATAAAAAGTATACTACCAACATGTAAATATCTTCTAGTTAAAGTTAACAAAGATGATTAGTTTGGAATGAGTTATGTGGAAGTTACTGTCAATAAAGCTAAAACTGCTGTTAGTGTAAAAAATAACATAGAATTTGTTTATGATTATATTGATTTCAATTAGACCAATCTAATATTAGATCAAATTATTGTTATGGAACTTTATTTCCTTGAAAGTATAAAATGCAATTATAATTGTTGGAATCGAGGAGAATGTGTAAATTAAGTATGTGTGTGTGATTAAGAATACTCTACTTTTTCAGACTGTTCTGGAATTTTAAATGATTAAAATGTTTGGGATTAACTTGCCTCTAAATTATATTCTGACTTGTCTTCAGCAGAATAGTCTTAAGTTGTTATTAATTCTATAGCTCTTTTATATCAACTATCATATTTCAAAACTGTCTTTGAATTAACAAAAACTGAATAATTGTTTTCATAAATAGATACTTTTCTTCAACCCCAAAATACAGATACAGGGATTATTTCTTAAACCCTATAATCAATTAATTATTAAGCAGCTTTTAAAATTTTAAACTTTCTCTCTTCTCTAAATAAATAATTATTCACTAATGATTCTTATGTAACTTAAATGTAGACAATTAACTAAAAATTATTTGATAGTTAAAATACTTTAATATTATACACAGGAGATATTTTATTAGAAGGAGAAACTCAAAATTATACTTCCAATACTATGTCTATAATGATAGAAAAAAAATCTTAACAAAAAAAAAGGCTATTACTAGCAGAAAACTTACATGTTGATAGTTATTTTGAAACAAATATTCTTAGGCTATAAAATAATTTCCCTTATCCAAATCATACTCAATAACTTTATTATAAATCAGAAAATTAAGTAAGAGTATATACAGAGTTGAAGAAAATAAGACCAAAATAAAAGGTTTTTGATTTCATTTCTGTTGATACTAATTTGGTTTGTATTTTAAGTACAGATGCTAAATATTTTGACGACGTTGGTTGTCAAACGTCATCGTAAAGTCCTCCTATCACTTGTACTTGCGATGCAGGATATGTAACCTTAGTTGATGACTACTAGTATTATTATAAACCATTTTATTTTGATCTTAATTTTGTTTTAGATAGAATATATTTACTTTTTGCTTTTGGTGGATTCTCCCTTTTGATGTTAATCTTTTTGATTATTGGACATATAAGAGATTCAAGAGATATTGATACCACTAAACCAATTCTCCCAGGATTCAGCTAATAGACTACTATAAAGAAAGTTTCAGTATTAAATAGAGTGAGAAGAGCTCAAATAATGCCAAGCGAAGGAGAACCTAATAGTCCATCTGAAAGCCCTGAAAAACAGCAATAGGATTTTCAATAAGAATAGCCAGTTAGATTGTTTAATTCTGAAAATCGACTTTCGAATTGCTATTAGGTAAACAATTTATTAGGGGCAATATTTTTATTTAAGAAAAATTTTGGTCGTAAGCAAAGGCTGCTTATGATCATGAGTAGAGTAAGTATTACGGCTGGAATACTCGGATTTATAGTGAACATGCAAATTATATAGTTAGATATAATTATATTATTTGCCAGTGGAATAAGCCTGTTACTAAGAATTTTTAATGTGTTATGTGAGTATTTGAATACTAGAGGTCAGAAAAGGAAACAATGTATTTACACATTCTTTAGTTACTTGATAACAACAATATTTTTGTTTGTTGGATTATTAATTTCAACATTATCATACTTTTTAATTTATGATAGACTTGTAATCTATTGGGGAATAGGTCTTGCTTGCATTTTAGTTTCAGAACTAATTGTGACAGATTTTATATTATAATTAGCATCATTATTAATAGATTATATTAAATTTAGAAGATAAATAGAAGAGGATGAAGAATATGAAAATGAGTATGAACCTATTCATTTAGCAAAAAGTCCAGGAGAAATTGAAGATGAAAGTAAATTCGCTTGACTTATTATTAAAAAGCAAATTATTAAAATAATTCATTTTTTATAATAAAATTTGTATATAATTATAATAACTATGATAAATAAAAATGTAATTTTTGCAAAACTATAAAATTGTTCATTGCTACATATACTTTAGTTCAAGATCAAAATATTTGTCTAACAGCAACTTATACTTATTTTTTTATTTCGCTAATTCATTCTTGGAACTTAAATACTGCTAACTTAAGTGATTATATTAGGCTTCTATTTCTGATAGTCTTTCTAATTCTTCTTAGGCTCTTAAACATTTATCGACTGAATTATACCACTATTTTTTAGTATATTTTAATTAGAGCGTCAATTATTCTACTATGCCTATTAATTATCCTTCGTCAAATCCTGAATCATTTTTTATTCCATTCCTCAAGCAGACAGCGCTTTTATCTTATCCTTGTTATTATTCATCAATTAAATCACTTTCAGTGTGAAGTTAAGGTATGGCTGAAAACATTAATGGTGTCATAGAATTAAGAAGGAATTAATTTAAATCTATATCTTCTGTTTATTATTCAGCATCAATTCCTTTACATTCACCTTAAAATCGTGGGCTTTGTATTACATTCTCTTATTATTTTGACCCTAAATTCAAAAGATTTTCAGCATTTTCATCATTTTCAATATTTGAAGTTTAAGATGATTTATCATTAGTCGAAGGTTTTTCATAAATGAAAGATTCAAAAATCTAATTTTCTAAAGTAAACTCCCTAATTTTTTATGAGCCTCTATTTATATATTTTAAGATATCACTAAACTAATTTTAAACTTAGTCTAATCTTCTAGAAGAGCTACTTCTATGTGTTTTTACTAAAGATTCACCTAACTCACAATTTGAGTTTTGTGATAAAAGTTGTTGTAAAATTTGTTATATTAATAACTCAAATTTTTCTTTGATTTATTCTATATATGGAATTTCGAAATACAAATCTGAGAAAGAAATTGCAATATCAGGAATGGTTTAAACCCTCGATTTCTGTAATTCTTGTTCTAATTCTTACCCCTATCGCTACAATTAATCTATCAATCCTTATTTTTCTTTTTTAAGTTTTAGAATAGTAGCAGCATCTTAAAATTATCTAGCAATCATATTTTATGACTTTTCTTCGAGTTGTTGAATTCTGCTAGAAAGTTAGTTATTAATTCGTTTTATTTCATTCATTTTTAGTTAACTTTCTACATCTAAACTTTAGGTAATGAGTTGATCTTTTTCTTTATCTATTAATTTATCAATAATTAGCTTTATTGGACTATCCTCTTCTTGAATTTATGAAGAAAGAGAAAATAAATTTTTATTTACATTCTGCATTTGTTATTTTTATTTTAACAATGCCTTTTATGCTTCCACTTGAGAATTTACCATTTGATTTAATTTGCTTCTTAATTATTCATTTTCATTTTCTAATTTAATTTGCAAATGCTTATATTATATTAACTATAATTCTAAAGTTTGGGTTTCAAATTGATTTGAAGACTTCGGAGGAGATTTCATTTATTCTATTTCTTTGTCCTTTAATTCCAATTTAAAAGTCAACTCAATGATTTGCTATCTGAGATTCTCATTAATCTCCTATAAAGAAGTCATTAAAGAAAATATAAGTATATATAATTAATATATAAATGTTGTACTTAAATTTAATTATAATAAAGATATGTTTAAACTCACTAGACAAATTTGATTCTCATAAATTAAAGCATTCTAAAATTTATACAAAATAATTACTTTTAATATCAGACTCTTGTAATTATGTTTCCAATTTAATATTTTTATTGTATAATTCTAGGATTCTTCGATTTAACTAACTTATTCCATCAGCATACTCCTAAACACTATGCTGCAAATTCATAACTTAATGTTAGAGATATATTATTTATTTTTAACTTTCATCTTAAACACTAATGAAACTGGAAGATGAGCTTGAATTTTCAAAATTTTGATCTTGTTATTATTTATGTAAAAATTTGATAACTTGACTTGATGCTTTAGTCAATTAGTTCAATTAATTATTTTCTTCGATGTCATCTTGGTTCTACTTTAATAATGATTCAATAAGTGAATGAAATTAAGCAATTTTGTCATTAAACTTTTATTCTAGTGTATCACATTTTGTTAATAATGCATCATTTTATAATTTCAAAATGATATTCTCTTATGATATACTATCGTTCTCCTTTTAAAGAGACTAAATTTACGATGAAAATTAATTATGTAGTATTTATGGTTCCATCTCAATTACCAAGTTTTCTGAGTTTGAAGATGTTAATTCTTCTATGATGGCTTTTTGTTTATTTAATCTATCACTTAAAGATTCAATTTCCTTATTCTTCTGGTTTATTAAGCTCATTGCTCTGAACAATTTTCCAAATAATGTGAGTTTTTGCTTCTTCAATTGTTCAACCTCTGGAATTTATTAAACCTCCTAATTTAATTCAATTTCTTCTGCTTTTCCAAGGTCATCTCCTTTTTCTTCTGAAATGGAAGCATTATTTTAATTGCTTAATTCATCTAGAATTGCCTTCTATTTATGTAATCTTTCCTTCAATTCCTCAATTTCATTATTCTTTTTATTAAATTAGCTCATCACTCTGAATAATTTGCCCAGCAATTTATTATTCTGACTTCTGAGCTTTTTTTATCCTTCTCCATCATCTTGTGATACTGGTGCTGATTATTCTTCCTATTCTTCAGATTTTTCTTTCACTTCCAAATTTTCTACATCTTCTTCATTCATCTTGATTTGCTCTCTCAATTCCTCATTTATGGCTTTTTGTTTTGCTAACTTTTGATTAAGTTAATCAACCAAACTATTTCTACTCTTTATACAATTTAAAGCTCTAAATAATTTGGCTAACCATCTATTATTCTAATTTGTTTGCTTTTTCAATTCTTATTTCAATTTGTCATTTTCTTCTTACAAATCTTTCATTTCTGAGTTATTCTGAACATTTACTTATTCTTGCTAATTTTTCTGTGAAGAATAGGAACTTACTTCCGTTTCATCACTTGAATTTTACAATAATAATTCATCATTTATTGCTTTTTATTTCAATAACCTTTATGATAACTATTCGATTTCTTTATTCTTTCTTTCTAACTAAATCATTATTTTGAAAAGTTTTCCCAATTATTTGTTCTTTTACCTAATTAAACTTTAAATTTCTTCATCCTTATTCGAAAGATCAATTCCTTGTTATTATTCTTAATATTACTCTTTAGGAACATCTTGTTCTTGGTTCTGAATCACATTGCTTTGAAGTTACTGCTACAAATTTTCAACCATATCTTATTATTCAACAACCAATTACTTTGATTTACTCAATCTATTCTTGAGTTCTTCATTTTCTTATTATTGTTTTGCTAACTTAATCACAACTCTAAATTATTAAGCCAGCAATTTGTGATTTTTGTCCTTTACCTTTTTTAAAGTATCATCATTTAGGGCATATTCCGAAACAATCTATTTCAATTTTGCAATTCTTGAATTTTACTCATCAATAATCTTCTCTTTTTAATTTAATTTGAACACTAATCTGAATATTTTAGCGAGAGATTTGCTGTTAGAATTTTTAATCTTATTAAACTCGTCTGCATTTACCTATTGTTGGTTATCTACGATCTCCATCGTTTCACATTCAGGTTATGGTTACAGAGAGTCCACTACTTGATTCCTTAATTCATCATTTATTGCTTTTTGTTTAAGAAGGCGCTCTGATAAGGATTCAATCATTTTGTCCTTCTGACTTAATTTAATCATTATCTTAAACATCTTTGAAGTCAGTTTAATATTTCTATTTTTTAATTGCTATTGGTCAGCCTCTAAACGCTGAATTATATCTGTTGGCATAGTTATCTCTTCTTGATCAGATTGTTTAATTTCAGAAGCAACCTCTTCTTCCTTTTGAGGAACTTAATTGAGTAAACTGTCTACAAGAGCCTTACTTTTTGATAATCGTTCTTTCAACTCCTCATTTTATTTCTGCTTCATGTTCAAATCACTGATTGCTCTAAAGAGTTTGCCCAAAAGCTTATGAATCTTCTCTCTTTATTATTAAGCACTATCATTTTGAGCTAACTCTTCAATTATTGCTTTTTGCTTAAGCAATCTAGAATTCAATTATTCGATTTAGTTATTTTTCTTAGAAATCAAAAACATAGCTCTGAATAATTTGCTCAAAGATCTATCATTGGAAGTTTTCAATTTTTTGAATTCTTCTGTATTGTTCAGTTCTAAATTACCATTATCTTCAATTAAATTGTTAGGAGCACTCTGAAGTTCAATTTATTATGGTTCCATCTCAATTACCAAGTTTTCTGAGTTTGAAGATGTTAATTCTTCTATGATGGCTTTTTGTTTATTTAATCTATCACTTAAAGATTCAATTTCCTTATTCTTCTGGTTTATTAAGCTCATTGCTCTGAACAATTTTCCAAATAATGTGAGTTTTTGCTTCTTCAATTGTTCAACCTCTGGAATTTATTAAACCTCCTAATTTAATTCAATTTCTTCTGCTTTTCCAAGGTCATCTCCTTTTTCTTCTGAAATGGAAGCATTATTTTAATTGCTTAATTCATCTAGAATTGCCTTCTATTTATGTAATCTTTCCTTCAATTCCTCAATTTCATTATTCTTTTTATTAAATTAGCTCATCACTCTGAATAATTTGCCCAGCAATTTATTATTCTGACTTCTGAGCTTTTTTTATCCTTCTCCATCATCTTGTGATACTGGTGCTGATTATTCTTCCTATTCTTCAGATTTTTCTTTCACTTCCAAATTTTCTACATCTTCTTCATTCATCTTGATTTGCTCTCTCAATTCCTCATTTATGGCTTTTTGTTTTGCTAACTTTTGATTAAGTTAATCAACCAAACTATTTCTACTCTTTATACAATTTAAAGCTCTAAATAATTTGGCTAACCATCTATTATTCTAATTTGTTTGCTTTTTCAATTCTTATTTCAATTTGTCATTTTCTTCTTACAAATCTTTCATTTCTGAGTTATTCTGAACATTTACTTATTCTTGCTAATTTTTCTGTGAAGAATAGGAACTTACTTCCGTTTCATCACTTGAATTTTACAATAATAATTCATCATTTATTGCTTTTTATTTCAATAACCTTTATGATAACTATTCGATTTCTTTATTCTTTCTTTCTAACTAAATCATTATTTTGAAAAGTTTTCCCAATTATTTGTTCTTTTACCTAATTAAACTTTAAATTTCTTCATCCTTATTCGAAAGATCAATTCCTTGTTATTATTCTTAATATTACTCTTTAGGAACATCTTGTTCTTGGTTCTGAATCACATTGCTTTGAAGTTACTGCTACAAATTTTCAACCATATCTTATTATTCAACAACCAATTACTTTGATTTACTCAATCTATTCTTGAGTTCTTCATTTTCTTATTATTGTTTTGCTAACTTAATCACAACTCTAAATTATTAAGCCAGCAATTTGTGATTTTTGTCCTTTACCTTTTTTAAAGTATCATCATTTAGGGCATATTCCGAAACAATCTATTTCAATTTTGCAATTCTTGAATTTTACTCATCAATAATCTTCTCTTTTTAATTTAATTTGAACACTAATCTGAATATTTTAGCGAGAGATTTGCTGTTAGAATTTTTAATCTTATTAAACTCGTCTGCATTTACCTATTGTTGGTTATCTACGATCTCCATCGTTTCACATTCAGGTTATGGTTACAGAGAGTCCACTACTTGATTCCTTAATTCATCATTTATTGCTTTTTGTTTAAGAAGGCGCTCTGATAAGGATTCAATCATTTTGTCCTTCTGACTTAATTTAATCATTATCTTAAACATCTTTGAAGTCAGTTTAATATTTCTATTTTTTAATTGCTATTGGTCAGCCTCTAAACGCTGAATTATATCTGTTGGCATAGTTATCTCTTCTTGATCAGATTGTTTAATTTCAGAAGCAACCTCTTCTTCCTTTTGAGGAACTTAATTGAGTAAACTGTCTACAAGAGCCTTACTTTTTGATAATCGTTCTTTCAACTCCTCATTTTATTTCTGCTTCATGTTCAAATCACTGATTGCTCTAAAGAGTTTGCCCAAAAGCTTATGAATCTTCTCTCTTTATTATTAAGCACTATCATTTTGAGCTAACTCTTCAATTATTGCTTTTTGCTTAAGCAATCTAGAATTCAATTATTCGATTTAGTTATTTTTCTTAGAAATCAAAAACATAGCTCTGAATAATTTGCTCAAAGATCTATCATTGGAAGTTTTCAATTTTTTGAATTCTTCTGTATTGTTCAGTTCTAAATTACCATTATCTTCAATTAAATTGTTAGGAGCACTCTGAAGTTCAATTTATTATGGTTCCATCTCAATTACCAAGTTTTCTGAGTTTGAAGATGTTAATTCTTCTATGATGGCTTTTTGTTTATTTAATCTATCACTTAAAGATTCAATTTCCTTATTCTTCTGGTTTATTAAGCTCATTGCTCTGAACAATTTTCCAAATAATGTGAGTTTTTGCTTCTTCAATTGTTCAACCTCTGGAATTTATTAAACCTCCTAATTTAATTCAATTTCTTCTGCTTTTCCAAGGTCATCTCCTTTTTCTTCTGAAATGGAAGCATTATTTTAATTGCTTAATTCATCTAGAATTGCCTTCTATTTATGTAATCTTTCCTTCAATTCCTCAATTTCATTATTCTTTTTATTAAATTAGCTCATCACTCTGAATAATTTGCCCAGCAATTTATTATTCTGACTTCTGAGCTTTTTTTATCCTTCTCCATCATCTTGTGATACTGGTGCTGATTATTCTTCCTATTCTTCAGATTTTTCTTTCACTTCCAAATTTTCTACATCTTCTTCATTCATCTTGATTTGCTCTCTCAATTCCTCATTTATGGCTTTTTGTTTTGCTAACTTTTGATTAAGTTAATCAACCAAACTATTTCTACTCTTTATACAATTTAAAGCTCTAAATAATTTGGCTAACCATCTATTATTCTAATTTGTTTGCTTTTTCAATTCTTATTTCAATTTGTCATTTTCTTCTTACAAATCTTTCATTTCTGAGTTATTCTGAACATTTACTTATTCTTGCTAATTTTTCTGTGAAGAATAGGAACTTACTTCCGTTTCATCACTTGAATTTTACAATAATAATTCATCATTTATTGCTTTTTATTTCAATAACCTTTATGATAACTATTCGATTTCTTTATTCTTTCTTTCTAACTAAATCATTATTTTGAAAAGTTTTCCCAATTATTTGTTCTTTTACCTAATTAAACTTTAAATTTCTTCATCCTTATTCGAAAGATCAATTCCTTGTTATTATTCTTAATATTACTCTTTAGGAACATCTTGTTCTTGGTTCTGAATCACATTGCTTTGAAGTTACTGCTACAAATTTTCAACCATATCTTATTATTCAACAACCAATTACTTTGATTTACTCAATCTATTCTTGAGTTCTTCATTTTCTTATTATTGTTTTGCTAACTTAATCACAACTCTAAATTATTAAGCCAGCAATTTGTGATTTTTGTCCTTTACCTTTTTTAAAGTATCATCATTTAGGGCATATTCCGAAACAATCTATTTCAATTTTGCAATTCTTGAATTTTACTCATCAATAATCTTCTCTTTTTAATTTAATTTGAACACTAATCTGAATATTTTAGCGAGAGATTTGCTGTTAGAATTTTTAATCTTATTAAACTCGTCTGCATTTACCTATTGTTGGTTATCTACGATCTCCATCGTTTCACATTCAGGTTATGGTTACAGAGAGTCCACTACTTGATTCCTTAATTCATCATTTATTGCTTTTTGTTTAAGAAGGCGCTCTGATAAGGATTCAATCATTTTGTCCTTCTGACTTAATTTAATCATTATCTTAAACATCTTTGAAGTCAGTTTAATATTTCTATTTTTTAATTGCTATTGGTCAGCCTCTAAACGCTGAATTATATCTGTTGGCATAGTTATCTCTTCTTGATCAGATTGTTTAATTTCAGAAGCAACCTCTTCTTCCTTTTGAGGAACTTAATTGAGTAAACTGTCTACAAGAGCCTTACTTTTTGATAATCGTTCTTTCAACTCCTCATTTTATTTCTGCTTCATGTTCAAATCACTGATTGCTCTAAAGAGTTTGCCCAAAAGCTTATGAATCTTCTCTCTTTATTATTAAGCACTATCATTTTGAGCTAACTCTTCAATTATTGCTTTTTGCTTAAGCAATCTAGAATTCAATTATTCGATTTAGTTATTTTTCTTAGAAATCAAAAACATAGCTCTGAATAATTTGCTCAAAGATCTATCATTGGAAGTTTTCAATTTTTTGAATTCTTCTGTATTGTTCAGTTCTAAATTACCATTATCTTCAATTAAATTGTTAGGAGCACTCTGAAGTTCAATTTATTATGGTTCCATCTCAATTACCAAGTTTTCTGAGTTTGAAGATGTTAATTCTTCTATGATGGCTTTTTGTTTATTTAATCTATCACTTAAAGATTCAATTTCCTTATTCTTCTGGTTTATTAAGCTCATTGCTCTGAACAATTTTCCAAATAATGTGAGTTTTTGCTTCTTCAATTGTTCAACCTCTGGAATTTATTAAACCTCCTAATTTAATTCAATTTCTTCTGCTTTTCCAAGGTCATCTCCTTTTTCTTCTGAAATGGAAGCATTATTTTAATTGCTTAATTCATCTAGAATTGCCTTCTATTTATGTAATCTTTCCTTCAATTCCTCAATTTCATTATTCTTTTTATTAAATTAGCTCATCACTCTGAATAATTTGCCCAGCAATTTATTATTCTGACTTCTGAGCTTTTTTTATCCTTCTCCATCATCTTGTGATACTGGTGCTGATTATTCTTCCTATTCTTCAGATTTTTCTTTCACTTCCAAATTTTCTACATCTTCTTCATTCATCTTGATTTGCTCTCTCAATTCCTCATTTATGGCTTTTTGTTTTGCTAACTTTTGATTAAGTTAATCAACCAAACTATTTCTACTCTTTATACAATTTAAAGCTCTAAATAATTTGGCTAACCATCTATTATTCTAATTTGTTTGCTTTTTCAATTCTTATTTCAATTTGTCATTTTCTTCTTACAAATCTTTCATTTCTGAGTTATTCTGAACATTTACTTATTCTTGCTAATTTTTCTGTGAAGAATAGGAACTTACTTCCGTTTCATCACTTGAATTTTACAATAATAATTCATCATTTATTGCTTTTTATTTCAATAACCTTTATGATAACTATTCGATTTCTTTATTCTTTCTTTCTAACTAAATCATTATTTTGAAAAGTTTTCCCAATTATTTGTTCTTTTACCTAATTAAACTTTAAATTTCTTCATCCTTATTCGAAAGATCAATTCCTTGTTATTATTCTTAATATTACTCTTTAGGAACATCTTGTTCTTGGTTCTGAATCACATTGCTTTGAAGTTACTGCTACAAATTTTCAACCATATCTTATTATTCAACAACCAATTACTTTGATTTACTCAATCTATTCTTGAGTTCTTCATTTTCTTATTATTGTTTTGCTAACTTAATCACAACTCTAAATTATTAAGCCAGCAATTTGTGATTTTTGTCCTTTACCTTTTTTAAAGTATCATCATTTAGGGCATATTCCGAAACAATCTATTTCAATTTTGCAATTCTTGAATTTTACTCATCAATAATCTTCTCTTTTTAATTTAATTTGAACACTAATCTGAATATTTTAGCGAGAGATTTGCTGTTAGAATTTTTAATCTTATTAAACTCGTCTGCATTTACCTATTGTTGGTTATCTACGATCTCCATCGTTTCACATTCAGGTTATGGTTACAGAGAGTCCACTACTTGATTCCTTAATTCATCATTTATTGCTTTTTGTTTAAGAAGGCGCTCTGATAAGGATTCAATCATTTTGTCCTTCTGACTTAATTTAATCATTATCTTAAACATCTTTGAAGTCAGTTTAATATTTCTATTTTTTAATTGCTATTGGTCAGCCTCTAAACGCTGAATTATATCTGTTGGCATAGTTATCTCTTCTTGATCAGATTGTTTAATTTCAGAAGCAACCTCTTCTTCCTTTTGAGGAACTTAATTGAGTAAACTGTCTACAAGAGCCTTACTTTTTGATAATCGTTCTTTCAACTCCTCATTTTATTTCTGCTTCATGTTCAAATCACTGATTGCTCTAAAGAGTTTGCCCAAAAGCTTATGAATCTTCTCTCTTTATTATTAAGCACTATCATTTTGAGCTAACTCTTCAATTATTGCTTTTTGCTTAAGCAATCTAGAATTCAATTATTCGATTTAGTTATTTTTCTTAGAAATCAAAAACATAGCTCTGAATAATTTGCTCAAAGATCTATCATTGGAAGTTTTCAATTTTTTGAATTCTTCTGTATTGTTCAGTTCTAAATTACCATTATCTTCAATTAAATTGTTAGGAGCACTCTGAAGTTCAATTTATTATGGTTCCATCTCAATTACCAAGTTTTCTGAGTTTGAAGATGTTAATTCTTCTATGATGGCTTTTTGTTTATTTAATCTATCACTTAAAGATTCAATTTCCTTATTCTTCTGGTTTATTAAGCTCATTGCTCTGAACAATTTTCCAAATAATGTGAGTTTTTGCTTCTTCAATTGTTCAACCTCTGGAATTTATTAAACCTCCTAATTTAATTCAATTTCTTCTGCTTTTCCAAGGTCATCTCCTTTTTCTTCTGAAATGGAAGCATTATTTTAATTGCTTAATTCATCTAGAATTGCCTTCTATTTATGTAATCTTTCCTTCAATTCCTCAATTTCATTATTCTTTTTATTAAATTAGCTCATCACTCTGAATAATTTGCCCAGCAATTTATTATTCTGACTTCTGAGCTTTTTTTATCCTTCTCCATCATCTTGTGATACTGGTGCTGATTATTCTTCCTATTCTTCAGATTTTTCTTTCACTTCCAAATTTTCTACATCTTCTTCATTCATCTTGATTTGCTCTCTCAATTCCTCATTTATGGCTTTTTGTTTTGCTAACTTTTGATTAAGTTAATCAACCAAACTATTTCTACTCTTTATACAATTTAAAGCTCTAAATAATTTGGCTAACCATCTATTATTCTAATTTGTTTGCTTTTTCAATTCTTATTTCAATTTGTCATTTTCTTCTTACAAATCTTTCATTTCTGAGTTATTCTGAACATTTACTTATTCTTGCTAATTTTTCTGTGAAGAATAGGAACTTACTTCCGTTTCATCACTTGAATTTTACAATAATAATTCATCATTTATTGCTTTTTATTTCAATAACCTTTATGATAACTATTCGATTTCTTTATTCTTTCTTTCTAACTAAATCATTATTTTGAAAAGTTTTCCCAATTATTTGTTCTTTTACCTAATTAAACTTTAAATTTCTTCATCCTTATTCGAAAGATCAATTCCTTGTTATTATTCTTAATATTACTCTTTAGGAACATCTTGTTCTTGGTTCTGAATCACATTGCTTTGAAGTTACTGCTACAAATTTTCAACCATATCTTATTATTCAACAACCAATTACTTTGATTTACTCAATCTATTCTTGAGTTCTTCATTTTCTTATTATTGTTTTGCTAACTTAATCACAACTCTAAATTATTAAGCCAGCAATTTGTGATTTTTGTCCTTTACCTTTTTTAAAGTATCATCATTTAGGGCATATTCCGAAACAATCTATTTCAATTTTGCAATTCTTGAATTTTACTCATCAATAATCTTCTCTTTTTAATTTAATTTGAACACTAATCTGAATATTTTAGCGAGAGATTTGCTGTTAGAATTTTTAATCTTATTAAACTCGTCTGCATTTACCTATTGTTGGTTATCTACGATCTCCATCGTTTCACATTCAGGTTATGGTTACAGAGAGTCCACTACTTGATTCCTTAATTCATCATTTATTGCTTTTTGTTTAAGAAGGCGCTCTGATAAGGATTCAATCATTTTGTCCTTCTGACTTAATTTAATCATTATCTTAAACATCTTTGAAGTCAGTTTAATATTTCTATTTTTTAATTGCTATTGGTCAGCCTCTAAACGCTGAATTATATCTGTTGGCATAGTTATCTCTTCTTGATCAGATTGTTTAATTTCAGAAGCAACCTCTTCTTCCTTTTGAGGAACTTAATTGAGTAAACTGTCTACAAGAGCCTTACTTTTTGATAATCGTTCTTTCAACTCCTCATTTTATTTCTGCTTCATGTTCAAATCACTGATTGCTCTAAAGAGTTTGCCCAAAAGCTTATGAATCTTCTCTCTTTATTATTAAGCACTATCATTTTGAGCTAACTCTTCAATTATTGCTTTTTGCTTAAGCAATCTAGAATTCAATTATTCGATTTAGTTATTTTTCTTAGAAATCAAAAACATAGCTCTGAATAATTTGCTCAAAGATCTATCATTGGAAGTTTTCAATTTTTTGAATTCTTCTGTATTGTTCAGTTCTAAATTACCATTATCTTCAATTAAATTGTTAGGAGCACTCTGAAGTTCAATTTATTATGGTTCCATCTCAATTACCAAGTTTTCTGAGTTTGAAGATGTTAATTCTTCTATGATGGCTTTTTGTTTATTTAATCTATCACTTAAAGATTCAATTTCCTTATTCTTCTGGTTTATTAAGCTCATTGCTCTGAACAATTTTCCAAATAATGTGAGTTTTTGCTTCTTCAATTGTTCAACCTCTGGAATTTATTAAACCTCCTAATTTAATTCAATTTCTTCTGCTTTTCCAAGGTCATCTCCTTTTTCTTCTGAAATGGAAGCATTATTTTAATTGCTTAATTCATCTAGAATTGCCTTCTATTTATGTAATCTTTCCTTCAATTCCTCAATTTCATTATTCTTTTTATTAAATTAGCTCATCACTCTGAATAATTTGCCCAGCAATTTATTATTCTGACTTCTGAGCTTTTTTTATCCTTCTCCATCATCTTGTGATACTGGTGCTGATTATTCTTCCTATTCTTCAGATTTTTCTTTCACTTCCAAATTTTCTACATCTTCTTCATTCATCTTGATTTGCTCTCTCAATTCCTCATTTATGGCTTTTTGTTTTGCTAACTTTTGATTAAGTTAATCAACCAAACTATTTCTACTCTTTATACAATTTAAAGCTCTAAATAATTTGGCTAACCATCTATTATTCTAATTTGTTTGCTTTTTCAATTCTTATTTCAATTTGTCATTTTCTTCTTACAAATCTTTCATTTCTGAGTTATTCTGAACATTTACTTATTCTTGCTAATTTTTCTGTGAAGAATAGGAACTTACTTCCGTTTCATCACTTGAATTTTACAATAATAATTCATCATTTATTGCTTTTTATTTCAATAACCTTTATGATAACTATTCGATTTCTTTATTCTTTCTTTCTAACTAAATCATTATTTTGAAAAGTTTTCCCAATTATTTGTTCTTTTACCTAATTAAACTTTAAATTTCTTCATCCTTATTCGAAAGATCAATTCCTTGTTATTATTCTTAATATTACTCTTTAGGAACATCTTGTTCTTGGTTCTGAATCACATTGCTTTGAAGTTACTGCTACAAATTTTCAACCATATCTTATTATTCAACAACCAATTACTTTGATTTACTCAATCTATTCTTGAGTTCTTCATTTTCTTATTATTGTTTTGCTAACTTAATCACAACTCTAAATTATTAAGCCAGCAATTTGTGATTTTTGTCCTTTACCTTTTTTAAAGTATCATCATTTAGGGCATATTCCGAAACAATCTATTTCAATTTTGCAATTCTTGAATTTTACTCATCAATAATCTTCTCTTTTTAATTTAATTTGAACACTAATCTGAATATTTTAGCGAGAGATTTGCTGTTAGAATTTTTAATCTTATTAAACTCGTCTGCATTTACCTATTGTTGGTTATCTACGATCTCCATCGTTTCACATTCAGGTTATGGTTACAGAGAGTCCACTACTTGATTCCTTAATTCATCATTTATTGCTTTTTGTTTAAGAAGGCGCTCTGATAAGGATTCAATCATTTTGTCCTTCTGACTTAATTTAATCATTATCTTAAACATCTTTGAAGTCAGTTTAATATTTCTATTTTTTAATTGCTATTGGTCAGCCTCTAAACGCTGAATTATATCTGTTGGCATAGTTATCTCTTCTTGATCAGATTGTTTAATTTCAGAAGCAACCTCTTCTTCCTTTTGAGGAACTTAATTGAGTAAACTGTCTACAAGAGCCTTACTTTTTGATAATCGTTCTTTCAACTCCTCATTTTATTTCTGCTTCATGTTCAAATCACTGATTGCTCTAAAGAGTTTGCCCAAAAGCTTATGAATCTTCTCTCTTTATTATTAAGCACTATCATTTTGAGCTAACTCTTCAATTATTGCTTTTTGCTTAAGCAATCTAGAATTCAATTATTCGATTTAGTTATTTTTCTTAGAAATCAAAAACATAGCTCTGAATAATTTGCTCAAAGATCTATCATTGGAAGTTTTCAATTTTTTGAATTCTTCTGTATTGTTCAGTTCTAAATTACCATTATCTTCAATTAAATTGTTAGGAGCACTCTGAAGTTCAATTTATTATGGTTCCATCTCAATTACCAAGTTTTCTGAGTTTGAAGATGTTAATTCTTCTATGATGGCTTTTTGTTTATTTAATCTATCACTTAAAGATTCAATTTCCTTATTCTTCTGGTTTATTAAGCTCATTGCTCTGAACAATTTTCCAAATAATGTGAGTTTTTGCTTCTTCAATTGTTCAACCTCTGGAATTTATTAAACCTCCTAATTTAATTCAATTTCTTCTGCTTTTCCAAGGTCATCTCCTTTTTCTTCTGAAATGGAAGCATTATTTTAATTGCTTAATTCATCTAGAATTGCCTTCTATTTATGTAATCTTTCCTTCAATTCCTCAATTTCATTATTCTTTTTATTAAATTAGCTCATCACTCTGAATAATTTGCCCAGCAATTTATTATTCTGACTTCTGAGCTTTTTTTATCCTTCTCCATCATCTTGTGATACTGGTGCTGATTATTCTTCCTATTCTTCAGATTTTTCTTTCACTTCCAAATTTTCTACATCTTCTTCATTCATCTTGATTTGCTCTCTCAATTCCTCATTTATGGCTTTTTGTTTTGCTAACTTTTGATTAAGTTAATCAACCAAACTATTTCTACTCTTTATACAATTTAAAGCTCTAAATAATTTGGCTAACCATCTATTATTCTAATTTGTTTGCTTTTTCAATTCTTATTTCAATTTGTCATTTTCTTCTTACAAATCTTTCATTTCTGAGTTATTCTGAACATTTACTTATTCTTGCTAATTTTTCTGTGAAGAATAGGAACTTACTTCCGTTTCATCACTTGAATTTTACAATAATAATTCNAAACACATAGCTCTGAACCATTTAGATAAATATTTTAATTCTTATTTTGAAATTTTTTGAATATATTCATCCTCTTTTGGTGTTATATTCTAAATCTCATTCTATTCTTTTTTTTTACTTTATTCTGTAACTATATTTTCTTAATTTGTCTCATTTAACTAAGCCTTAAGCTTATTTATTCGATTATTTAGCAATAAATTTTCTTTAGCCAATTTTTACTATAGGTATACATTTCTAAAACATTTAACTAGTAGCTTCTTATTAAAATTTTTCAAACTTTCAGTATTTCCTTAGAGTTATTCATAATCAGTATTATCATCTACAAGCTTTAACTAATCTTCTAACTCATTTTCTTTATTTGTTGCTTTAAATTGTTCAATTTAATTTTATAATTAAGCATTTATAGCCTTTTGTTTATTCAATCTTCTTTCGAAATCTAAATTTATTTATTTTTTTTAATTTAATTGAGTCGCAATACGGAAAAGTTTAGTCAAAAGTCTTAGGTTAAATAATTTTACTTTTTGTAATTCTTCTGCATGAAGTAGACTTTCACTACATTCTTCATTAACTAATGGGCGTTTTGAAATTTCTAACAAATCTTCTTCTTTTTTTATCTAATGATTATCCTCACTTTAGTTGGTTAAAGCATCATTGATTGACTTTAACTTTGAAAGCCTTTATGTTAAATTTTTGATTTGTTAATCTTTTTATTAATATTTTATCATTAATCTAAAGAACTTTCCCAAAATCTTTTAATTCAACATTTTCAAATTTTTTTATTCCTCCAATTCTATAGGCTTTATATCTCTCTATTCTAATTATTTTTATTCTATATTTAAAAATTAGTTCACTTCTTTTCGCTATTATTCAAGAGTTAACAACAAATCATTTATGACGCCTTATTGTTTTGTAATTTTTTATTCTTAGGTTGATTTATCTTTTTCTAACTTTTAAATTCTACATAAGACAATGAAATAGCTTCCAATTTGTTTTTTTGTTTTATTTTTGAGACGAATATTTTCGACATTTTTCTTATCTATATTCTCATTTAATTGTCTAAAAACTTTACAGTTTTCATCTTCTTTAACCTAATAAATATTTATTTAAGACAATAATTCAGAATTTTACTTATTTAATTTTCTATTTTCATTTTCTAAGTTTTAGATCATTTTTTTTAAGTTATCATTGTCTGAGTTCAGATTATTATTTAAAAGTTGTTATTACTTTAATTAATCTTCTAAATTTGTAAAATTTATTTATTAATTGCCATATTCTGATTATAAATTTAAATAGCTTTTATTAAGGTTTTGATATTCAACATTCAAAGTGTTAAATTTATTTAACAAATCATCATCTGCTTATGAAGCACTTTACAGATTGGCTATTTCATTTTCAAGATTGAGATTTATTTACAATGGTTTATCTGCAAGTTTTTCTAATAAATTTAGATTTTCGTTTTTTAAATCATTAATAGTTATCTCTTAATTACTGATTAATGATTTCATTTGGTTTAACTGTTGATTTAAACCTTTTATTTCACTTTCAAGATCTTTAATATTTTCTTTTTGTATCGACACGTTCATTTGTAATTCATTTAAAGATTCATTATCTATTTTTTTTTATTTTTCCATATCATCTTTCTCCTTAAATAAAGCTTATAATTATTCATTAGCAACTAAGGAAAATAAATTTTTGAATACTTGCATATTTATGAGCAATATTATCTTTTTCAATTTTAAGTTATGAATTATTCGTTTTTTGAATTTCAATTTATTATTGTTATGAGTCTATCATTTCTTGATATTCATTTATTTCATCTTAAAGTTCATTTATCTAATTCTTTAAGCATTATATTTCTATTGGCCTAGGAATAATAAAAGTATAATACATTTATTCTTAACTGGAAGATATATCTTTTTATTTTACAGCCTTTATTTCAGAATTATTTAACTTTTCTTGTTAAAGTTTTCTTTATAGCTTTCTAATTTCATTCACTAATACACTATTTTAGAGTTCAAGTTTTTTGATTAATTGTTCTTTCTAATCTATATCCTGCCATGCTTATCTTAAGTCAGAAGTCACCTAATTATTTTCACTTTTCAAGCATTCAATTTCTTATTGCAATTATTCACCTTTTTCATTCAAAATTTATTATAGAGCTGACTTATCTGTCTATTTGCCTCTTTCAGTTTATATTTGTCTTTCTAAATCACTTTTGTTGCTGTGGAAAGAAGTTCTTCCATATCCACTTCCTTCCACTTTTTTTAATCCTTCTTCAAATTATTTCTTATATTTATCCCTCTCTAATTATAACTAGTCAACTTTCTAAGTTAATTTTTATGCAAATTCTTTATTCAATTTTGATTCCTTAAAAGATCTCTCGAGTGTTTACTGATGCTCTAAATCAAGTAGGGTTTTAACTTTTTAGAGCTGAGTATCAATTTGCTATTTATAGGGAAGGAATAGGTTACTTAAACTCCAATAGGAACAGATGATGAGTTTACTTATTGGATACTTTTCATTGTGAAAAAAAAAAATAATATTAAAATGGCAGAAAAGGAATAGAAAAAAAATATCAAGCCTGCAATGTTAAATATGAAAAACTTTTAAATTGCTGTGGGGGCCACATTAATTCTTTAACCTTTAGAAGTTTTACAAACATCAATGATTGCAACAGGCTATTCAAAACAAAATATCAATTTCAAAGGTTTATCTCTAATTGCCTCCTAAATTTATAATCAAGAAGGATTAAAAGGCTTTTATAGAGGGACTATTTTATCAATAGCAAAAAATACAGTATCTTTTTCATTTTTTTTCTCAGGCATAGAGAAATATAGGTAATTTATGATAATTATAAAGAGCCCACCATCCCATTATCCTTTCTATTTATAAAGTTTTCTAAATTTAATGATTGCTTCATCAAGCAAATTAGTGGGCACAGTAGCTTCAACACCATTGGCTGTAATGAGAACGAAAATGTAAATTGTAGGCAACTATGAATACAGCAAAATTAATAAATGTTTCTTAAAAATAGCAAAAGAAGAAGGCTTTTTTGGGTTTTACAGAGTATTAATCATTTTAATATTAAGGGTACGATTGCAGCAATTTTAAAAGATGTACCTTTTTCAGGGATTTAATATACAATTTATCGGAATTTATTAAATTTAAGTGGTTTATTTACAAAAGGTTAAGACCCAAAAAACAACTCAATTATAGTAGCAATTTGTGGTTCAAGTGCGGCAATGCTAGCTATTATGGTTACATACCCATTTGATAACTTAAGAATAAGATAGTAGGCATAAAATAAGAGTGTAATTAAGCTTAGTTAACATAGAGTAATTTACTTAAGTTAGCAAAAACCATAAAAATGACTGAAGGTCTTAAAGGGTTTTATTAAGGATATTTACCAAGATTAATTAAAAAATGTATATAAAGTGGAGTTCTATGGATGGTATATGAAAAATTAGCTTTGAAATAGAAAAAAAAAAGTATGGATTAATGAAAGAAATTAATTATGATAATAAATTAGCATTTAACTTCTCACTTTTGAGAGTTTTCAAACAAGTAATTTCTTTAAAATATTGTTTTTTAAGGCTTGTAAATAACTAATCCATATAAAATTTAAGATTAATTTGTCTAATTTTTTTTGTCTTTTTTGATTAAAATTAATTATTTATGTAAATATATTAATTGTGTCGATTTTGGCCTAATTTATTTTAAACCACAACCTCTTTTTAGATATTCTAGTTCCTATTCTACCCTAATTACAAAAGACAATAGACAAAATTAAAATAAGATTGTATATATTTGATTTCACTAAGAATTTTTTTCATCTAAAATTTATTTCGCTTTATCCTTTGCTCAAATATTTATTTTCAAATAATAAAAGATAATATCATTTTTATTAATTATTAATTATAAGGATAGTAATCAATTTTTAATTTAATAATGAGCGTATATTCTTTAAGTCCAAGAAGCTAAATTGATTAAAACCTTTTTTCATAGATTACTCCTCGCATTAATGATCCATCGTTATAAAATTTAACTATAGACCAATGTATTATTAGATAATAAACTTAGAACAATATTTAGATAATTTTAAACCATTTAAGAAACTGCCTGTTCTTTTTAAACAGGAACAGATTAAAATTGAATGCAATGAAAAAATAAATTTTGAAAATGCAAGTTATCAAGATCAAAATGAACTTCCGAGATCATAAGCATGTTCTGTAATGACAGAGAAAGGAGGAAAAAGTATTTTCCAAATTATAAAAATAAATAATCTGGTAAAAAGGTTTAAAACCATTTTGCTTTCTAGAAGCTATATTCTTTCCTAAAGTTAGAAGGAAAAATTAAAGAATAATCTCTTCTATCAAGAAAAATATATTTAAGACAAAAAAGATAATTCGAACAATATACTTTCATTTGTTATTGATCCGACAAATAAATTTATAATTTTATGGGATATAATCATGTTTTTTATGACCTTAAGCTTAATTATAGTGATACCTTTTTTTTGGAGCTTTGATTAATAGTACCCAATTCTAAAAATTTAAGAAATGTGGTCATTTTTGATATTTTTTTTATTTGATATCATTCTGAAGTTAAACATAGCCATTATAAAAAAAGGGAATGTAAAATATATATTTTAATATAAAGATTATCAAAGCAAGAAAAAGTATAATGAAAAAATATTTACAGACATCCTTTATTTTAGATTTATCCTTTCTTTTTTTAGTTTATTATACCGTAAACTTAGAAAGCATATTAATTTTTATTTCATATTGTGCTATTAGCTTAATCAAACTTTAAAAAGTAATTAGTAAAATAGTTAAATTATTAAATCTTTCAGTGATTCAAAGAGAAATTATAAGTCTCATCAACCTTGTTATAACTATTAATCTTATTGCCCATTTTATGGCATGTATTTGGCATTATATAGGTATGACAACCATAGAAAATGAGAAAAATAGCTGGATCCTAGAGAAAAATCTTCAAAATGATACAAAATAAGTTAGATATATTTTTTCCTACTATTGGGCTATTGTAACAATGATTACTGTTGGATATGGAGATATTATACCATAGAATCATGTAGAGGCTTTTAGTTGTATATTTCTAATGCTATTATCATGTGCTGTTTTTACATTTTCTCTTAATTCAGTTGGAACTATAGTGTAGAATATTAACAAACAAAAAAGACAATTTTAGTAATTAAGATTTAAAATTTTTTTAGAGAGATGCTGAGAATTTTGACATCTTATATGAAATAACACTCAATTCCAGATCAATTATAAAGTAGAGCAAGAAGTTATTTAGAATATAGATGTATCAAAAGAAATTAGTAATCAAAATATCATGTAATCAACTTATTTTTAATTTAAGTTATAAAGCATTCTTGAATAATTATCTTCATTTTTATAGTAAGAATTAATGCTTAATGTTTTTAAAAACTTACTTTAGGATTGCAAAATCATATCTCATAATTTTAGTGAAGATACAATAAAGAAAATGTCAAGCTCCCTTTAAACTGCTTACTACTGCCCTGATGAATACATATATCTTTAAAATTCTATTGAAGATAATTATTTATATTTTTTGGATTATGGAAAGGTTGAAATTTATGAAGAGAAATCTTAATAAAAAGTAACAGAGCTTTAAAAAGGGAAACATTTTGGAGAAGAATCGTTTTTTACTTAACAACCTCGGAAATTTTCAGCTATAAGTCGTAGCTTTACAAAAGTATTTAGGATTTCTTAATCTGCATTTATGAGCTTACTTAATTAGGAGGAACATGAAGTTTATCATTAAATCAAGCATTTATTCTTATTTAAGGCTTATTTTCATGGTCAAAAATGCCAAATATGTCATCAAACTGATCATTAAATAGAAGATTGTAAATTGTTGAATTATAAACCAGATATTGAAAAATTGATTTTAAAGGATAATTAAAAAATTCAAAATAGGTCAAGAATAATAAGAAGTAATAAAAGGTCTTACAAAGCCCTTAAAATACAACATGTATCTTATTCATATTTAATAAGAACTTAAAATTAGTTAAAAAATCCTTAGAATAGAGTTATGGATGGGAAGATATTTTATATGATGAAGAAGAAAATTTACACTTAAAAACAGATGATATAGAGTTGATAAATTAAGAAACTCCTGTTTCTAAAAGAAAAGAGAGTTATCCTAAATAAAGTGATTCTTCTCCAAGAGATAAAATAATTTCTCATGATTCTTCATCAAAAGGAGATAAATTAATTTCTCATGATTCTAACAAAAGAATTTAATTTTAAAAATATGATGGACCTACAAAAAGTAAATAATTTTAAGCACCTTAATAATTAATTTAAACAAGTGAGACTGAAATAAAATAAAATTATAGTCCTATTGATTAAAGAACATAATTAGGTTAAATTACAGTTTCTTGTAATTATTAAATTGCAGGATTTGAAAAAGCTATGGAATTCAAAAGCTTTTTCCCACAATTTAATCTTCATGTATTAATTTTGGATTATAATAAAAAAGTTAAAATCTTAAATAAAACATCAAAAAGTATTTATTAACTCTTTAACCATTAAATTAAAAAAAGAACATCAGTAAGAAAAAATAGAAGCTCTAAATATCTACAAATGCATTGATATATTTTATTTATATTTATATTAAATTAAAATAATATGGATTTTGAAACTCAAATAATTATTTGTAGAAATAATGCGAAAAGTGTAGTAGATAAAAGACTTAGAGGTTTTGTTTAGGTTTGGAATCAAGTAATTTGATTTTGAACATTAGATTTTTGATGAAGATGAGGAGATAATCGATTTTGAGGCTGATCCTAATTTAGTAAAAGAAATTAATCATTACTATTAATTGCATGAGTATGATTAAGTAAAATAAATATAAAAAGTAGACATAAATAAGTTTTGTTGAAAAAATCGAAGATTCTAATATTGAACATTTAATGGACTAAAAATCAATTGAATATCTAAAATAATTAGGATTCCAAAATGATGAATTATCAAAAGAAAGAGTTTAAGAATGGTTAACAAAAATATCTCCTTTATTAAGTGAATGTTATAGATTAAATTGCATTGAAATTATTGAAATTTTAAAAATAAGTGTTGCAATATTTTTCTATATTGAAGGATTAACTGAAAAAGAGTTTTAACAATTTGCTTTAAAATGGGGAATTCAGTATCCATTACCTCCTCAAAGATAAAGAAAAATTGTTGAAGAAAATAAATTTGTTTTTGAGAGATAAGGAAAGAAATGATTTATCATAATATTATTGAATATTGCTATAAAAAAATTAATGCAGTAAAAAGTTCATCTAAAATCGCTTGATGATGCTTGTGAGGATCCTCATCTTCATGAAGCGATAAAATTGTTTTTAACAATGAATAAAGACAATCATACAAGGGAAGAACTATATTTTATATTATAAAGAATGGAGGAACTCCCATACTTTAAACAATTTGTGGCTGAAAAATTATAAAAAGGAACTCAAAGAAATGATATACTTGAAGTATTTATTAGGTTTTTCCATTTAGTTGTGTTCTAGATTGAGAATGGAATATTTTAAAGGAGGAGAAGTGTTATTTGAAGAAAATGATCCTTCAAATGATAAGCTTTACATTATTTTTTATGGTGATGTTATGCTTATGAGAATGAAAAAAATGGATTAGCTAATGACATTGTAAAGATAGAATTCAGAAGCTGCTCCTTAGATTTAGAATTAATAACAGCAATTTAAAATTTCTACAATTTTACATGCAAAAAGACTAACTCATAAAATAGTCAAACATCATAATCATCATAAAGAATCATGCATAAATTAAGAGGAAAAAAAAAGATTAGAGTAATCATATGGCGAATGTATGCGCATATTAGGAGAAGGAAACGGTTTCGGTGAAAAAGCTTTGGCAGAAAATATCCCAAGAACTCTTACTGTTGCATGCTATAGCTTAGAATCATTCATAGTAGTGTTGAAAAAAGATGACTTTTTGACATATCAAATGACATTTGAAAAAACCAAAAAAGAAAAGCAATAATTGATGTTTAATATATTTAAGAGTAATTATCTCTTGGAATAATTTTAGATGTCAATAATGAATATTCATCTTAGAGATTGGAAAGTATGATTTACAGTTGTTAAACAATTTAATATGATAGAGCAACATAACTAACATCAGAAGACGAAAGTGGCGATTCATTTTATATAATAATATCAGGTGACGTAACTGTATATAAAAGAGTTGATAATAAAAATATTCCATTATGCATAGTTTCATAAGGACATTTATTAGGAGAAGAAATAGTAATTAATAAAAGTGCTAATTATGAATTTACATCATAAGTCACATCTTTATAAGCTTTAGTTATTGTCATAGATTCTTAAGAGTTTATTCATAAATTTCCAGAGGAATGTAGAATTTAGTTAGAACATGATTATAAATAAAAAAGTCGTAATCGATAGAATTTAGTTAAACTACTTTGTTAAAAAAAAAAAATTGATACAATAACAAATGGAGTTTAAAAAGATTAGATTTTAAAATTAGCTGAAATAGATAATTATTATGTAAGCAATAGAACAAGTTTTAATAGTGCCAAAAAATCAGATTTAAAATTAAATTCAAATTTTTTAATGGTTTATTCTAATCCAAGTGTTTAAAATTATTGTATTCAATCTATTGTAGAAAAAGAAAAAGTTTTTTCTTCAATACAATTAAATTTGAATCCAATTAATAATAATTAAAATGAACCAAGTGAATTTAATTTAGGTAATCTATCTAAAGATTATCTTAAAAGAAGAAAAATTTTATTTTAATCTAAATTGAATTAAAAACTCCCTTTATAAAACTTTTTAAAACCTAGTTCTAGAGTACTTCCTATGTCAATAAAGCGTGATGTTTTTAGAAATTATAAATCAAATAAAAATAGAATTAATTTCCATTCTAGTGTGAACATTTTTAATTATGCTAGTCCAGTATCATAAAACAAATCTAATTCAAAATTCATATAATATGATTGTAGAGAAAGTAGCACAAATATATACACATAATTTGATGATAAATAGTCTATTTGATTATAGTATATTAGATATATTTTTATAAATAATTCTATGTATTTGATAAGAAATATTATATTTATTCTAAAATACATCATTATATTTTCTAAAAAATAAATATGAATATTATTTTTTAAACTTATTAAAATAAAATTAATTATTATTATGAGTGAAGATGAGGAATGGTTGAATGTAGGCAAGTCATTTGTCAAAATTTAATCAGAATAATAAAATAACATAATTGAAAATAAAATAAATGAAAATTTAAAAGAGAAAAAGAAAAAGGATAAAAAAAAAGAAAAATTATCTTAAGCATAATAACAAATTGCAATAAAGTTTACAGAAGAAGAAATTGAAGCATATTATGATTAAAAATTGGAAAATTGTAATAACGTATTTTCATATTGATTTTTTCTATAGAATATAAAATAGACACTTCAAAATCATTTATTTATAAGCATGAAATGGGAGTAGGTTTATTATCAGTCTAAGTACTTCCAATAGGCGATAATTAAATTTTAGCATATGGTTTTCTTGAGTAGGATATTCCTCATTATGTCAGAACAAATTAGTACTCCTTTTTAATATTTTTAGATAAAGAATTTTAGGAATGAAAAATCAAAAAAAAGTAAATTAAATTTTTGATAGTGTGATAAGATTAAGAGATAAATCAACATTTGAATATACTAGATATACTGAAGCAGCATAGATTTAACCAGAGAAATCATACATGATCTAAAATTAATCTAAACTTTGTAATGAGGATTTTGTTCCTTTTAACAATTAATTGGTTGAAGTTGATCCTATTTCGAAAGATTAGAAACTTTAGGAAAGAAATTTAGAATTATAAAACCAACTTCAAACAAATGTGAATGATTTAGAAATATGGAAAGAATTTTTGTTAATTTAAGAAAAAATTGCAGAATTATAAGGTTATAATGAACCTTTATTATTGGCTAATAGAAGATTATCCATTTTACAAAAATTAGAACAAGTATCAGAAGTACTTTCTGATCATCCATGGGTATTAGCTTATAAGATTTCTTTAATGCAAAATTTAGAATTAAGAAATGATGAATTACATAAAGAAATAGATAATTCTTGGTCTGAGTTATTTTCAAAATATGTACATATACAACCAATATGGATTCTTTTTCTTGATCATAAACTTAAAACAGAAATATTTAGTGCTACTATGCTGAGAATTGAAGCTAGTAAACATATAGCTAATTTATAAAAATTAATTAATGAAACAACAAGGGCATAACTTGTTTAATTATTCAAAAGAATTTATATTGAATTAATTTAATAAATATCATTTTATGAAAGTGAAATGGGTTTTAAAGAAAGATCTGTAGGGATTCTTTAAGCACTTTGTGAAATGAATTTATTTGCTCCTAAACATTTATAAAGGACATATGATTTAGAAGAAAAAGTTAAAGAGTTTAGAAATTATTGGGATTTGAATGTAAGAACAGGAGAATAAAATGATTATGGTTGGAGAGACACACCTGAATTAAAAGAAGATTTTATTGGATATTTTGATTCGAGTCTATAAATATAAGAGCAAGAAGATTAAATCTAATAATTCCTTTCATTTTAATAATTGAAAAGATGGAGACCAGCAAATTAACGATTTGATATAGAATGGATTAAATAAAATGTTGATGCAGTTGTTATATATGAAGATATTGAACCCTACCTTTACATTTTTAATGATTAAGAATCTAAACTTAATATTGTAAGTATTTTATTATAATAAATTGGATATCCACCAATAGATTCATATATTTTACCATAAATAAATTAATTTCATAGTGCTGATATGTGTTATAATAAAATTAGTTTTGATTATCTTTAGAATGAATTTTTCATAAAATATCAAAGCATATTTTAATGCAAATTGTAAAATAATTTATCTTAATTTGTATATGTAAAACGATTATTAGAAAAAGTTTATTAATAGATTAATAATTAGTTTTTATTGGTTTATTTATTTATGCTTTATGGTATTTTATATTTAAATAATGATTTAATTGCACCTAATTAAGTATTATAATAAGAATTAAAATCAGGTTTAAAATAGATTAAAAATATTTTAAAAGATTAATAAAATAATTTAGTTCTTTGGATTCTTTATCATGAAATTGAATCACTCAAAAAATAATAGTATTAAGTTCAACTCATTTCTTAAATTAAGTTATATGCTAAATCTAAGAAATAAAAATTAATGATACTATATTTTGAATTTATTCATTTAAGTTCTTATGAAAAATCTGTAAATATAATAAAAGTAATTTATTTATTTAATTCATTATTAGGAGGCCCTTAAGGCTTATGGAGAAGATACTAATATTAGTGATAGTACTTTAGTATTAAAATTAAGAAATCTATATAGATAATCTAGGAATAAGTGGTAAAATATTGATTATCTGTTCTAATATAAAAAGGAACTTTAGCCATTTTCATTGTCTAAAAGATCTATATTATTAATTTTTTTCTTGTTTCTCTAATAAAATGCCATTAATGAAAATTTATGTAATTTGATGTAAGAATCAAATTAATTAAAAATTGTTCATTTTACTGATTAATACTAAAGGAGAAAGATTTTGATTAAGTATAAAAATGAAGTTTCATTAATTTTGTTAAATCTTCTAAGATTTTCTTAAGAAAAAGAAGAAATTTGTAAAGTAGCTTTAAAATTAGATTAAGATTAAATCATTTTTTTTATCACTTACATTCATTATTTAACTAAAAAATTTTTATATTTTTAAAGACTTGTTGAATTATAAGATATAATTTAATTATAATCACCATAAATTTGTTGGATAGCTTATGTACTTAATTAAGATCCAAATAAATCATGGTTCTTAGTAGAATATTTAAAAAATCAAACAGAAAAAGGATTAGCATAAATATATTGTGAAAGTAATGATTAAGAAAGTAAATTTATATATATAATAAATAGATTTTGAAGGCACAGTTAATTTAAAATATAATTATATTTTAGAATTGATGTCTATGGATTTATAAAAAAAATTGAATCCAAATGTGAAATAAATGTATAAGAGTTTAAAAAGAAATCCATACTCAATAGTATTGAATAATAATTAAATTAGTGTATGTACGCAAAAGTTATTGAAGAACTTAAAGAAAGAAATGAATCACTTAATTTGCTACAAGATTTACAAGAAAAAGAGTTAAAATGTTTTTGATTAACATTTATAAATTCATCTTGATATTATTAATTAGATTAATATTAGTATTATTATTTTAGTATTATAACTTAAAAATCTTCAAACAAATATTAAGATCTAAAAAAAGATATATTGTTTTTTTAATTAATATATTATTAATGTAGAAAAAAATGATGATTATATTTAAATTAAGAGATGTTATTCAGTTACTAGGTTTTGGATGAGTATCAACATCTTTAATAGCTAGATTAGATCTGCAAACAGGACATTCTTTTTTATTTTTCTAAATCCACTCTTTTATACATATAGAATGAAAATTATGACTAAATTAATTATTATATATTAATACTGACAATGTGTTTATCTGACTTCTTAATTATTATTTAAATTCTCTAAACAAATGGCACAATTATCTTAGTTATTACTTTCTTATATTTAAATTGGAGTTAGAAAATCGAAAAGATTCTCTTAATCTTATTATTAAGTATTCTAAACAGGTTGTTAACCTTCTAATCTAGCCATTCTTAATCTTACTTATAATCTTAACATTTTTCTCTTTCTAATATTTTTACATACAAAAAACAATATTATAATTATAATCACAGCTGCTGAAATAGCAACTACAATTATAATTATTACAATAATAGAAAATGTATTTTCTTATTCACCATATTAAGTAAGTTCTATTGATAGAGTACTAACAATTGTGTTTAAATGACCATTTATAGGTCTTGCTGCAAATACAATGTTAAAATCCTTTTTAGAAGGACCCATACTATAAAAAATTAATTCTTATGGCTAAGTATCATACACTTTGTATTATTTTATATAGCTATCTTCATTATTCAATTTAATTTGACTTGGAATGATTATTGCATCTGTTAATTACAGTGTGATTTCAATTCCTTAATAACTATTAGTCTAATTTTGAGTTTATAATTTACACTAAACTTTAATTGGATGTCCATTTCATCCCAATTATTTATATTAAGATAAAAGAATTAAGTCTCATCTCCATAAAAGTAAATCTCATTATGTTCCTCTTAAATTTCTAAGGCAGTTTAATGGCAATCTGATCCTATATAACCAGAATAACAATCACATCCATCATCCTTTTATAGAACTGATATTTACATAGCATTCTCCATTATTTGAGCAACTATTATCACAATAATCCATTTTACTTCCCCATATAGTTATATTATATTTTCCTTTATTATTTTTAGAATGTGTAGTTATGTAAATTATTTTTCCATTAGGTTCAATTTTCAGAAATCTTGTTTTTCTCTTTTCATAATAACTTATTAATTAATCTAATTTAATACCTAATATAGTCACCCCTTGATGTGTTTACTTTTGGAATTTGATTAAGATCATAAATAAGAATAAAAGATAAATCCTCCTAAAATAAAGTAACTTAGACATAATAATAAGGCTGGCTTAAATTTTTGATCTTATAAATATTATTATCTGACAATTCATCAATTAATGTCCAATAATAATTATCATCAAAATCTACATCTCTTTATTGTTTAGTTAATACAAGAAAATAGAATAGTATAAGCATTTAAAATTCTTGTTAATTAAAATTATCAAATAGAGAGTTTATGTTTAATTAATAAGTATCGTTTTTTAACTATTATATGATTCTATAATAAATGTATTATCCTTTGATTATTATAAAAATATGTCTTAAGAATTGTTAATTTTAATTTTTTCAAAAAATATAGATATATTCCTAAAGATTATATTCATATATTAATATAATCATGTTAAATAAATTGTTATTTTTTATATTTAAATATAATAAAACAAAAAAGTTCATGATACAGCTAAATTTTCTAATGTGTCAGTCCATAGTTTTTGATATTAATTTATAGATGTCGTCATCAATTAAGCAAATTTTTCAAGATGATCTTTAAATTGAGTAGAAGCATATTTAATTACATAGTCTATTGTTTCATATGCTCTCAAATTAATCTAACCAAATTAATTTTTAAGAACTTATAAATGAGAATTATCCTATTATATTTTTTGTATATTTTACAGTTTTACACATGCATTAAAATGCAATTTATGGAGTTGATTTAATTTATTCTAATTTAAAATTATCAAGATAACTTTCATCTAAATCCCATTTAACAACTTCTCCTTATTAATATAATTTTTCTTTTTTTGATTTTAATTTATTTGAAAAATCAAATACTTAATTATAATGTTTTTCCCTTTAATTCAAAATATCCTTCAAAGGTATAATTTAATGAAATTGAAATCTTTACTATGCATATATTGTTTCATTCAATATTTTTATATTATCTGTTTGTATTTTAGACAATTATTCAAATAGATGGCTTGCTATAATATAGCAATCTTTTAACCTTGCATTTTAGGCTTTTGACTCTTTAAATAATTCTTTATATACATCTGATAATTAGAACAATGTTTGATTTTACTATTACATATGTTTCATCAACTATTTTACTAATTTATATGCTTTTTTTTACAAAGGTGTAACATTATTTAAGAAATAATCAGATTATTTTATAAAACAAGAAATTTACTTATTAATTCTGATACCATAATCTCCACTTAAAGTTGTATAAGGAATTACTTAATTTGGTTGAAATTAATCAAGAGATAAAAAGTCTTGAATAACAGGAAGGCTTCTTATTTCTTAATCTAATAAAATAAAATTTAAGAACATTTGCAAATGTCTTAATTACTTTATATAAGTAAATTCAACAGGTGATTTTCTTTAATTAGGTATATTTGGCACATTATAATGTTTATTAAGCATATTCTTAAGTGCTATAAATTCTTCATATGTCCTTTTTACAACCCAATTTATAGGTTTTGTTTCAATTTTGAAATAGACATATGTACTCATGAAAATACCTTTTTATACTTTCTCATAACCAACTACTGTAGCTGCCAAATTTTCTAAATTAGATATTGCATTTGGAATTGTCCTATTACATTTAAGTACTTAAAAGTAATCGTTCTATTGATCTTAGAATTTTTTTATCACATCTACTAATTCATCATAATCCCATTCTTCCAAATCATGTCGCTAATCTATGAATTTTTAGAAGTTGTCTATATTAAATCCTTTATCAATGATTTCTTTCACAAGTAAATTTTGTTTTTATTCCAAAGACATTATTTAATGTTAAATTATTTTGTATTTTTTAATATAATTTCTCATTTGAGTTTCATTCACTTCCCTATCAATTTAACATTGTTTATTTTGCAGAAGATTTTAATAACTACCTAAACTAATGTCATAGATAAAGAAACTTCAATGATTAAAATCTTAAAAATGAATTAAATAAATTATCATCCTTAAATGGAAGTATTAAAGATGTTTTCAAAAAATGGCACATAAGATATCTTACAATAGAGAATCATTGATCCATATTTAACTAAATTTCAATAGGGATTTAGAAAGAATTCAATTATTAATCATGATCTCTACTAAAAGTATTTAATTTAAATTACTATAGATATGTGGTTGTTATATGACATCGGATGAATTAAATGATAATGATGTAACAGGGAGATCATCTGTGACTAAATTGATTCATAAAAATTAGATTGAATTAAATCCATCATTAATACCTAACGCCAAAGATATAAAAATGTAGATATTTTTTCCAATATTTAACGATATTATATATCTAATAAATCTTTTTCTTATTTTAATTAAATTGTTGTTCTTTCTTCAACAGCTCATCCATTAGTTGAAAAGTTATAATCTGTCAAAATCATTTCTGATGCTTCTTTTGCTATTTCAATATTTAATTAACTCTGATGGATCAGTTCCTTGAGAAACTAATTTAATTGATCTATTAATAACAAATTAAAGCATTTTCTTTTATTTACTTTTATTATTGAAAATTCTATTCTTGTAAATAAATGAATTACGAATTATAATTAGTAATGTAAAATACTATATTAATGAGATCGTAGTAATTAACAACATGAAATACTTATTTATTTTTTTGATAAATACTTACTTTTTTCATCTTTTTATAATTCATTTTAACCATATTTTTGCTAATATTACATTAATTTTAGCTTTAATAAAGCTCATTAATTTATAATTTTAAAGATTTATCTATACTGCATCAACCACTTGATAAAATGATATACTTAAAATTGTTATGTTAAGTCAATAATATATTGCCATATAAAAATTAAATACTTAGATTTTATTAAAATTTTAATTAAGTAGCAATTATTGAACTTTTAGGAAATCATATATATATTTTATAATTATTTTGAGTAAATTCAACTTCATTCACTTATAATATCATTTGAATCTACTTTTTGACTAGCCAAATTAAAGCATTTAATTTCTGATAAGGGTTCTTTTTAATAAAATTTAATTGGAGATATAGATAGAGATTTGACTTCGCTCATTAAAGAACATCTTTTTGTTGGAGGTATAGTAATAGTATTCTACTCATCTTCCTTTATTTCATTATTTATCTAATACTCTTCTATATCATATTTAGACATTTATTCTTCACATTATAAATTCAAATTCCCATTTTAACTAAATTTTACATTTGTTATAAATGTAGACAAGGCTTATGTACTTTGTTCTTTAATTTAATCGAAAAATTGATGACAAAGTGCTTATCTAGCACTTATTCTTTATTTTGCATTTTTGTTTAATAGTTATTCTAATAAATTCTAGAAATATTAATAAATTGATTTAATTACAATAGAAAGATCTGTTAAATAAACATGATCAATAGGAAGATCCAAATCAATATAACATTTTTTATTTGCTCTTAGAACATCATCAAATGATTTTCCTCCAAAGATACTTTTTCCAGTTAATAATTTAAAAAGAATACAACCACTACTAAAAATATCAACTTTTGTTGTGTATTTATTTTCATAATTTAAATTAAGAATTTCTGGAGCAACATATCCTGGAGTACCACATTTAGGAAATAGAAATCTAATGTATTCATTAAAATATATATATATACTTATCTAAAGTTTCAAAAGTAGCCAATCCAAAATCTACTAAAACTAAAGAAGAATAATCATTTTTTTTGGCAAACATCAGATTGTCTGGTTTGAGATCTCTATGAATAATCTTATTATTATATATTATTATAAATACTTTATTTTCATGCAGTAAAGCTAAACTTGATAATAATTTGTACATTAATATTTTTATTGTTAAGATAGGTAATCTACGATCTGGAAGATTCTATTTATAAACTCAATATTACTTTGGCTATTTCTATTTCTTCACTAAGTGTTGGTCCTTCTAGATAATCTGTAACCAAATAGAATGTATTATCACCTTCATATATCTCCTTTAAAGTGAGAAAGTTTTAAGAATAAGGAGATAAGATTTTAAGTATCTATACTTCCATTTTATAAGCAGCCTAATTGATAAATTTTAGCATAATTACTAAGCCAGAGACTTTTTCAGTTTAATTTAAAAATGATTTTTCTATGGCTTTGATCGCATAAATATCTTAATTCAAAACATTTTATGCACTATAAACCTTAAATTTAATTGTATATTACTTTAGCTGAACTGCCTTTTCCAATTTATAAGATTGGAAGATAAAGATCACCAATACCTTCATATGTCACTGATTTACCAATAATTTCTTTAAATCTGGTAAATATAAGAATACAATATTCAAATTACTTCATTAAATCATCATGATTAGCATAGAGAGTCTTGAATGAATTTTTGTATGGAAAAACAAAGGATTAAATAATTACATTATTTTTCTACTTTTTCAAGTCCCAATTTATTTTTATATTGAGATCAAAACTTATTTTGTATTTTGGTTATTATGTATCGCTTGTCTAATTAAATAAATATGCGAGATTTACATTTCCAATAATAAAACAATCATCAAATACACTCACATAATATAATTTATCACGAAAAAAGTGTTTACGAGTTCCTTGAAATTATAATTTAGCTTCGGTATATGCAATATACTCCATATTATAATAATACAAATAATTAATTTTAACAAAAATGATTTATAATATTACATTAAAAATTAATAAGCCTTGATCCTTCAATCAATTTGTCTTTTTTCAACTCTGAATGCAGTAATATTTTGATCTAAAGCAGAACTTTTAACTTTCAAAGGTTATTAAGGCTAAGGTACTTATTTTATAAAATTATTAGATTATTTGAATGGAGATTCAATATCATGAGATTTAGTTGTAAATTTAGAACTAGAAATACAAGTAGATTCTGAAATCACACTAAATCTAGTTAATTCATAAGCACTTGATCTATTTTTAATAGGAGTTAATTCTAATGGATGTGAAATATTTTTATTTGTTAGCATTTTAATTACCCATTCAGAATTCAAGACTTATTAAATATTAAATCGTTTTGTATGAGCAAGCATTTAGAGTAATAATTATTTACACTCAATTGATAAATTATCATTTAATTTTATCAATTATTTATTACAAATCTTCTCATGTAATTCTTCCTTATTTTTTGCTCTAAATAACAATTCTCCATGTAGCATATACTAATTTTTTATAATAATATTTACATGTAATAATATTCCAAGTGCCCATACATCAACTCCTTTATCATGCTTTTACTTTTTTACAACTTCAGGAGGCATATATTCAGTAGTCCCACAAATACAAGGTTTAGCTTTCCCTCCATTTGGTAAATAAGTTGACCAATTAAAATCACATAATTTCACTGTGTTATTCTATAACAAGACATTATCTGATTTGATGTCTCTGTGCACTATATCTTTCTCATGTAAGTACTATATAGCTTGGGCTATCTAATAAAAATAAGAAAAGGCTTCATCTTCACTAAAGATCTTTTTCTTTTTTATCATCTCATACAAAGTTCCATTCTAACAGTATTCCAAAACAATATAAACATTATCTTTGTCTTCAAAAGTTTCTATAAATTCTACAATGTTCTTGTGTTTACAACATTAAAGATAATTGATCTCATTATCAATATGTTATTTTGCATTGTATTAATTAATATAATTCTTAGATATCTACATTCTATAAACATATATATACTATTTTTATTGCACATTTCTTGTTATTAGTTCTATTAATGGCTAGTTTTACTTTTCCATAAGTCCCTTATCCCAAATCTGTAGAAAGCAATTCATATTAATCTTTCAATAATTTTTTTGGTATGCTTGCAATTGATTAGTGAGATTTTGGGGGTAAACCAAAGAAAGGATATTAAATCATCTATTTAATCAAGAATAAATAAAAAATAATTTTCTTAAATGCCAAAATTACTATATTAATATTAAATATATATGAGTAATTTTTATTGTTAATTTAATCATAACTTTATATATTATTAAAATCACATTAATATCATTTACAAATAATTATTAATCACTTATATCTAATATTTACAATGATCTTTAAATTTTTATTATTAATTTAAATAAAGCTATCAAAACTCAATTTGATAATTTCAATCTTCTTGCTTATTAAAATTTAAATCTAAGTAAATTATGTATATTAATTCTATCTATCTCTGAAAAAGAATCATTTATTTAAAATCCATTTGTAATATTTTCTACTAAATAAACTTATGATCAAATTAATAAAAATACAATAATTTATGCTAGTACAAACTATTATAAGGTTATAAAATAAAGTTATGCTTTATACAATAATTTATTTTAAGTATTGTTAACTTATTTTTAACCTATTGACAATATTTTGGAGAATATATTAGTTTCCCATAGAATTTAAATAGGTTTCTAATTATTCACCATAATCAGGAATTTAATAAATCTCTTTATCAATAAAATTAAGATATTTCTAAAATTGATTAAGGATAATATATTAATCCATAATCTTTTGTTCTACTTTATATTAATATAAATATCAATTAATTCATTATTTCTTAATAAAAAAATATTAATATTTATCACTTTTGATATTAATTTAATAGTATATATGATGAAAAATTAAAAATAAATTAATAATAATTAAAATCTCTCTTTTCAAATAGAAATCTATGATTCCACATTAAAAAATGAATAATTTTTGAAAAATAATAGTTTTATTTGTGATTTTATCTAGTTTTTGTAACTTTTTGATAAAATATTATTTACATAGTTTATATAATAAATTATAATAGTGTAAAAATAATTAAAGTTTGCTAATATTTAATAAATTTAATGACATGAATAAGAATTTATTGTTAAATAATTAAATAATTAGTAAAAATATAGGTATTAATTATCACCATTTCAAAATTTATATTTTATATGCTTCTCTTACTTTCATTTTCTACAAGTAAGTTATATCTTTTTACTTATTAATACACATTAATTTATTGACATTTGACATAAAATTAAATAAATAATACAATGAGTTATTCTATAATGTAAATACTTAGTTTGTTCTAAGAGAAGGATGATCATAATATTAACAATATAAGCTTTTTAAGTGATTCAGAACCTAAAACTCCTGCTTTTAAAGATGAAAAAGAATAACTCATAAGATAAATTAATGAAGTTAGACAATAAAACTAAATTCTTCAAAATGAGTGTCAAAACTAAATTATGAATTTAAGTGAAAAACTAGGTAATATTTATATTTAATCTTAGTTCATTCATAAATTATATAGAGTAAAATAGAGAAATATAAAGAGTAAATGAAATATGAGTTAAATTAAAATTAAATTCTGACAAAACAATTCCTTTAAAAGCATGAGACCTGTTTCAATTTGAAATAAAAAATATTACAATAAAAGAAATCTAATAAGATCAATTATGAAGATCCTGGAAAAAGAATAACCACCTGTCCTAGTGAAACATCCACAGTACAAAGTCCTTTATTTGTCATACCATCATCACCAAAACTCAAAAAGTTGCACTATAATTCATTTAATCATCATTTTTGATATATTAATTATAAGTATTACTCTAAATAATAAATCTAATGAATTTGATACGATATTAAACTACTATTTTTATTACTTAATATTTTATGAATAATAAAATAAAGTTCTAAAGCCTATTGTAATTTGGTGCAAGTAAAATTAAAAAAAAAACTTAAATGATTCTTAAATTCTTAATTATTTTTAGAATGTATTTTAATTTACAAAATTGTAATATAAAATAGAAGTATTAAACTATCTCAATATTCGAATGAAACTTAAATGAAAATATTTCAAAAGTGAAAATATAACAAAGATATATTAGAAGAATTTGAAAAGATTATTATTTATCTGATTAATTTATTGAAGGATTTTCTGAAGATAATTATATAGCAAGAAGATGTATTATTATAAAAAGAAAAGTTGATTAATATATTTTAATGTTAAAAGTAAATTTATGAATCTATTAAATTAAATATATTGTATGAAGCATATAAATCTCATTATAAAAATATTTGTAGAAGATTATATAAAACTATAAATAATATTAATATTAAAATATATTAATAAATAGAATCAAATATTAAGAATAAACATAAAGCAAAGAGAATTAATTTATAAGATTACAGAAATTTTTTATAATATAGGTATTTTTTAGATATTTTATAAATAATAAATTTTTAAGAGAATAATATTTTGATAGATAAAGTTATAAGTATCAACCAAATTATAATTATTCCTTGTTCATTTAAAAAGCCTATTATTTTTCATTATAAAAGTCCATTATTTATTTAGTTTCCATACTCAATTAACTATTGCTTTTCTCATGTTTACTTGTGTTGATTCTATTAAACTAATTTTCATTAACCATGTTTTTTATGATATCTTAGTCTATATGAGGATTATTAGAGAATTCTCGAATGTATTATTGTTAATTTTTATGTATTTCTAATTCATTTTTTAAGATTTCATTTTGCAATTTTAAAGCTTCCATTTCTTTCTCTTTTTCTTACACTAAAGGTCCTTAATTCAGATTATCTTCTAAAACTTAAAAGTAATCTTTAGGTTTTGTGTTTGTAACTAATAAAAATAAATCTGCTTCCTTTGATTTATGTCTTACCATATGTTCATATATATTTTATTTATGTTTGCATAAAGCTTCAGCAGATATTTATATTTTTCCAACTCTATAATAATATTGGAATAATAATTACTATTTCATTACACTAAGTTTAAGTGCATTCTAAACTTCTTGTAATTTAGCAGCTCTTTACTCTACGTTGTATTTATCTTAAATGAGAATTTCATTTTCTTTTTAGATTTTTCTATAATATAATAATAATTTGATACTCATAGTCTAAATCAGAATATTATTCTATCTCTTTTCGTCTCATTTCAGTTTATTTTTAAATAGCTTCCCTCTTTTTCTAGAGTTATTTTATACGATTATCATTTTCAATAGAGTTTTATTATGAGAAATGCATTCGTTAATAATTTTATAATATTAAATTATGTATAAATAATAAATTCAATTTTATTATTTACCAAAAAATGTTGGATTATAGATATTCCAAAAAAAGTGATTGTTAATAATACTCCAATCCAAGGACCAAAAATATAAATCAATAAATTAATCATTTAGTTCCACTTTCTATAATAAATTCCATTAAATAATTTTAATTGTTATATTTGTATTTTTCTGCTATCTCAAATTTGAATTAATATGAAAAAGAGTATTGATCTATATATTTTATACATAAATATTAATCAATTTTTAGAAGAATTATTTATATTCAAATAATAAGATATAGTTGTAATTAATGAGATTAAAGAATCATAATTAACATAAAGATATCTTATCATATTTGAATTTATAAACTATTTGTTTGTTAATTATATAAAAATTCAGATTATCATATTAACATATTCAAGATACCAGCAATATATTTACTAACAGCAAAAACACCTCCAATAACAGCAAAAACTATAACTAAATAGTTTGTAATTGATGTAGATTGGATAGTCATTGATATTGGATCAAATTCATATTGAAATTCAATAAAAGGAGCTATAGTTTCATTGTAAAGTGATCTTTATTAAGTAAAGGTATAAAAATTATTTTGATTATTCCATATATCTATATTACTAGTAGTAACTAATTTTAAATAATATTTTGATGAAAATTAACTATATGTTTCTCTTTGATTTGATGGTTGATCCCCAAATGATAATTTGAAACTATGATTTCCTTAGAAGGTTTTATTAATTAATTCCATTGCTGGTTTATTAGATTGGATAGCAAAGATTCCAGGAACTTTTTTAATGTAAAAATATCCAAAAAATCTACATGCTTCATCTATTTATTCTTCAATATCAGAAACTTCAATATATTATTAAGATGGTTATTCTACTTAAAAAGATTCACTAAATAATAATCTTGTATTTTTAACAATTGAATTTTTAATTTATTTGACATGAACATAAACACTAATTCTAAATTAATTATATGCTCTATCAAGCATAGAATTAGGTTAATAATTATAATTATATTCTTCATTGATAACTAATAATTTTTCAATAAAGAATACAAATTAACTCATCATAACTGATGTATTAATTTACCATTCTATTTAATGATTTTAAACTTAGATTAACATAATGTCATCTTTTGTAGAATAATAGATTGGTATTGAACATTAATCCTTAGCCATATCAATTTCAAAATATTCACTTGTTGATTCATTATCATATGAAGCATTTAAAAATATCTTTAAATTAGTTTCACATTTTTGTCTATAAATTTCAGTTAATTATTTAACATCTTAAGTTAGATTTTTGAATGGTAAAACTCTTTCTCTATCAGCAAAACGTAATTAACTGGCTAATGTACCTCCAATATGATCCAAAGATATATTAAGCATTCCAATCAATTAATCAATTTATTTACCTTTTTCTTATTTTAATCTCTATTCATCCCACTACATTGGATTATAACTTATTTCTGAGAGTTAACCCAAAGCCTTTTTAAATTTATCTCTCTATTCTTAAGTCATAATTTATTCAGTTGCATCATCTTCATCATCATCTACTTCAATAGATTATTTGAATAATTCAGTAGCCGTTACATTGATCAATTCTTTTTTAGTTAATTCAAGTTCTTTTGAATGATTAAGATCAGCTTATCGAAATTATTATAATTCTGAATCATCAAATTAAACAGTAGGTTTACCAACACATTAAACAATGCTTTCAAAATTTGGTTATCTCCATCTTCTTTAAGCAAATGCCATCATTACATCTTAACAACTATAACACTTTTGATCTATCAATAATTCAGCACCATAACAAGAAGTGAAATTTACATTTTACTTAACCTTTACATATTCTAAATTCTCATCAATTATACGTGTTTTTATAATAGTATGTTATACATCTTATAAATAAGAGCCCATCATATCTTAAATATTTAATGTTAAAGCTTGACAAGGTGCTTAAATTGTAGCATCTAAATTAACTCTAATTCTAGAATCAATTGCTGGATCCACTTACAATTAAATTGTTCCCTAAAGAGCATTAGTAATTTCAGCCCAAATAAAAACAATAATACAAATGATTGTTAGAACAAATAGTAAACCTCCCCAAGATTATCGATTATATTAATTGTCTTGTATTTTAGGGAACAGATTTATCATTAATTTAATTTATTCTTTATCTGTTAATACAACTTTCTATTCAATGGGAATGCATATTCTTATTGCAAGACTAGACATGATAGTTTTACTGACATAACCTGAACCATTGACTGAAATATAATAATATGAAATCTAAAAATATTTAAGATTGAATAAATCCTTATATTCAGAAAAACAAATCAATTAACTAATACAACTAATACAAAGTAAAAACTATGATCATATTCGAAATTTATATCAAAGAAAATTTACAAGGTATATATAATTATTTAAGAGACTTGAAGAGCTGTTATCTTTGGATTTATCTATTGAATAAATATATGATTATTGTATTCGAGTTTATTTAAAGGAAATCAAAAAGCCAGGCACTACTATTCTAAAAACCTACAATAATATAATAGAAACTCATAGATATTAGTAGTTATATTTCCTCAAAGAACCCTCTTCTTATCAATATCATTATAATTGTTTAGATTTAGAGTAAGATGAATCAAATAAATATTTATTATTATCTTCATTATATAATAGGAACAGATTTGAAGAACCTAGATTCATTTATGTATCAGATCTACTTAGAAGAAGAATGCAATAAATGATCAAAGATATCTAAGATAGAAATTTAACTATTCAAAAAAGTATTAACTTATATTATCACTAAAATAAAAAGAAATAATATTGTCTTACACCTAAACCTATGAGATCTCGCAATAATACTTTTTATAAAAACAATGTTAAATTAACAGGATTGAGAGTTTAAACAGAATTTGTTATAGAAAAGAGATTACCTGCTCGATCTATATATCAAATTAAAAAAATCTAGTTATTTGATGAAAATGAAAATAGTACTCCTAATAATAAAAGTAGTTGTATTGCTTTAGGAAGACCAAGGAGTCATATAAGAACGAAATTTTAATAACTGATCAATTGATTTTATTATAATTATTATATTTATAATAGATTTATAAATGGACAATCAAATTAAAGTTGTCATTCGTTTTAAGTCCATTTTAAGTACAGAAGAAGAGTCTGTAAATTTTCCTTAATCTCAAGTCTCCTAATTGGATTATTGAAGAAGAAGCAATTACATATAAAAATATTAAACAATAGGAAATCTTTGAATTTGATGTTATTATGCCACCAATCACACTCTAAGAAGAGATATTCTAATCTATTATGTTGCCTAAAATCAGTTTTTTGTAATTTTGTTTATTTATAATACTTAGTTTATAAGGTTATAATAGTGCAGTTTTTGCTTATGGAGCAACTTCATCAGGCAAAACTTATACAATATTAGGACCAGAAAGTACAATTGAATAGATTCTGAATAATAAGTTTAATATTGATTAAAGTTCTGGTATACTTCCAAGATCATTTTATCAAATTGTCGATGTACAATCAATTTAAAATTTAGGGATATCAATAAATTAAACAATAAGCATCATTGTAATAAGTGACTCTTAAAGCCAACTATGTTGAAATCTACAATGAGTAAATTTACGATCTGTTAAATTAATAATATAAAACTAACAACCAAAAATTAGATCTAAAAGTATTTCATTTTTCATTTCTTAGATTAGTACTATAGCTGATGGTCCAAAATTAATAGGAGTTAGAGAAGTTCAAGTTGAATCTGTTAATGATCTTATGGAATTAATTGCATTTGGTAGTTATAATAGAGCTATTGGTGCAACTTAATTCAATTCTAGATCTAGTAGATCTCATGTTATATTCACAATTGAGTAATCTATTTAATTTAATTAGATTGCTTGTTGAATGGAAAGACAAATCATTGAGAACATCTAAAATATAATTTATTGATTTAGCTGGAAGTGAAAGACTTGCAAAAACTGTTGCAAAAGGTTAAATGCTTGAAGAAACTAAAAAGATTAATTAATCATTACATTGTTTAGGACATTGCATAATGGCATTATCGAGTAGAAAAACAAATAAACATGTTCCTTATAGAGATTCTAAACTCACTTTACTACTTAAAGAATGTTTAGGTGGTAATTCTAATACTTCTTTCATTTGTGCTGTAAGTGCAGCATTAGAACATGAAGAAAAAACTATTTAAACTTTAAAATTTGCTTAAAGAGCTAAATTGATACTTAATAAAGTTAAAATCAACATAAAACTTAGTTATGAGTAAATAGAAAAATAAATGACTATGCTTAAATAAGAATTATCTATGATGGAAAAAATACTAACAATGAATGTATTTCATCTTATCTAATTTTTAGGGAATTAAATATGATAAATAGATTTTTAAAGAATAAAATTTTTAATTACAAATTGATCAAACCATGAATATAGAAGAATTAACTGGAGATTATAGAAAAGCAAAAAGAAGATCACTTTAAACATCAAATAGTAAATCAGATATTAAAGAATAATTTAGTTATAGATTTTAATAGTATCTTGATTCTGAAAATTCAAAACCTCAACAAAATTCTAGTCCTAATTCTAAACGCATAGGTTCAAGATAATCAGGAGGTAATTTAAGAAAATAATCATTACCTTGTTCTCTTGATGGTTCTGAAGCTGAACCTGATGAAAATGGAGAACATTATTTAAATGAAGCTTAATTAATATAAGCTTTGAAATCTATTAGTGAAACACCAAGAGAACTATCATAATTCGTTAATGGAAGAGCTTCCTAAATTAAATTTCATACTTAAGAATCCTAATATTAATCATCAACAACTAATTAAACTACAAACACTGAATAATTAAAAGATATGCCAAAAAAAAGAGATAGCTGTTGCTAAGTCTTTTGATTATAATTTTTTTTTTTGAAAACAAATTTCCTTAATTATATATAATATTTTATTTATTGTATATGATTTATATTAGTATAAAAAATAACAAATTCTTTTAATAAAAGGATTATATAATTTTTAGTCTCTATTATTAATAAGCAGATAATATACTGATACTATATTATATATTTATGCAATTAAGATGATATTATAATTATTTTATTGAAGAATTGATTATAATACAGCCATTATTTAACAAAAATAGAAATGAATTAATTATTATACGATGCTTAGCATTCGAGATTAAATTTTGGAATTATTGGGCTAATTTAAAATAAATTTAGTTGTATAATTGACTTCATAGCTTTTCAAATGATTATATATGGTATGTTTGATAAGTTTATAAGAGTTCAGTCAAACAAAAATTAATCACTTTTTTATTTATCTAATTCAACTTCTATCCAAAACTTATTTGATAATTATATTCCAACATTTACTGATGAATCTTTGGATATCAATTTTTTATCATAAAGTATTTTATAAGGATCACCATTTGGTTTTGGAATTATAGTAAATCCATTTTCGTCATGTTTTAGAATGGCTTATATGCCTAGTAAGTGTTTGCTTAAATCTATATATGAATCCTTAAGATAAAATTCAACTTTCTTATTATTTAAATTAATAATTTCAAATTATATATACCCATATCCATTTACTTAAATAGTTTTTTAGGAATTGTCTACATTGTTTGTATTAGAAGTTGACAAAAATTACTTTTTAGTGTTTTAAGTGTTTGTTTGATTTACTTTTAATTAAAGAAAATCATCGAATATCAATATCATATCCTTATCTAAATAAATTTTTGATTAATTCAAATTTGATGTTATAAAATATGGATTATTTTCCACTTATAAGATTAATTATTTTTCAGAAAAATTATATTTCAAAGTAAATAAAGCTGATTCATCTTAGTTTTTGAGTTTATGAATGTGAGTTTATTATTTTTCATAGTATTTTTGAAATTTCTATATTAAATAATCTTTTTAAATAACCATTTAATATTCATTCTATTAACTCGATTCAAAAATTAGAAATTCTATTATAATTGCAATTGGTTAATATTTAGGATGGTATAATATAAATTGTAATTTTGATCGAATATGATTTAATTCAAGTACTTAAAACTTATCAAGATTAATAGTATCAATATCACAATTAATTGATTGTTATTATGACTATACTTATTTCTATAAATCTAATAATTGTTATTTTATTTAATTTTAAAGGTTTTCTGTTTATTTATCTAATTTAAAATAGGATAATAGGCCTGCATTCTTTTTAAATTATAGTTATAACTATATTAAATTGTCTTTAATTTTATTTAAGTTCTCTTTAACTTCTTTCTCAAATGAATTAAGTTTAATTTTTTTATTAGATTCTTAAAAATTAAATACTGTTTCTAAAGAATAAATTAATTCATTTAATGTTTTTTAATCATATTTACTTTTAGTTAACAATTATTTTAATTCCTCTTTCATTATTTTTCTGAAGTATTTATAAATTATTTTTATAAATGACTTTTATGAATAATAGAAGGAATTATATTAAAATTTAGAAATAATTAGAACTTATTTATTTAGTTTTAGAAAATTTATATACATTTTTTAAAGCATATGTATATTAAATGCGAATAAAATTTATTTAATTTTATCATAAGTTTTGGGTAAATTGTTCTCTACTGCAAATAATATATATGAAGGATATCAACCATATCATTAGTATTAAGTATGTAACGATCAAATATCCTAAAACAAATCTTTTGAGATGATAACATTCTTCGTCCTAGACATAAGCATACTAATATAGTATTTATAAATTTTTTTACAGTTAATCCAATTAGAATAACTACATTAAAAAATAGTTCTAGATAATCTACAACATCAAACAATTAATTTTTCCATTATTCATTAGTCTAATATTAAATCGGTAATTCAATTAATCTAATATTGTTAAACCACATACAATTTATATCCAGCTATAGTAAATAATACAATCTCTGTGTAAAGTGTCCATGAATCAATCAGCTGGCATTCGGAATCATCTCTTGATTAAAACCAAAATCTAATTACTATAATGTCGAAAAATTAGAAACAATAGTCCCCAACTGGAATTGTAAATGATGGCAAAAACAGTAGAAAAAAGGGATTTACTTATTTCTTCAGAATTTCTATTTGAAGTCGGGTTATCAAATATTTCTACTTCTTCTTGCTGTTAATTCATTAAATAAAACGTATATATAATTGTTTATAGTTAATTTTTATAAATACAAGGAACATTTATTCTTTAAAAAAACTGATAACAAATTTTAAAAATAAGTAAAAGAGAATTACTAAAAATGAATTAAATTATATATTATACATAATAAATCTATCTTAACTATTTCTATCTTTTCACATTTCTTTTGTATTTTTCTTTAAATTTTCATTTTCTTTATTTTTCATCATACTTAATGACTCAAATATACTTCTATATTATATATATATATATATATATATATATTATAATAAATAATGTAAGAACTAAAATCTCCGAAGTTGTTAAATAATCTAGTCTCGAACACTTAAAAAAAATAAAATTCTATCCCTCCCTCAACAGATATTAATATTCTCCAATAAATTTTAGACCAAGTTTAACCTGTAGAGATTTTACATATGAATAATAATGATGGTTAAGAAAGTAAACTCAATATTTAATATTATAGAGACAAATTAAAAAAGAAACAATAAAACTCTTAAAATTAATGAAGATTAAGCAGAATAATAGTTAATAGACTTTATGTAATTAGGTATTTAAGACTATGAAGCTAATTAATATTCACAATGTGTATATCACTTAAAATAAGCAGAATAAATATTAACTGTAATTTCCTATTCTAATCCATTAATTCATTGTTTCCTAATAATAAGAATAAATTTAGGAATAGTCTTTTATGCAATTGGTTGGTTAGAATAAGCATTTACTTGTTTTGAAGATGCAATTTTAGCTTTAAAAAAAACCCCAAGAACAGATTAAGAAGGGTATTTGTTATCAATTATACGTCTGCATTGTTATTTGTAATGCTGTATCATTCTTTCAGAGAGTGATCAACATTCTGAAGCTTTGGCTTTTGCTAAAATGGCAATAAGAAAATCATCAAAAATATTAATAGATCTTCAAAAATATATGCAAAGTTAAATACATTAATAAGTTCTTGAGGAAATTCTTAGGAAGAGTATACCAATTTTAAAACCAAAACATCAAACCATAGTTTAGGGTTATTAAATTCAAACCTAAACTACTTAAGAAGTAAAATGATTAGTATTAAAGAGTTATGATTAAGTGTATTCTGAATGTCCATAAACATATTATCAAAGAGCCAATATATTATACTTCATCCAAATGAATCCAATAAATTTAAATAATTTCAAACATGAGATGGACTTTCCTACTAATTAATAATATTTACATATGATTTGTTTATTTGTGATTTCCTTATATTGCACTTCACAGAGTCTAAATTTGTATAGAAAGTTGAATCTTTCTGTTTTAGTGAAGCAGAGAATTATTTATCAAGGGCTTTAGAAATAGCTTACTTATATTTACCAAAAGATTTACCATTAATAAACTAATTGTTGAATGTTCATATAAAATTTTACGATATATCAAAATAAGTATTTATTTACTTGAAAATCTAGGCAATTGATGAAGATGCAAAGATTAAGATGGATTAAGGAAATTTTGAGATTGTATTACTTAAACCAATTATTGAATCATAAAAATGTGGTTTTGTTATTCCAATCATTAGAAAATGTAATCAATAAATAATTTCAAAGCCAAATATATTGGAATGAAAAGTAGGACTAGATCTATGAAAGAATAATTATTCTCAAATACTAAGCTAGCCAATTTTAATATTGAACCAGAGTAATAAATTTATGAAGTTTAAAATAAAACTCATAAACAGAAATTAAGATCTATATCAACCACAAACAAATATAAATCTAATTCTTCAAAATGGGTCAATCATTAATTAGCAGAAGTCTATTTGCAATAATAATATCCTTTTAAATCTATTCAAATTAAAAAGTATTCATAAAAATATAATAATAAAACTGTTGAATTAGGTTCTGCAAAAAATTCAACTAATTATAAAAGTAAAATTAATAGATCAGAAAATTAAAATTATAAAAAATAATTAAATATGTAATTAATGATTACCAATATAAATTAAAATGCAAATAGTGGATAGACAATTCAAATAACTAATGTAATATAATTATTATTATTTAATAAGAAAAAGAATAATTAATCAATTAATTTTGATTAAATAATCACTAAGAGTCCGGTTAATCTATTTTTCTAGAAATAAAAAGATGATAAAAAACTTTCGACTATTTAATAGAAATTTAAATCTGTATTAAAACAATGTTGATTAAATAATGTTTCTTCCTTTAATTATCTATATAATAATTTGATTTAAATGAAATAATATGATCTTTTGCTTTTTATGAGGATTAAATAATTTGACAGTTAACCAAAATAATCACTAATTTTTCAGAAATTTTTATTAAATTAAAAATTTTAATTCTATTATTTTTATATATAAAAAATCAGATTTTATCAGTCTTAATTTCTTGGGCTTTTATTTTCTTGCCCTTAATTATTTTTTTTACTATAAATCATATCTTAGTTTTAATCAATTTTTAATAATTATTTTAACATTTTATGAGTTGGGCTTCATCAAAATAGTAGTAACCCTTAGATGGAGCATCTTCAATTGATGAGAACAGAGAATCATAAAATAATTTATATTTTGGGTTTTCAGTCTGGGATGATTAAAAAGTAGAATATGGGTAGATATCCTAAGATCAATCATCTTTAAATCATCCAACCAAAAATTAATCGAAGCAAACTTTATGCTTATATGATGATGATGGAAGTATTTTGAAGAAATAATCATTTGATATTGAAGCAATTCATAAGAATTTTAAAGTAGGAAGTCATCTTCTAACATGCTCTTCACCTTATATGAATGAAGGTGATTCACAAAGTAATTAAGACAAATTTATTATAATTGATGATCAAATTTCTCAAACACCTATAATAATAGAATATATAAGTAATCCCAATCCAATTATACCTACTTCTTCTTAAGCAGATTAATAATTTTATCCTAAAACTACCAAAAATTATTACAAATGCATACATGGAGCTCTACAAAAATTTATGAAAGATATTCAAGACAATATTCAGTTTACTTGTAAAGCTAAAAAATTTTTAGAGAGCAATCCTAAAGTTTCTGGAAAATTGAAATTAATAAGGTCAATAAAGAGTTGTTAATAGATGAGGAGTATAGCAATGAAATTTTTGTTAGATTTTTAATGGTGTAGATACCTTGTGAAAAATAATAAAGTAGATATAGAAAGGTATTTTAGATTGAACTAAATGCTTATTTAACAAATTTAAGAATGAATGCTATAAATGTTATTTATATTTAAAATTTAAATATTTTCTTAATAGATTAGGAATTAATTATTCATTAAAATAATTATAAAAATATATATTATCAGATAGAATTTCATATATAATTTTTCTTTATGCTACCTAAATTTGGAGTGATAATTAAATAATATAGACATATTTCTAGTGATTCTAAACAACTACTTTATTTCATTTTATATTTTTAATGTAAATACTTCTATATAATAATTTATTTATAATATCCTTAGAAAATTATTTCATTATAAAGTAAACATAATATAATATTCAAAATTTAAGTGTTTCAATCAATTTCTTATTACTTCCTATTAATAACATTTATTATAATGCTAATAGACATTTTATTTTACCATCTATCTGATATGATTTACTTATTTGTTAAGAATAAACAATAAATTCACTATCATTTGTTTAGATAATAATTTAACCATTTTGCATGCTATAGATATTCATAGCTCCTATATCTATTTCTGAATTAAACTTTAAATGTTTTGCTTCTTCATAAATTAATAATGCTCCATCTCTTTAAAGTACATAAAGTAAACCCTCTTCATATATCATATTTTTTATAGGCTTTTTTGAAGTACAAACCAATTAGAGAGTATCAGCTTATAATTTGTATATGAAATTATCAATAGCAACCAAAATATTATTGGATGTTTAAATCATACAATTAAATACTCCATGATATGAAATTTATTTTTTTGTTACAGAAGAAAAATAGAAAATATAATTAGCTGTTACAATATATAGTACTCCTTTTTCAGTTTAATAGAGTTATAATGGAACTTCATCCATCCTCCAAGAATGTTTCAATCTATAGGTGCCATGCATTGATTCACTTACCCATTAAATTATTTAATTATCTAATGAGCAAGAATAAAATGTTTTAAAATTATGTTAAATTACAATTTTAGTAATAGATTTAATTGGTTTATAATGTTTACCCAATACTTATATTCTACCTGAATATAAATTGATTGCACGTACTGATAAATCAGAACATGCAACAATTACATGAGTTTAATTAGGATCATTACTTAAAAATAGTGGTATTGCCTATATATGATAAATATTTAAATTTTAAATATTATTATGTGTTTTTATTTTTTCTATATCTTTATTCATGGATGACAATAAAGAATTAATTTTACTAGAACTAACTTAATATGAAGATAATTATTAAGAAATAAATCTAGGACTAAATTGTTTAATTAGATCACTATTATTTTTAGTAGGTGTTTTAATATAACTAGATACTCTAATTCTATTATTTCTACTAGTTGTATTCTCTGATTTGCTATTTTCTCTCTCAATTAAGAATGAGGATTAACTTTTAGAATAATGATTTTATGAAAAATAACTAGACATTTATTTATTTTTTCTATCACTTTTTTCATTTGGTTATAAACATGATGAATTTCTTAAGAATTTATTTGTAATATATTTTTAGATATTATAAGATCTATCTTATTTAGATTCTTTATTAATTTATTTTTTGTAATCATTATATAAATTATTATTTGTATTTGTCTACATAGCTAAAGCTATTTTTTTTTCTATAATTTTTTTTAAAGAATTCGTTTAAAATTAATTATTACTGTTTTAAAATAGGAATTGATATTCTTTTGAATCCTTATTAAGTTATTTTCCATTATCTTTATGATTTTTGTATTAAAAATATGATCTTTCAGTTTCAGTACCTCGATTATCAATATAACTATGATTCAAATTCAAATTAGTTGATAGACTAATGTCATTTTAACTAGTTTTTTTCATCATAGAATGCTTATCAAACATATTTAAATCTGATTGAGGTCGATGGATTCTACTTTATTTGAATTTTTGTAAGATTGAATTTATTTGTTAACCAATTTCTGACATTTTCTTTAATGATGTTTACATATAATTTAAAGGTCTTTAAAATTTCTATTACTAACTTTCAGGTATTAATAACTTATTTAAATTAGTATGTTTTGATTAGAAATCATGATTATTGATATTATTTTCTTAACTCATTGATTTAGCTGTTTATTTATTTTCATTTGGTTCTGTTATTAAAGGTTTACCTTATAACATTTAACCAAATTCTCTTTCAGGAGTAATAGATCTCCATTCAAATTAATTTTATTTAGGATTTCTGTTCCCTCCTTCTTTCAATAATTATTGCATATATTATAATATAAAATTAATTGATGGTTATTCTTAAACTAGCAAGTGAGATTATTGAAGATGGAAATCTAAACAAATTGAATTCACTCTTGTCTATGCCATTGACATAAGAGTTAGTTTAAACTCTAAGAAGGATTTTTTTATATTTGCAAGATAAAAAGTTATTTGTGATTTCATATGGATCTGAATGGAATTAATGGAACATAAAAAAAAATAATAATAATAGATAAAATGAAAGTAATTAAATAGACAATTTTTTGAATGTTAAATGGAGTGTCTTTTTAAGATTGTTATTCTAACATTCATTTTATAATGATTTATTATTAAGCATTGAATAAACAATTAATTGTCCACCATATGTAAGACTAGTAGAAACATCAGTTGAAAAAGGATTTGAAATTCCTATTCATTCTAATTACTTTGAAGTATTACAATATCTCACATTTGATTTTGAGAAATTTATTATATTATTAAAAAGATTCCCAGAAATTGAATAAAAAGATAAGGCTCAATTTACTATTTTTGTTTAAAAATAATTATCAAAGATTACCAATAATTAAGAAAGACTTTCATTTTCAAAATTAATAAATACTCATTTGGTTGATAAAGTGGATAATCCATTAATTTTAGCTGATTTCTTATAACATAGTATAGATAATGGAAGTTTAGAATTAAAAATTAATTCTCTTTAATCTTTATTGATTTTAATTACTAGATTTAATTATAATTTAGAAAATTTCTATGAAAGAGTAAAACTATTCTAATATTCAAATAGTTAATACAAATTATTGATACTGAAGGAGCATTCGAATGTTCATCAAAATCAAAATTATTTAAATTAATTGATGTAGCAACTAAGTCATCAAAAGTTCCCTTATAAACATTAGCTAGAATAATTTAATCTATACTTAGAGCTTTTCTTAAAGAATCATGTTCTTTATAATTGGCAGCTACTTAACTAATTTTTAACATCTTCAAAAAGCATGTTACATTAAAACAATTTTTATAATAAGGTGATACCTAACTAGTAGAATTAGCATCTTATTAAAAGTATATTCTTTACTTAATTTAGCCATTGGCATCCAGAGATTAAAAGAATAATATCTTATTTAGAAGATGATCTAAGTATTTTTGATTATTTTAACCTTAATGATGTAATCGAATTGTAGGACCAATAACTGTTAGAAGCGTAATTTTGACCATTATATATATAAATCAAAAATTCTTATCATTATTTAACAAATTTCATTTCAAAATTCATGTAATATGGTAAAATAGGAGAGGATTTATCGAGATCTAAAATTGAAATACTTGAAGACTTTGCTAGAGAGTCTGTTGAATCATTAGATAGTTTATTACCACAATTTCATTGTCACGATTTATAATAATTGGAAGTAGAAAGGCGAGTGGTGGGTTATTTAAAATCATTAGGTCTTAAATTTAAGACTGATCCTACATCAAAAGAATAAGAGTTTTAGTATAAGTTTCATTAATTTAGTGAATAACCAAAATAGAGAAATATAATTTTTTAACAGGTGATAGGAGAATCACCAATGATTAATACTATATAAATAATAAAATTTGGCATGGATCAAAGTAATTCAAAAAGAGATTCTGGAACTGTATTAAGTCCATTTTTACTAGGCAAGTAAAGGTCATTTGAAATTTGATGCTATGATGATAATTAATTTGAACCTATTAAAATTTACAAAAGATTAATTATTTTAATTATAAATCATAATATATACAAAATAGAGTATTTTTTATTTGAATAAAAATAGTATTATAAAAATAATCAACTTTGAAAACTAAAATGGGATTATTAATCACTAAATGCAAAGAGTGTTGTTTTTTCATAAGAAGCAAGCCCTCTGCCTCAGTGTCTTTACATTAATTAGTTAATTTATCCAATAATCCTGCTGAAGAAACATAAGGAAAAATATAAGCATAATAGATAAGTTTATTCCATCCCAAATTTAGGTTTTGCACAAGATATTAGTCATTCTAATGATTTATCATCATGTTAAGTAGATAAAAACGAGGAAAAAAATGAGAATGATCTAACATTGGAAACTATTTCTAATAAATAATTATCAATTGTAAGATCACCTTCTACAAACTCATCAATGTAAATAAAAGAAGAAGATAAATTTATTTAAAAAAAGTAAAATAGTTAGATTTCAGATTGTACAAATCAACTGCAATAATAATAATTATAATCAATAGAAAATGGAATTATTGTTTTTTCTAACATAGATTCTATAAAAGTTGATCAATTAACTTTATATGTGTAAGAGGCACTTGAAAAATTTACAGAATTAGTTGATATAATAGATGACAGTGATACCTATATTTAGAATATCAATAATATTGAATTGTATTTCTCTCATTATTTTATGCAAAATGTCATGTTCATTTAAATTAAGTGTTTATATAATAATTATAATATAGGTTTCAATTTGAGTTGAATACAGAAATTAATAAATTTCTTAAATGGTCTAATGAAAACACTTTATTTGATTATGAATTGTTTGAAAACTATTAATTAAAGCAAATCAATGAATAAATGTCTATTGGACAATTACAATTAAACAAACATTTGATGATTAAAAAACAATTAATTACATACATAAAATATATAGAATTGCTAAATGAAGATTATTTCATTGTTTATAAATCAATTAGAATTTAAGATCAATAATAATCTAAAATGTAAATTGTTTTATGATTTAATTAGAACTTCATAGTTATAGGAAGGATAAATTATGTTAGGAGGATTGAGAATAAGTTAAAAAGATGGGAAATTAATAATTAGAGGTTATTTAGATGGTGATTTTAAAATAAAAACTGGATTTAATTTGACAATTAAGACATTAAGAGAAAAAGTTATTGGATGTATTAATAAAGTGAAGGAATTATTTAATTGAAATAATGTATTTTTAATTTATTAAACTAACCATACCTCACATTCTTATAAGATGTAAATATAAATCATATCGTAATGATAATAGTATTTTTAAGAATTATTATAAAATTATTAAATAATCATTATTAATAAATATCAATGGGTAATAAAATAATGAAAAGCTAGGCGGAATTTGAATAGGATTATCAAAGGAAATAAGAATGTAAAAGATTAACTAATAACGATAGAGAAACCTTCTGTATTAGCGTTAAACCTTTTAATTAAAAAAAAGGGTCGAGTTAGTACAGAATATTAATTCTTGACTCCTCCAATTGGTAAAGGATAATATTCAGAAATACGTAAAGTAATAAATAAAAAAACTGGAATCATGAGAGCTGTAAAAATAGTATAAAAGAATGCTAATGAAAAAGAAGAAGAAAGAGTTACATCAGAAGTCAACATTTTAGAAAAACTAGATCATCCAAATATTTTAAAAATAAATGAATATTATAGTGATGATAGATTTCATTATATAATAACAGACTATTATTCTGGAGGAGAATTATTTAGTAAAATTTAAGAGAGAAGAACATTCTCTGAAACATAGGCAGCAAGAATTATTAGATAATTATTATATGCATTAAATTATTGTCATCTACATGGGATTGCTCATAGAGAAATCAGACCTGAAAATATTATGCTCGAAAAAAGTTCTGAATTTGCTTCAGCTATTTTGATTGATTTTGGTATGTGTTAAAAGATATCCCATAAAATGCATAGTTCAGTTAATCATCCTTATTATTAAGCACCAGAAATACAATTAAAAAAATATAATGAATAAATTGATATTTGGGCTATTGGAATTATCACATATATTTTATTATGTGGATATCCTCCTTTTGGAGGAGAATCAAATAGAAAAATTATTGACAATGTCCTCAAGAAACCTTTGGTTTTTGAAGAATAAGATTGGAACAAGTACAGCAATGAATCAAAAGAATTTGTCAAGAAAATTTTAATTAAAGATCCAAGTCAAAGAATAACAATAGAATAAGCTTTGAATGATCCTTGGATTGTTAAGAATTTTGAATTATAGGTTAATGATGGTTAATTAAAAAGAGTGTTAACAAATTTAGTTAATTATAATAGTCAATCAAAATTATAAGAAGCAACACTAAAATTAATAGTATTGTATTTAGCTTCAAGAGAGGAATTGAGTGAATTAAGAGAGATATTTACATATATTGATTCAAAAAATGATGGGTATATTGATGTTGAAGAGTTATAAACTGCTATGTTAAAAATATTTGATTTTGAGACAACTGAAAGATAAATTAATAAGATATGTGGTGAAGATGAAACTCTATCTTATTCACAATTTTTAGCTTAAGCAATAGATAAATAAGCCATTTTATAAAAGTCTAAGATAGAAACTGCATTTAAATTGATAGACAGAGTATTAGTGAAATCAAATATTATAGAATGCTTCTGGAAATATTAATGTTGAAGAATTATGTGAAGCTTTTAAATGCAATTTGGCTGGTAATGATTAATGGATAGAAATAATGAATGAAGTTGATGCAAATCATGATGGAGCTTTATCATTAATAGAATTTACAAATATGATGAAAAAATTGATATAGTCATGATTTTTTATGTTTTTTTCTGTTATTTACTTTATTAAATTCATTCTATAATAATATTTTTTGTTGTTCTTGAAGTTATTTCATTTTTAATTACAATTATTCATTTTCTTCGATTAGATTCAATATTGAACTTTAATAATTTTCAATCATTTTATCATAGATTCCACAATTTGTACATTTCTTTAATGTAATTGTTGATTGAGTATCTAAATCACTTTAAGGATCTTCCATTTTTGAAAGCTCCTCTAATATTTTTTCATTTTAAGTAGTTTTTTATTTTAGTTAATTTTAGTATTACACTTGATGTTTAACAAAAAAATCAATCATTGGATTTGCTTTTGAGCATATAGTAATAATATTTTAACAATATCGAGAGAATATCTAATCTACAATCATATATTCTTAGAGAGTAACATCATTATGAATAATCTCAAAATTTTATTTGATGTATTTGTAAAAATACTTTTTGATTTATGAAACTTTTGTATGATATTTACATTTTAGAGTTAATTAATATTTTGTAGATTAGATCTAATCATCTACATATAAGTCATACTCATTCTTTCTCATTAAAAAAATTATTTATTTAGGAGTTATAAATAAATTATTTATAAATAGTTAAATTGTTTTCAATTAATGAATTTATGTACAAATTTAGTAATATTTTGATTACTATTTATTTATTGTAAATATCTTAATTATCTACTTATATGGAACTGTCTTATCTTATATTTAAATGATTTCATAATCTATTCAATAGATATCCATAAGTTGCAATAATTAATAATTATTATATAAATTCATAGTTTAAATCAAAGATTTATTTATTTTTATTCATAAAATACATCAAAATATCAGAGATTATTATTAATATGTAAACTAATTGAGAAAATTATCAAATAAATATTTTTTATATTTGTAACTCTTAAATAGTTTTTGAGTAAATAAAAAATAAATAATATTAAAATCTAAAGTAAAATTAATATTTACTTTTGACTAAATGCCAAAGATTTTTAATATTATACATAAAATTAATTGAAGTTGAATATATATAATGTAAAAATATGTACACATATCAATTATTCAAGAGTCTTCTGATTTATCTTAATTAAAGCTTTGTGAAACCTAATCTGATTATGTTATTAGTTTTGCTGTTTATTTTTATTCCAACTAAGCTTCAAGTTAACCAATTTATTTTTAAATTTTCATTAATTATTTTTCCAAATTTTTTTTTTGTTTAGCTTTTTATTCTTCATCTAATAAATGTAAAATTCTTCTTTATTTTGCATGAGCTTTCTTTTATTAGTTTACCCAATTATTTATTGCTTTATCTTGTAATGCAGGATTTGTTCTATCATAGCAAGAATTAAATTAAGATTCATCATAAGGTGAAAATTCTTTAATCTTTTTTGTTTTCCAAATTTTATTTATAATTAAGTCTTTAGGGATTAAATAAAATATGAATGCACTTATTAATTAAATTAGAGAAATCTTGTTCTCATTTGAATTCATATAGTTTTGACATGATATTATTATAGGAGTATAAGATATTAATGTAAACATTTCAAGTGATAAATTTGAAGATGGTTAATATTTAACTGTAGAATGATTAAGTAGAACATATTTATCAGCCCAATAATAGAGACTTAATCCTAGAAATGACATAATTGAATTAATTGGCATAAGATTCCCATATATATTTGTTATTATCATAGTATAATTAATATAAGCATGATTTCTAGTTAAATTGTGTTATTGAAGTTCATAAAGTCTATTCAATTCATCTTAAGTCTATGGTTATGGTTAATATTAAATTTTGTAATTTTTTATTTACTATTATAGTTTTAAAAGTATAAATAGAGGAGGAAGAAATGAATTACTAATTTTATAATTATAATATATAATACCATGCAAAAAGCCAAAACAATTCTCCATCAACAAATTAAGCTACATAGATTGTAAACAAAGACATGAGAATTGTCAATTTAAAAGATTAACTCTTTTAAGTTTCTGTCCAAGAAATATATTTTCTAAATGTTATTCTTTTTGTGAGTAATGGAAAAATATAATAACAAATAATAGTTATTAATGGTGTGAAACTTGATTTAAATGATATCATTTTGTTTGTTTTATATTCAGTAGTACAAGTAACTACTAATAACAATATCAATAATAAAAAGTTAATAAAGATTTCAAGTATTCTTTTAAATTATGATAATTCTATCCATTCATTTAAACTTTTCCAATTAATATCTGTAGGTTCTGGTGCTTATCTAACAGCTAAACGTATTCCTTAAAAGTTTACATATCCATCATTGTTTAAATCTAGATGCAATAATTATTTAAGATAATATTTAAATTTATTGTATTTAGCCTTTTTTAAGAATTAAAGTTTATCTTATTTATATTTAAATGATACTAAAGCACTTCCAGAAAAGTAATTTTATTCAAAGTATGTGTCTTGTAATTGTTCTAAAAATATTCTCTTATTTTTTTTTTGTTTAATTATTTATTTAAATATAAAGCATACTTTAACTACATTTTCAAATTCTTCTTTAATTTTCAGTTCTAATTCTTCTCTTGATAAATCCAATGGTAATTTTTGAAATAAAACCGTATAATCTCCTGGAGTTGTTTGTTTTAAGTCGCAAAAACTATCTAACTTTATTTAATTATGTCTAAAATAGATTAAGTAGATCATAGTAAAGTATAAAGCGGTAAGACTTAATATGCCTTACTTTTCCTATAAGCCTTCCTTAGTCTCAGACAATTCAAACAATGTTCCAATATGAGTTATTAATTAAAAATTACCAACTGTGATATATTAGATAGCAATTATTGTTAAACAAGATTTGATGAAATCGAAATACAAAGGATAACCACTGCCTAAAAATCCTAATTGATCACTAGATATTCCAAAATTAAAGATTTCCCTTTCCTTTTTAAATATATATATACAATTTGCAAACCACAACAATTACAAATTCTTCCTTTATAATTTGGTCGACCTACTCTATTAGCTTATCGGTGATCAAGTGCCTGTTCAATACTCACTTAAGGAAGACTACTAATATCTGCTGAATAAGAAGGATAAGGAACTGAGATATCTGGTAATATTTCATTCATTATATCACCTATATTAGTAACTTATATTTATTATGAAAATCAACTTCATTATGAACAAGAATTTAATATATTGAGAATTTCGTTTAGATTATGCTAATCATGCTTTTACTTTTTTAATAAATTTCATAATTTTGTTTTATTCATTACTTTTCTTTTTATTTATATTCAAATTTAGATTTTAAAAGAAATATTATTTATATATATATTGTATAATCATCATAATAACAATTATTTATTTAAATCACAATCATTTTTATCTTTATGATTCACATTTATCTATTTTTAAAGTATTAAATCATTCTATAATTCAGTTTTTCTAATTTTATTAGAGATTCTTATTAATATATTTGTAAATCATAAACTTATTGATATCATCTAAAATTTTTTATCTTTATTCAAACTCATTATACTAATTGAACTGAAATTCAGTAATTTTAATAATATAGATCTTCTATCAATTTCAAATAGATCTTTTAATTTTATTGAATATGTACTCAGAATTTGACTACTTGTTATTATATATAATCAATTCATATATTTAATTTATATGTATTATGTATAATTTTACAATACTTTTTTAGTGTTTATACAAACAATATATATAATTATATATTAGTATTATAGATTTATTATTATTTGAAAAAATACAATTAAACTTTATATTATATGTATAATATTTTTTCATACATTAGAGAGTGTTAATCATAATTCACATATTAATTAAAAATCCTTTAGAGAATTTATTTTTCTTATACTATAATTAGAGAATTGATATTTATTATAGTATAAATATTAAATTCTAAAATCATCACTATTAAGGATAAAATTAATCTAATTTATAGTAGTATATGACCTATTATTAATATATCCATTTTAGTCACTTTAAATTTGAATAATCGTTTTTATTGAGAAATATTAAATTTCATACAAAATTATGCTTTCTTGCCATCATTTAACAAACACAGAGATACAAATGGATAAGGATGATAAACCTACATTACTTAAGATGTTTTGGAATTTATTAGTCTGTTCATTCTAAACTGTGTTTGGTTATGTATGTTTAGACATCTGTGTGAGTGTTACTTTACATTACATTAACAAAGGGTAAATAATACATTTATGAAAGAATGACTTAAATTGATGTAGCAGGATATGGGTTTGCATTGAATTGTGTATACATTATTGTATTGCCAATCGGATTCGGATTTAATTAGTCTCTAAACATGCATACAGCATAAGCAATAGGTGACGGAAAACACTAACTTGCCAAACGATTTTTTAATGTCAATTTATATGTGATGCTTATGTTTCTGATTCCATTTTCGGGAATTTTAATAGCAATCAAAAAACCGTTTAGCCTAATCGTAGAAGAGTCTTAGAGAGAGTAAACAGCTGATTGCGCCTGGTAGTATTTATGGTTTCTGATTCCAGCCATAATTTTAGCAATCATTTTTGAAAGTATTAAGATTTTTATGGCATCATACAAAATTACATACCCATTTGCCATTATTCATTTTATCACTTTGCTTTTACATTGGCTATTTAGTTGGTTATTTATAANTCATTCTATAATTCAGTTTTTCTAATTTTATTAGAGATTCTTATTAATATATTTGTAAATCATAAACTTATTGATATCATCTAAAATTTTTTATCTTTATTCAAACTCATTATACTAATTGAACTGAAATTCAGTAATTTTAATAATATAGATCTTCTATCAATTTCAAATAGATCTTTTAATTTTATTGAATATGTACTCAGAATTTGACTACTTGTTATTATATATAATCAATTCATATATTTAATTTATATGTATTATGTATAATTTTACAATACTTTTTTAGTGTTTATACAAACAATATATATAATTATATATTAGTATTATAGATTTATTATTATTTGAAAAAATACAATTAAACTTTATATTATATGTATAATATTTTTTCATACATTAGAGAGTGTTAATCATAATTCACATATTAATTAAAAATCCTTTAGAGAATTTATTTTTCTTATACTATAATTAGAGAATTGATATTTATTATAGTATAAATATTAAATTCTAAAATCATCACTATTAAGGATAAAATTAATCTAATTTATAGTAGTATATGACCTATTATTAATATATCCATTTTAGTCACTTTAAATTTGAATAATCGTTTTTATTGAGAAATATTAAATTTCATACAAAATTATGCTTTCTTGCCATCATTTAACAAACACAGAGATACAAATGGATAAGGATGATAAACCTACATTACTTAAGATGTTTTGGAATTTATTAGTCTGTTCATTCTAAACTGTGTTTGGTTATGTATGTTTAGACATCTGTGTGAGTGTTACTTTACATTACATTAACAAAGGGTAAATAATACATTTATGAAAGAATGACTTAAATTGATGTAGCAGGATATGGGTTTGCATTGAATTGTGTATACATTATTGTATTGCCAATCGGATTCGGATTTAATTAGTCTCTAAACATGCATACAGCATAAGCAATAGGTGACGGAAAACACTAACTTGCCAAACGATTTTTTAATGTCAATTTATATGTGATGCTTATGTTTCTGATTCCATTTTCGGGAATTTTAATAGCAATCAAAAAACCGTTTAGCCTAATCGTAGAAGAGTCTTAGAGAGAGTAAACAGCTGATTGCGCCTGGTAGTATTTATGGTTTCTGATTCCAGCCATAATTTTAGCAATCATTTTTGAAAGTATTAAGATTTTTATGGCATCATACAAAATTACATACCCATTTGCCATTATTCATTTTATCACTTTGCTTTTACATTGGCTATTTAGTTGGTTATTTATAATGAAATTTGAATGGGGAATACCTGGAGCAGGTTTTGCTATCATATTAACAGAAGTATTCAATATGATTGGTATATTCTGTACGAATTTTATAAGTTATTTTAGCATTCATTTAATTGACAGAATATAAAAGGACAATATTTTAAGGAATCAAAATATTACCTGATATTCCAAGAATCAGAAAATTAGGTTTACAATATTGCAAAACTTCAATGCCAATATTAGTCCATATATATTGTGCATATTTTATATTTGTGTTATTAACATTTATAGCATTAAGTTTGAATACTCCATCAGTAAATGCTCATTTAGCACTTTAAACAGTGTCTGGTACATTTTTTAGTAATTATACATATATATCATTTAAGGATTGCCAATTAGTTTATCAATAGCAATCATGTCTTATGTTGGTACAGAAATGGGATTGGGAGATGTTAAAAGAGCAAAATAATATGTAGCAGTGGGAATTTTCATATTTGTGTTAACTTGTGCTTTGTGTGCATCACTTTTGTGGATATTTTAAGATGGATTTATAGATTTTTTCACAGCAGAAAGTGGAAAAGATTAATTTGCAGATGAAACAAAAGAAGTTATGAAAGATTCTCTTCCTTGGATGATTGGTGGATCATTGATCATAGATGGAATGTAAGGAACTTTAAGTGGAGCATTAAAAGGAATTAATAAAGCAAATTTAGTATAGGTATTAGAATGATAAATATTTTAGTATTCAACAATATTTGCTTATTTTGTTTGTTGTGTTCCTATAGTCTCCTTTTTCGCTTATGACTGGGGACTTGGTAATGGTACTAAAGGTATATGGTAAGGATTTGGAATATCAAATCTAATTTTGACTACTCTTTTTACATTGAGTTTATTTTTTACAGATTGGTAAAGAGAGTCAGAAAGAATTATAAATAGAATTAAGAGAGAAAATGAAATGTAGAAAAGCACTATTCATCAAATTGAAGACTAATTGATATATGATTGATAATATAATTCATTATAATAAAGTTGAATAAGAGAAAACTATTAATATTTTTTCAGTCTTTAAAAAAAGAGGGAAATTTAAATTATTTAACATTCTATTTAAAATTTTAGAGTTCTTATTAAAAACAAAAAATTAATAAAGAAATTTTGATTTTAGTTTATCTAATAACATAATTTCATTTTTTAACTTAATTGCATCCACAATTATAGTTATTGCCATAATAATCTTCTTGGCTTAATAAAGTATCAAAATTATAATTTGAATGACAATTTTTACATTTAATTTATCTTAAAAAGAAAAAAGCATCAATACAAATATCTAATTTCTATTTATTAACTATAATTTCTTTTATTGTTTATAAACATATTCTTTTTCCACAATAATAACATTTCTTTTCAAGTGTTTAATGACATTAACTATTTTAACATTCTTGACAATATTATACTGTAGTTCCAAAACGCTATTCAAAATTATAAGACATGGAAAATGTACCATTACAACATTTACAGTTCATACTTTATTTTTCATACTATTATTCTTAGCAATCTTCACAAAGTTCATAATTATTAGATGATTCATCAAATTTTTCTAATGCATTGCAATTATTGCAAACTTTGAATAATTTTTCTCTATTAATTTTATTTCCAAAAACATCATCTACTTGAGTATCCACTTCAGAGTTATAACCCTCAATAAAAGTTTAACTCTTTGTTTATATTATTGTTTAACCTAAACCTAGCTTTTTGCAAATATTTGAACATTCTGGATGCTAATTCAAAAAGAATTTACGGCATCCATCATCTTATTAATTTGTTGAATCCATTAAATCTTATGTATGTATTGCAGGATCACTTAAGATATTGATTTTACCTTATAAATCTGTAATTATCATCTAAAAATTAGTATATTGATATGTAAAGTGAGAGAAAGCAGTTAAATTGATTTCCTCATCTCTGTAATCTGCATTATTAGTATACTTTTTCCATGGTTCATTAATATCAATATAACTCTCTGCGTATAATAACTTCAAACCCTTAAAAGGTTTTTCTAATTCATATAAATATGGTGTAGCATAATAAAGAGGAATAAACTACACTTTTTATTATCTGCAACAATAGTTAAAATGATTACTTAATTATTTTGCAATTAATTATTGTTTATATTTTGTATCTGCTATTTTATTTGCCTCATCAATATCATCATCAGTTAAGGTTTAAGAATTATATTTTTTAAGAATCCATCTTGGAATTTTTATCACAACATATACATTATTTTTTTAATCAAATCCTTTAAATACGTCTACTGCTTATCCTTTTTCTCTTTGTTTCAGTTATAATTCATCATACTCAATAAATAACAAAGTTTAACATTTTTTTTAAGTTTATTTGATTTATTCAATTATTTAATCATAATATTTATTATTTTACCTATTATGATAAGCATAATGCATTTATTTTTATTTTATAAATTAGGCTTAAGAAATATGTTAATACTCTTTAATATTAGTTATTGATTATGATTTACAAAAAGTAGAAGATAGAGAAAATAAAATATAATCTGAAAATTATTTATCAGCTATTTTTGCACTTTAATAATTTTTTTAAACTACACTTTGCATCACTTTTTCCATTATTTAAGTTTATTCATTGATTTATAAAAAAGATAAAAAAAATCTTTATTTTAATTCAACAAATTTTTATAACTTTTCTTCCAAGTCTTGAGCATTTAAGTTTGAATCATAAACTAATTTATGATATTTCCTACCATGACATGGAGCATCTGTAATTATAAATAGCTATAAAAGACTTTCAGGATCTTTGCAAATATTTAATTTATATGCAACATCAAGTGCTCCTTATAAATCTTCAGGAATATCATCACCACCTTCAGGTTTTATGCTACTGATGAATTTTTCAATCTCCTCTGGTCTAACAGTAAAATTATGATATTTTATATGATTTGGACCTTCAGAAAAATCTTTATAACATACTGCAGCCATTCTAATGGCAGTATCAATTTAGACCTTTTTCTTAAATTCAGTTATTATAGAAGTGATGTTCTTTCTTGAAACTTCAATCCATTTATCCATACTTTTTGTACAATCTAAAATAAAGATAATATCCACTTATGGTCTTTATTATATTTAGTTAATCATTAATTTAAGTTGATTTTTTTACATAAATACATTGCATTATAATGTTTGAGGTTAACTAACAAATTTATTTGCTTTCTAGTCAAATTTTATACAAGGTTTAATAACTTCATCTTATAAATTCTAAAAATTTCCAATGTCTTTTATATCTTCCCAATTTTTATGTGGTTTTTAACATCTATGATAAGGACATGTTCCTTAAAAATATTTGATACAATATTTATGAAAATTATATTTTTTAGCATCACATTAACATTCTATTTCTGTACAAAATTTTTCAGGGTTCAATTTATTTATGTTATATAATTCATACACTTTTTTTTATATTTCATCCCATCTATTAGTATGCCACAATCCTTCTTTTTTTTTATCACACTTTTTATTTTTACAATTAACACAAATATATTATAACCAAGGTGGATGTAAATATTTGCAATTCTAATCATTATTACAATTCTTATAACATAAATTACATGGATAAATTCCATTTATTGATTTTTTCTCCAATTCTTCCTGCAATTCATCTAGTGAAAAATGATATAATCCACAATAATCTTATTGTTAGCACATCCCTTATAAAAAACCTATACAAACTCCGCTAAAACATTTTGGATGTAGTTTTTCGCAGTTCTGAATTTAACATTTGTGTAAATCATGACATAATTTCTATATGTCATCTAAGAAATCCATTTTAATAAACTTAATATTTAACAGTAGATAAATGTTTCAAAGTATAAGTTTGTAAAGAAATAGCATTATATAACATGTTTTTATATATAAAATTATGATAGAATTATAATTAAAATTATATAAAAATAATACCACTCCCATTCAGAATGCTTAGAATGAGTTAATTAATATAAAATTAAATTATATTATTCTGTAAGGCATGAAAGAAATAGTTTAAAAGAGATGAAGTAAATATAATTAAAATATTTTTGTGAATTTCAAATAATTTGCTGGATCCTATTAAATATATTTAATATTCTTATTAAGGTAGGGTTTTATTAAGAAAAATTAAAAATTCAATTATCATATTTAGATTCAAATAATATATAATATTTCAAATTAATTATAAAAATAACAATAGAATAAACTTTTTTAAATTATTGAAAAAAGAAGATTATTAATAATAATAAATTTTTTTAGATAAATACATAGATTTCTAATACATCAATATTTTTCATTCGAAATATGAATTTAAAGAGTTAACATTTTTATACTCACCTATTAATTTTTTATTAAATTTAATATTATTGAAAAATTTTTACTGTTAATTTTAAATCACTCATTTATTTATCTTTTATTTTTTTAAAAGAAATAATGAAATTGAATCATTTTTTCAACAACTATGATTGATTATTCATTAATATTTAGTCTTTCAAATAAATTATAAACTTTTTTTACAATATTAATGATATAGATGAAGATGTCCTTGTATAAATTTCAAAAATGATTTAACAAAACCATTAAATTTGATAAAATTAATATTTATTTTTTATATTAATTAAAGAAATTAGTACAAAAAACATAAAGTAGAAAGAATTCATATAACTACAATTCTATCTAATAACATTAGTTTAAGTAGTATTCAAATATTATATACAAGAGATTGAATAAGTATTTCTATTTATCTATAACTTTTTCTTAAATATAATTTGGAGCTGAAGTTACACTAAGATTATAAGAAATAGTGAATTTATCTTATTAATTAAATTTTGACTCTTTTTTAAAGGTTATCTTTCAGCAAAAAGAGTAATTTGAATAATTTGATAAATTTTTGAAGAACTTATAAAACTAATGTCCATTAATAGAAGAGCAAATATAAATAATGGTATAAGATGAAAAAATAGTGTTAAATCCATGTAATTCATAATGAGAGGATTTCTAAAGTCTTTCTTATGAATATCTAATTGTAAATAATCAATAATCAAATTGGGTTAAATAAAAATCAAGATTTCATCCGATAAACTTTATCTCTTGAAATTAATACTATACATCATAAATTTATTCGAAACATAATATGAAATGATGAGAAGCATTGAATCAATCTCTCACTTAAAATAATATCATAAAAAAAAGAAAACTCATTAAAATATTTTCTAAGAATTAATGAATAAAAACAGTAAAGTTTGAATATTCATCATTTATATGGAAATTTTTTTTTTTTTGGAAAGATGTATGAATTCTTTGAATTAGTAGTTTTTATAACCTGAAATTTGAATTTTTTAAAGGGAAAGACATTTTTAACTTAACCATAAAAATTAATTTTGATTGATCATATATTTTAATATAATAATTATGAATTTTTTTCATATTTTAATCTTCTAATCATCTTTTTTTTCCTTATCTTTAGAAATTTCTTTTGATTTAACATTAAAATCAATTGGATATACTTTATTATTAGTTTTTGGTTTTTCATTAAAATTTATAATTTTATGAAATTAATCTACAATTCTTAATGAACCCTCTGTTTTTGGTTTCTCTGGACAACTATCATTTTAAGTGTGAATTGAATAAAATCCTGGATGAGAGTGAACAATATTTAGCAAATATTTCTTTATCTTTTAAAATCTAACATGAATTCTTTCTTTTTATTATTCTCTATTTGTTAATAGCCTCTTTATAATATAATTAGACTTAATTAAATTTGGAAATCTTTTATTAATTTTATCCCTTATGTTATCTAGATTTTGTTATTAATTTTCTAATTAAGCCAATAATATTCCCCATAATATATATATAATAAATATTGCATTTAAGCCAATAAGAAATATATAAAAAGGCAATATTATCTCTTGATTGTTTGATAAATCAGCTTAATAAATTGTGATTGATAATACTATGGAAGTACCACAAATAAGTGTACTAAATTCATCAATAATGTTTAATTAGATAAATAAATATGGACGATACTTTTTTGTTAACAATTAATATATGAAGACAATTATAAAAACCAAAGCTCCTTTAATAATTATTAAATCTTCATAAAATGTCAAAAAAATAATTATGAATCCTTTTTAAAGAATTTTTATTATTTCCCAAAAATAAGCATTCCTTGAATACTCATTATATAAATATCCCCAATTTTTTCTTGTTTTTTCATCTTCTAATTTATGCCTTTATAAATATAAGCTAATAAACATGTAAGCAGGAATGATCAAACCTAAAGTTAAAGTAGCTGGTAAAATTAAGGTTAAAATCCAATGGAAATGATCATAAGTATCATATCTATAGGCAACATTCCCCTGAATCCAATAATAATTTGATATTTATCTAAAGGATAATAAAGATATAAATCCTCCTAATAAATTTGGTTACAAATAAGTGAATAAATATATAGCAGTTGTAGTAAATGCACTCTTATTAAATTTAGTTAAATTAATACTAACAGCTAATACGTAAAAAATAATAAAGATTATAATGTAAATTAAAGGTATTATCAATGCCCAAATCATTCTGAAATAAATAATATTGATATTTGTCATATCTACTAAAAAACAATCTAAAGATAAATTCATTGTTTCTATTGGATTACCTACCGATCTAACAGATGATTATAATACACTTGGCATTTATAATTAGAATGTTGAGATAACTCCTATGATTTAAAAATAATTTGTTAATACTTTGATTAACACATTTCCTTACCCAGCTCTAGGGTCAGGTGTAGCTATTTTTAATATAATCCTTTTCTATTAAATTATTACTTTATTAATTGTCTCTATTGTTCCTTTTACAGATAAAAATATTGAGATCATAGTCCAAATACTAATTAGAACAATTTTTGTAGCATTATCTCCTATGTTTTCACAACTTCCACATTTATAAATTGTACTTACAGAAAAAGATCCTTAACCTCTTATATTATAAATATCACATTGCTCACATAATGCTCCAACATGTGCTTCTGAGCATAATTCATTACCAGGATTCCATCCACCTAAACAATTTTCAGGCATATTCAAACAATATTCTATATTTTCACTGCTCTCATATGGTCTCCAATAATGAGGTCTCAACATAATTCTAGCTGAAGAAACATTTTCCATTTTGATTTAATCTTTTATTTTGCATTATTCACCAGCTCTTACATTATATTAATAAGCATTAGGATCACATAATTTACATGTTCCCTATTAAGTTTTGTATTCTCCCCTTTAACAAGGAAATGTTTATAAATTTACTCTTAATTTATAATTGGTGAAATAATTTTTTAGTAAATAAGGAGGTTGATCATCAAAAATTGGAATTTTCACTGAATCACACATAATCTCCAATTGTAAATAATCTTATTTTGAATAATCAGGATCAAAATTAATAATCATAGAATCTAAATTATAATCCTAACTAGTATAATTAAATTCAATTTCCTTCAGACTGGTAAAATTTTCATAAAATTCTCCTTCCTTTTAATTAATAATTTACCTTCCTTTTAATGTACATTTACTTCCATCTAATGCTTTAATTTGACTATTCTCTTTGTCTAATGGAATTATTCTGAAAGTAAAATTTAAAGGTATATATTCTTGAATTTGTTCATTAAAAATTTGATACTCCTTTATAACTTGTCCACTAGGAAACATAAGAAAGTCTTTTTGTTATTGACCTATGAAATAATTTTTGATATCAATTTATTCAATAACTTAGTTTTGATTACTCTATATGGTTTTTGTATTTAATAAATTTGAACCAATTTTCAAAGTTAATTTAACAGGGAAACCAGCTACATTATCACTAAATAGAGATGCTTTGTTATTTGAGTATATTATATTTGTTTTATCTTTATCTGGAATTGCATAATTTTCTATAAACATAGCTCCTCCTACCTTTGCTTAATTTTTTAAAAACAAGGTATCATAAATTAAAAAAAGAGATTTTTCATGATAGTCGAAATAAATGGCTCCTCCTGTTTCTCTTCCATTATTCATTATAAATTAACATGAGTTTATAATCATAGTAATTGAAGAGATATAAGCTGCACCTCCATATGTTCCACTATTATTTTTAAAGTAACTATATTCAAGTCTTACATTCATAATTTTAGTTTCATAATAAGTTTAAATTTAATTTAATAATCTATTTGATTTGACTTCTGAATATTATTTTAAATTAGTTATTTCTTTTGAAGATAAGACCAAACAACTCAAAAGGCCACATAGATTATCTTCCATTTTTATAGAATTTAGATTGATCAAATTTTAATTTATTTATTCTTCTATATTTATAAATTTTAATATTCCTTCTTTGCAGTTTTAGCATATAATATTCTAAAAAATTAGATATTCTATTTAAATTTAATGTTTTGAGGAGATAGAATCAACTTAAAAAATAAACCCAGGATTTGTTCTTTTGGTTATTAAGGTATAAAAATTGTATAGACTAATAATATATTGATTCTACTAATCATAGAACACTTATAGCTATTCTGGCTAAGAATATATTTTCAAACATTTATAAAAGGATGAAGAAATAGAAGGATATGTCTAAATTGGTTTTGAGACATCTCCAATTATTTCTTTGATGGAAATTAACTAAACATTACCTATTTACACATTAGTCATATATTCTAAAAATATATAATTATATACTTTTATTAAGTTATATATTAAGTGTGCTTCCACTAATCAATGTTAAATTTTATATTTCTATATTTTTAAGTGTAATTGATTCTGCATTCATTATTTCCATAACCCCATAATCAAATAAATTAATAAAGTTGCAATTTCTTATAGTAATATTACCTCTTTCTATAGAAATTAAATAATTTTTATTTTATAATTTAACTTCTGATTCACTTAATTCATTAATTCTACCTAAATATGATAAAAAACCTTGATAAGTATTTTAAATTAGCAAATCAGAAATTTCAACATTCAAAAATAAAGAGTTGCTTGTAAATATTATAGGAAGTTTAAAGAAAGCAGTTTTCAATGAATAAACATTTTAAATTACATTTCTTTAAATTATTATTTAATTTTTATTTCTAGAAGGCTCTAAAAAGAGTGTTCCTCCTTCTTATCTACTATAACTTTAGGAAAATAGATTGTCAGATATTAATAAATTTAAATCTGATTGAAAAGCATCAATAAATAATGTTCCACCTTTTGATTTCTCAGTCATTAATAAATTTGTTTGGCTGAAGTTGAAATTACAATTTAAAACTTCAATTATCCCATTTGATTAAGTACTAAAATAAAATGATCCTCCTTATTAAGCAAATGAATTCTAACTTGAAACATTTCTTACAATTATTTAATCTGCTTAACAAAAAGCATTTCCACCCTTTGATTTAATAGGAAAAATTGAATGCAAATTCTCAATAAAAATTATTTCATTTTATTAATATCCCCAAATTAACCGATCTTTTAAATATTAATATTATAAATCATTTTAAGAATTAAAATAACAATCCTCCATCTAGAGATTTCCACATTTAAATACAAGATTAGATCCTTAATTATTAGTGATAATATTATTTTCAAATATAGATTTAATTAATATAATTTTAGAATTAGGACTATTTATATAAATAGTTGATGATTGCTTGAATAGTTAATCTTCTTAATAAGTATGATGATGATTATTAAAGGTATAAATATCTTATAAATCAATTTATTATTCTTATTCAGATATTATGCTAATAACACAAGGTTGTTCAGACAATTTATTAAGAATAATTGTATTGTTTGTCAAATTAAGGTATTTCATTTCTATTTTCTCTGATTGTCTAAAATTTGTTCTTTCCAATGATTTTAATGTTATAATAGGTAAATTAATTATTATTAAACCTGTAATTTCAAGTTTATCAATTTAAATTAATTTAACATTATATAACTAGATCATACTACCATACCCAATATCTTAGTTTTATTATAGACAAGAAACGAATTAATGAAACAATTTAATTTTGAATTCATAATCTAATGTAGCTCTTATATTATTAAACACTATTTTATCAACATTAACAATAGATATCTCTGGAAGAGTGAATGTTCTAATAATATTAACATTTTCCATATAAATTTCCTTTACATCAAAATAAAGAGAAGAATTGGCTGAATTTACTGAACCTTTGTAATTTCTTTAAGTAAATTTATTAGAATGTAATTTTAATCCATTAATATTAACTTTTAAATCAAAAAATTGATCGCTTTGCTGTAATTCTAAGAACACTTTGCTTCCAATATAATTATTATTGTCAAATATTATTGAATTTAATGAAACGTTATTTGATTTGATGTTATCTTTGTATAATGCATCTACTTTATTTGTTATTACAATATTATCAGGACTATTGAAGTTATTGTTTGATATTAACATGTTATCAATAGAGAATAGAGGTAATTTAAATAATTAGACATGAGAATTGAATTTACCATTAGAAACTATAATGTTTATTAATTCAACATTTAATACTCCAGGTATATTAAATAGACTTGAATTAGTTAATTCATCATGTTCAGAATTAAATTATTCAATATTGAATATGGATTCTCTATTTGAATTATTAAATTAAGTGTAGAAAGCAATTGATGATATATATTTATTGTTTAATGACTTAAAATTATTGACTTTAAGTAGTTGATTACTGTATCCTGTATCCAAAGTTTAAATTATTAATTTTGAATTATTTATATAACAGTTTGATATTAGAAATTAATCAATTTGAAATACTAAAGTCTTTGTTAAATTTTGAGTAAAGTAATAATTAATGATTCCGTTAAGATTATCTAATTTAGAATCTAAAATTTAAAAATCCTTCATTTTTATATTATTTGGATTTTAGATTGTTATTTTAAATTAATTTTAATTGATATTCTTTATTTAAATCTTTTCTAACAATATAGATATACTATATAAATTTTTAATATTCAATTATGTAGTATTACTATTTGGAATAATCTAAAGATTTTTTAAATTGATTGCAGTGAATTCATAAAAAGTAATATTGTCCTCTAAATAAATCTACATTCCACTAGGAGATTATAAAATTAGTTCTAAATATTATACTGTGAAGACATTTCGACGGATTTCAGATTTAATAAATGTATTTTATTTGATTACACAATCACCAGTATTTGGTTATAAATTTAGGATATATCTCACTAATTTCACACTTTTTTAATTTAATTCATTAAATAGATAATTAGTTTCTACAGAGAAATGGTTGATATTAACTGTTGAAAAAATTCTAGAAATAAGAGCATTTTTGCTTAAAAAGTCATCTTATTCTTCTGAGGTTTCTAATCTATTAAAATGATTATTAAAAGTTTATTCAGAGCAGTACAAATTAATTGGAATTTCAAGGTAAAGATAACAATCTTTCTTTTCAGAGTTTAGACAATTAATTTCGTAACCCAAAGTATGATCATAGTACAATATTCCTGATGTTGGAGGTTCAGATTAACGTTTTATACATTACTATGCATATTTTTATAGTGTAATATCATCTGGTTAGAAATAAGGATTAATTTTAAGCTTTTCTTCTTCAGTAATTTCTCTACATAATTCACAAAATTGAGGGCAAAGATGACATTATCCATGATAAACTGTTTTTGTGTTTAGACTATTACAACTAATGCATACTGATTAATCATTTTCTATAATGCAGGAATCACAATTGCATTTTGGATAGCATTTATTATTATAAAGTATACCATTTTATGGACAAGCTGTGCATATGACCTCTAAATTTTCTAGATCTAATTTAGTTCCAAAAGCATTGAAATTATGTTAACCATCTAATAAATAACTTCTAAAATGATAATTAATTTTATATTGCCATTTCCAACCATCTTAATAAATTTTGTTTTATTCAATACATGAAGAACAAGTTGATGGACATTAATAACATTTTCCTAAAAAAGTATTAGAATAGAATCCATTAAAACATTACATACAATATTATTATTCTTGAATGTAGTTATTTACACAAACCATACAATTAGGATCTTTACAAAATACTCCAGTAATGGGATTTGAAATTGTAGTAATACTAGAGTAAGAATTAACACGATCTCCATATATGATAGAAAATTTTGGTTAAGGATTTTGTGGTAAACTATATAAAGCTAATTGAAAATCGTTATTTTTGGATTCTAGAACTTTAAGCTTTAATTCTTCTGGTAAAAAGTTCCCTTAAGATTCTACTGTTGCACATTCATAATACTATTAAACAAACATTTTATTGATATATCCATTTTCGCACTTTAGACAAACCTAAAATGCTGGAATAGTTTCCATGAAAGTAACTATATCTAGAGAATTACTATATTATTAAGCTTATAACATTAAAGTTTAATTAAAATAAACAAGATAATGTTCTGATACTTCAATCTCACAGTTAGGTAAAGTTTTTGTTTTGCAATTTAATTTCTCTGCAGAGATAAAATAATCCTAATCATGAATGCATCTCAAGCATTACAAGTTATTCAAAGCAGAAGAGTAAATACAAACTTTACAAAATTAGCCACATTACTGACATTATTCAAGTGTTTAATTAAAATAATAACCGGTAATACACTCTCTACAATAATAACCAGTTTAATTGTATTTACAATTGGGACATTCTAAGGGACATTCTAAACATCTATTATCATATAGAGTGTAATTTAATTCGCAACTTATACATTAATGATAGTTATCGCATTCATTACAATTCTTATTTACTTTAACGCATTCTCCATTAATTGATTAATAACAACTCTTGCATAAAAACTTTTAGATTTTATTTAAAGTATATTTTTCAATAAAATTGAAAGAACTTTCAGTTTATTCTAAGCATCCAAAGCATGATTCAAGGACTGGCTATTATGTGATATTCAACTAATTGATTAAATAGTATTCAAAATCTTTTATTTTTCTATCTCTTTTCAAAAACACATAATTTGTATCATTAGAAAATGGCATTAGATAATCTGTTGTGCATCTTGGATTTAAATACCATGAATTTGGATTCTAAATACAATCTATACAATATATTCCAAATAGAGTTATTGCTCCAGGACAATCCAAACAATATGAATTTCCATTTATTATTACTTTAAATTAATACCTTTGGCATCCTAAATGTTCTTAAATTATGGCTTCTTATATATTAATATTTTTGAGAATATTTCCCCTAGCTAATATTATGTGAAATTTAATACGTTTACAATTTTGATTTCCGTCATCCACAAATCCTTCATAACATAAACATTGTGACTTTTATAATTCTCTTTTAGATGTTGAAACATCCTCACAAGTTAAACAATGACTTTCTAGTGGACCAAAACATGCTTTACAAGATATATGACAAGCTATTAATAATTAAATTAAATACTTTTGGGAATAGGAGTATCATCATTATAACAATACCTAAAAGTTAAATCACGAATTGCTCCGTTGAAATTCTTATTGTAATTGTCCCCTCCAATATTAAAATATAATTTGGCATTCTCCTGATGTTATTAATTCATTGTGAATATTTATTCTTGTTTTCCATAGCCAAAGTAAATTGATAGTCTGATATTATTGACTTCATCTACTCCCTCTTGATATACGAACCAATGCCAAAATGTTAATGCTTCATAATAAAATGAGTTTAATTATAGCCAAGAATCACTTTCTTAAGTTTGATAAGAATTAAAACTTTCAGATTCATTGTTGTGATAAGTAGTTACCTAAAATCCATTTAAATTTTCATTAAGGGAACTTTAAATATACTTCCAATATATTGCTTTATCTCCTTGATATTTATCTTGAAAGTATGAATATCTCAAACTTGCTCTAAACAACACACTTTCTAGAGTTTATAACTAAATATAATGATTAAATTACTCCAGCCACCTCTTTTAATATTACCCATCCAGACAACATAAATTTACTATTAATATAGGCTATAGGCTAACTTAAAATAGTCGCACTTTTCATATATGATGTTATGAGTATATCAACAATATTTTCACATACTTCTGCTTGGCAATCTAACTCTATGTTTTATAGGAATGTTGGAATGTCAGCATAATAGTAACTTGAACCTTCTCTTAAATCCATGCTACTAATTTATCCAGAAAACTCTTTCAATAACTATTATTTAGAATCAAAAGCAGGAGTAAACTAATTTTAGTAACATGCTTACTATTGATGATCCACCAAGAAAATACTCTTTATAATCTGTTATTTCTAAAATATAAGGCCCTCCTTCTATCATTTATACATTTACGTCATCCTTTTATATATATAAGAAATTGTTATAATTAGAAGATGATTCTTAGTAACAAAAATAAAAAAAAACCCAACTTTCCATTGCAATTGAATAATCTATCTTTAATTATCTTATTTGATAAGTTCCTCCATGAAATAAGTAAAGACAATGAGTGAATGATTTCTCTTCTTAATTTAAAATTATGTAATAAACCAAATATGTAATATCTTACTTTTTTTCTGTGAGAACATGCATAATTTAGATTGGCAAGGAAAGATCATCAACCGAAACATAAAATTTAGAATATTTTGTCCATACACCCCAAGCAAAATCTAAAGTAACAAGGGATGATAAATCTTATTCAATTAATCTTTATCCTGTATTTGGAGTAGTAATTGTTTTGAATACCTCACAAGAGCAATAAACTAATTTCACCCTTATGATAATATTTAAATTTACAATATAATGCTTAAATATATCCTTAAGACTTTTTTGAACATTAATTAAATTTTTCCATTAAATTTCAGTTTTCAATATAAATTAGGTCAAAGATAATATGTAATTTGAAAAGAAAATTGTCTATCTTGTTCAGAAGAGTCAAAGAGAATTTATTTACCTGAGCATAAAGTATATGTTTGTAACTAATTTAAAATTTGAAAAAATTGACAATTAGCTAAACAATTGGTGAAATTAGTTGTTGATTAGAAAATTTTAATTTTAGTTGTTTTAATTTTTAAAAAGCCCACTTTGATTTTAAGAATAAAGTCCCAAAGAAAAAATTTAAATACTAATAAATATAGCTAAAAACTTTTGGTAAATATATATTTTATAGAGAAAAGGATTTAAAATAAAGTATTTTATGAAATAAACTTCTTTATAATTAAACTATTGGATTGCTATTTTTGGCATTAGATTTTCCAACTCTATTTAATATATGGAGAAAAAATTTCTAGATTTAATAACTATAAATATGATTTTTAATTTGAGTATTTTATGGAATTCAATATTTTTTGTATAACTATTATTTTCTAATTATTAATATTAAATTTGAATAAAATGAAGTTAAGGAAAATTTGCTTTAGAAATATATTTGAATTGAATTCTAGAATTTATATTATTTGTTTGTAATACACAAAAATAAAAATAATGTCAAATTATTGTTATGAAAATTTTTATCAATTACTTCACAAAATTGTAGTTTTATTCTAATTATAAGGCATTCTTTCCAAAATTAGATATATTNCCATCCAGACAACATAAATTTACTATTAATATAGGCTATAGGCTAACTTAAAATAGTCGCACTTTTCATATATGATGTTATGAGTATATCAACAATATTTTCACATACTTCTGCTTGGCAATCTAACTCTATGTTTTATAGGAATGTTGGAATGTCAGCATAATAGTAACTTGAACCTTCTCTTAAATCCATGCTACTAATTTATCCAGAAAACTCTTTCAATAACTATTATTTAGAATCAAAAGCAGGAGTAAACTAATTTTAGTAACATGCTTACTATTGATGATCCACCAAGAAAATACTCTTTATAATCTGTTATTTCTAAAATATAAGGCCCTCCTTCTATCATTTATACATTTACGTCATCCTTTTATATATATAAGAAATTGTTATAATTAGAAGATGATTCTTAGTAACAAAAATAAAAAAAAACCCAACTTTCCATTGCAATTGAATAATCTATCTTTAATTATCTTATTTGATAAGTTCCTCCATGAAATAAGTAAAGACAATGAGTGAATGATTTCTCTTCTTAATTTAAAATTATGTAATAAACCAAATATGTAATATCTTACTTTTTTTCTGTGAGAACATGCATAATTTAGATTGGCAAGGAAAGATCATCAACCGAAACATAAAATTTAGAATATTTTGTCCATACACCCCAAGCAAAATCTAAAGTAACAAGGGATGATAAATCTTATTCAATTAATCTTTATCCTGTATTTGGAGTAGTAATTGTTTTGAATACCTCACAAGAGCAATAAACTAATTTCACCCTTATGATAATATTTAAATTTACAATATAATGCTTAAATATATCCTTAAGACTTTTTTGAACATTAATTAAATTTTTCCATTAAATTTCAGTTTTCAATATAAATTAGGTCAAAGATAATATGTAATTTGAAAAGAAAATTGTCTATCTTGTTCAGAAGAGTCAAAGAGAATTTATTTACCTGAGCATAAAGTATATGTTTGTAACTAATTTAAAATTTGAAAAAATTGACAATTAGCTAAACAATTGGTGAAATTAGTTGTTGATTAGAAAATTTTAATTTTAGTTGTTTTAATTTTTAAAAAGCCCACTTTGATTTTAAGAATAAAGTCCCAAAGAAAAAATTTAAATACTAATAAATATAGCTAAAAACTTTTGGTAAATATATAATTTTTATTTTTATTATTATTATTTATTATTTACTATTGATATTGAATTAAATATACTTAAATTTTGTCATACTAAGTTATTGAAAGAAAATTAATTCATTTTAATAAACTTAATAGTAAAGAATTAAATTTGATTTGTTTATATCAATTAAAGTAGGATTCTCGTAACATAAATTCTTTATATATTTAATTCCTTTAATTTTTAAAAGAATACTTATATTTATTGTTTAACATGAGATCTATTTTATTAGATATCTAATTGTTATAAAGTAATTTTTTAAGGTATTATTTAAGATAAAATGTGAAATCAATCTTAGACTCAACAATTATAATTAATTATTATTTACACCTTCAATATCATGAAAATCATTAATCAGAATAACTAAATTTAAGAATTCTAATCTGTTCAAAATTTTTTCATAATAAGTTTAGGGGCTTATAATACTATTTATTGTGTAAACTGATATTATTATAAATTTACATGAAATTTCTGTTTTTCTTTTGTTATTTTTAGGTGTTTCTTCAATTAAAAATTGAATAAATACTAACCAAAAAATCAAATAATAATCTCTAAAAATTGTTGCTTCAATTCGCAAATCACATATTTTAACAGATTTAATCTATAACAGTTCGAAAATGAACTCTAAATAATATGTACTTTTTCTTAAATATATACTAAAATATTTATCTCTTCAAAATAAATCAACTTTAAAATTTCTTATTTTTCTTGTTTTCCAACATACAATTTCTTCTTAATGATTAGTATAAATTAATAATCCTTATGAAAATGTTGAAAGCAAAAGTATTTCTGCTTTGGATGCTTGCCTATTTAATTTGTGGTAAAATCTAGTGAGATGAAATTTTAGATCAAAAATAATGTAATGAAAATACTCAATGCGAATGGGATTATTGGAAACCTTCTAAATGTTAAAATATATGTAGCTTATTGACTACTGAAAATCTTTGCAACTTTGCAGCAAATTGTAAATGGATAGCGAGTTCATCCTCTTGTTTTATTAAAAAATGCACATAAGAAAAGAGCATTGATAAGTGTGATAAAATCGTATTAATTTAATTTAATTAGGTTGCGTGCACTTGGTAAGATGATAAATGTTGGGACTCCTCATGCATTTAATTATAAGCTAAAGAAGCTGGTAAATGTGCTACGGCATATTGTATTTGGGATGATAATAGGCAACTTTGTTATGATAAAAAATGCTCAGACTATTATAATCAATATGATTGTTCTCATATGTCATTTTGTATTTGGTTTAAATACAAATGTATTGATAATGGGAATCAAAAGCTTGATTTTTGAGATTAATTGTAAGATTAATAAATATGAAAGATATTATAGTTATTCAAGAAATATATTATTGTTGTTCGTTTGATGTTAAAACTTTATATCAATATGATCTTTTTCCAATCCTATTTTATATTTAATAAAGAGTTTTTTAATTATTTTCTCATATAAAAGATCGTTAATTAACAGTTTAGATTATTAATACTAATGTTGTTAGATATAAAAATTTTGTTCAAAATAATTTTAATTGATTAGAATTTTCGATTATCATTTGAGAAAGTTAATAGAGATTTTCCAAACATAAATCTTGTCTTAAATAAAAAAAAAATACTTTAAATAACAATTATTTATTTTTAAAAGTATTTCAAAGTCATTTACTTAATTGATTTTAAAGGAGGTATATTGTAAAATTGCTCTTATGTTTTACTAATTAGTTTTTTAATATTTTTGCAGATTGACTGTTTGGACTTATCTCAGTATTTATAATTGAATCAAAATCCAAATAACATAAAAGGAGGGGAACAGTAACAGTATTTGAGAATTTGTGTTCATAATGTTACTAGAGCTTAAGTTGGATATTCTGATATTTAATCTATAGTCTCATCCATATGAACAACCTTGATATTCAATTTATCCAATCAGAACTTGTCCTGTGTTTTATATTAGATGAAAGCCCTAAAATTAAGCTTTTTAATTATATGGCCATAAGCAATTCAAGAAATTCTTATTCCTTGAAGATGAATGTCAAGAGAAAACAATAATCCATGAGAAAATTAAAAATTCAGAGGTTTTTAAAAATAAAAAATTCTCACAATAGAATCATATAAATACTTTATTATTTTAATAATTATTTTATAATAGATCCAATAAATAAAACATTCGTCATCTTGATTGTTGTCAAAATCATAAAATTAATCAATATTAGAAGAATATCATGTATTTTTAATAATAAAAAAATATATTGTTTTGGTTTTGATTGATAATTATTAGCAGATTTATTATTTAATTAAATAATATGATTTTTAAATAAAAGGAGTGTTTTCTTTTACTCATTTTTTGTCTCCAAGTCTTTGCAACCTTGAGATTATTTGATTTGAGTTTTACAGACAATAATATTTAGAATAATAATTGGATAATGGCAAGGACTTGCACAAATGCTGTTTAAGTCTCATTCTAAACAAAAAACTGTAATTAGAATCCACTAAAATATGTTCAATTGACAAGAAATTAGGAATATATATCTAAATCTTTCAAATGTAGGAGCTTTTAAGTTTAAATAGTTTTAGATGTCTTTTTTATTGAAGCAGATCTCTCAAATTCCAAATTTAAGGTGAGTTTATAAAATTCAGCTAATGAATAAGTAATTTATAGTAGAATTTATGAAAGAGATGACTTGACACAAAATAGTGGAATAATTTGTAATAATTTATTTGATGATTTTGAATTTCTTACAATATCAAGTACAATTAATAATTTAGACGCTAAAGACTTTGTAATTTAAATTTGTTTTGATCCTGATGATCCAGATATGGAAATAGGGATTAGAAATATGTTAATTTATGTTAATTCCTGTTATCCAACTTGTTTAACTTGTAATGGTCCTTCCAAAACAGATTGTTTAACTTGTTTTGATAATTAAAGTGTATAGAGCGGATAATGCCTATGTGTTTCTGAATAATAATATTCTGAAACAGATATTGGTTGTCGTCAAGAATGCGATAGAGATTATTCGATAGCTAACTAAGATAAAATATGCGTATAAGACAACAGAATTAAATCAAAATTTA